CTTAAATTAAATAATGAATATCCTGTCCTATTCATTACAACAGGACCCACGTTCAACTGTCTTAGTCTGGATCCAACCCAATGTGTAATTTATATATAAAGCATTAATTGCTTTCAATAAGCAACCATTCCTCCTCAGATGCAACTTATAAACCTAGTTATACAATGGGGAAAATATATGTATGCTGTTCTGAGCGTAAAGCCAAAATCACATATAGTCAAAACATATTGGGTTCAATGGTGGGTAGGATTGCCAAAGTCATTTTCCCCAGAACCCTGCCCCCTTCTATTAATTTTTTTGCCAAGCGCATAAAGCTGAATGCACACAAGTTAAATGCACATAAATTGTGAGTTACCTGTACAGCACAGGAGAAGACAATGTGGTTACCTTGTGATGGCTGTTAGACTCCAGCTCTCATCATCCCAGCCAACATGGTCAATGATAAGGGATGATGGGAACTGTAGTCCAACAATGGGAGGGCACCATGTTGGTTATTCCTAATATAGCACCTCAACATGAACTTTGTTCCCACTTCTATTATAGGAGGACGAGGAAGGGGATCTTCTAAGGAACTGTGCCTGCTTTGGGCTGCATTCCTGCTTTTATAGTTAAATGATTTATAGTTAAGGAGTTAAAACATCAGTCTTCTACACGGGGGGGGGGGGGTAGTGGGAGGGAAGGGAAGGGCGCAGCATAATTGCCCAAGCGTTACTCTTCTAAATGTCAGATCACAGATGGATTTTTGGGGGGCTAGCCAAGACCAATAGATTACTCCATAATTTAATTTTTTAAAAAATGAAAAACAACAACAAAGCGACCACCAGTAATCAGAGTCCCAGTAGCTATGAAAGAGCTGCTGCTTTGCTCAGATTTTGCCCTTGGTTTTAAATGTTTGACAAGAGCTTTATAAATGAATTGGTGAGGTGGTTTATGTTTCATTAATGAGGCCGATAGTGGTTAATTACCAAAGTGGTGTAAACAATCCACTACCAGATCAGGCAGACAGGGTCAGTTATGCGGAGATGATCCAGCTGGACTGACTGGATGAAGCTTTTTATTTAACTATTTGAATACCAAATTGAACAGACAATTCTCATATTGTTAAAAGCCCAGTGCATTTACTGGGTTTAAGGGATATGGCCTGCTGTATGTGATACATAATATGTATATATGAGCAATTGAGAAACAGTCACCCTCTGCACATCATATATGATGGCAGTTGCAAGGAAATAAAATTTATGAAGATAAAAAATGTTGAGCGGAAATGGTCTGGGATCTGGAGGCCCCTGTGTAAGGCAGCAGTTGTTCCATTTACTTTTGAGCTAGGTCTGTGATTGCTAAAACATGATTTTGAGTTGAAAGGCAGATCTCCGCCTGCCAGTTTCCCATTCTTGTCCTAGCCTCCAACAGGTGGCTTGGCCAGTATATTCTTCTCAACACCCATGACAAGTACTAAAAGTTTTAAAATAGTATTGTTGCCTAAAATGGGGTTAGCAAAAGTGCTCTGAGCCAACATGCCATATGTTGTAGCTTATAATATTGTTCAGCATCTGTATCAACATGGGGAGCTGACTGGTGATCCAGTGACATTGACTTTGCCATGTTCTCCCTATGCACACATCTTCATGTACCACTAAGAGCATAGTTAGTTTACCTGGCCATTTGTATCCTGCTTTTCTAAGATACAACCAAATTAAAAGCAATTTACAAAGTAAAAATATAAATCACAAAAATTAAAAACCACTCTAAAAATAAAATTTTAAAAAGCACTAGAACAGCACCATAAGCCTTCACCATAAAAACCACAAAAATATATCAGATATTTAACTAAAATGCATGCTGGAATAAAATTGTATTAAGAGCTTGTTTAAAAGTAGGCAAAGCAGGCTAAGGAAACTTTCTTGGGAGGTTATTTCATAGTTTAGGGTCTAAACATTAGGCACAACTCACATGCTGCCCTGTTGGCGAAGGGACAAAGAGGGTCTATAGCAGGCTTCCTCAATCTTGGCCCTCCAGATGTTTTTGAGACTACAATTCCTAGCATCCCTGACCACTGGTCCTGCTAGCTAGGGATCATGAGAGTTGTAGGTCAAAAACATCTGGAGGGCCAAGATTGAGGAAGCCTGGTCTATAGAAACCAAGTGTCCTGAACCATGGGGTACCTGGTGGCAAGTCCTGCTGGAGTGCACAATCCCACAATGGATGCTAACACACAGTCCAGCAGGCCAGTCCTACACAAACAGTCCCAAAGAGCTCCTTGGAACATCCAAGCCATGGTCCAACCATTTATGGGAAGCTGAACAGACACGGCACATCAGCTCTGCTTCCCTTTTAACTGATTGCATCATCTAGACTTGATGAGGCATGTAACCCTCACCTGTTCCAAATCTACTCCAACTGAGGAATCACACACCTCTTCCCAGAGCTAGTAAGCCCCCGCTTGCCTGTCTAAGCCACCTAGAGCCACCCCACCCCCCGTTTCCTATGCCTCAGAGCCTGCCGTGTTCATGGAAACAGGGGCTCCATTGGCTCTGGTAATGGGTCCTGCTGCTCTGGTTCCTGTGCACTGGCCCCCACCCTGTGAGTACTTCCTACACCAACCTCTCCTTCCGCATCCCCAGTGTGTCCCAGTCATGGCTACACCCCTCTATGGGCTCCTCCCCCTCCTTCTCCCCCCTGTTTTCCTGACAGTTCATACACTAACCTTTGAGGAACAAAAATGTTGTTTTTCTCAATCCAGAATCATTCACACTTAACCTGAAGAACAAATTTAGCAACAAATCTTGTATATACTGTAAATTTCATCATTACGTATGGACTACGTAGAACAAGTCTCAGTTAATTCTAGAATACAATGCTGCATGCAGATTCAAACAGCAAGTGGTGTTTTCTGATGCTGAGATAAGGCCAGGCCATTAGGGTTTCAAAGGCCAGAGCTAGCACTTGAATTGAGTCTGGAAACAGACCGTAAGCCATTGAAGTTGACACAAAATTGGCCTAGTATGGGTGATCCTGCCAATCCTAGGCAAAGTCTGATGGCAGTATGATGAACTGGTTGAAGTTTATCATGTGCCTTCAAAAGTGGACCTATGGAGGCTGCATTAAAATAATCCAAACTAGAAGTGGCTAAGACATGATTACGTAACTGAGGATAGTTCTGACTTCTCCAGGAAAGGACACAACTGGTTAACCAAGTAAAGACTGGAAAAGAAGTGATCATGTAGCAGCTACATTGGCTACATCGTAGTCAGTCACTTTTGAATGGTTAGTTACCTCCCAAAATGGGCACCTTTAAATGTTGCATTGTCTGAAGCCCAGTTGTGCTGCTGCAGAATGCATCATGCCATTTCTTTTCCCTATCAGTCTCTGATACAGCAGGTGCTGTAACTCTCCAATGGTTTGGCATTACTCCAAAGTCATAGTCCTCCATTGTCTCCCAAGACAGACAGAAGCCAACAACAACAGTCTGAAGTAATGTGGTGAGAGAGAGATAAGTAGAATAATCAGATCAGATTGTGAATTAATGAAAAAAAAGTTTGTTTACTTTCTTTTAGAATTAGGAGGTTTCAAGTAGTTCTCAAGGATGTGACTAATGGGTAACATACAATTGTATCCTGCTTGTGCAACAGATTTCTAGTTGTGCAAAAGGGATTTACATTTCATCCCCTCCCTTCTACAGCCTCTTGTGTTTTGCCAACATCTGCTCTGGAAGATTAGGGCCCCTTCTGGAACAGATTAGGGGACACAAGAAGGGGAGAAATGGGAATTCTGCTGTGTTCAGAATGTAGGACCTTGCCCAGTGATCTTTGTCTTTGCCTGTATTATAAAATAAATATAATTATTGAATTTTCCCTAGCTTTTTTTCTACGATCACCAAAGTAATGTTCACCCCTAGCTAGGTATCCACCTGCCTGTTACACCTGTAGACCTGAATGTCACCTTCCCATAACTCATTAAACTGAATGATATATATTTGATTCTTTTTCTTACTAAATTTATCTATGAATGCAAATCTCCATAGTTAAATATTTGCTTATACAAGCGCAGTGATGAACAATTGTAGGAACATGGAGTACAGGTAAACACAATGAAGTTTGGGAGGTAGGGGGATTACCTTTATCAATGAGCTTTGAGCACCAGGTTCTTCTCTGGTTTCACTTAAGAACCTGAACTGAAATGTATCAGATCTCTGGTTGCTGGCAATCGGACTATAGTCGTTACACTCTGTGGGTCTAAGGTTGGCTTTTTGAGGCTTGCAAGCACCATTCCATCACACAAGGTTGTGTTTACCACACCTGTGACCCATTCAATCACCCCACTCCGGCTACCTTTAATAAGCCAGGATGGACAAGGATCTAATGAGCAGGTGGATGGGGGTATCACTTCAAGTATCATGTCCACTGCCTCAGGCCATATCAATTGGAAATGATCCCACAACACTGGGCTCAACATTGCATTGGACACCTTGGCTGGTACTGTGGCAACAGCAGCATCTAAATCAGGCTTCCTCAACCTTGGCCCTCCAGATGTTTTTGGCCTACAACTCCCATGATCCCTAGCTAGCAGGACCAGTGGTCAGGGATGCTGGGAATTGTAGTCTCAAAAACATCTGGAGGGCCGAGGTTGAGGAAGCCTGATCTAAATCACTGAGGAGCCAAGTGATAGTGTTTAGCTATCTGGTTTCAGCTAGTTACTATGTGCTCAAGAAGTCCACCTCCCTGGTCAAGAGTTCAATACACTAACCACTTCACCATGTTTCACATTATAAAATGACTGTTGTTTTTCTTTCAATTAAGTGGTCCTTGCACTGTGAAGATTGTCAAATGTGAAGCAATCAAAATGAGGAAATGCCAGACTCTAACCGGGACAACAAAAAAAGTTTGCTAGAGAACTGGGTAGAGAGGTTGCTGGGAAAATGTGACGTGTGGGTCCCAATGGCCTCTGTCCCTGATTATTCAGTTATTATTTGATTTATGTGGTCTTGCTGCTGCCCTTGCTTTGACCCTCAGAACGGCTGTGTGGGAAGTTTGTGTCTCTCAGATAGAGTGAAGCGCTGCTCTGCAAAGTGTTTGGAGCCAATGTGAATGCAAAGAAACTGATAAATACAGAAAAGGCTCTCTGTGCTCCAGATGCACCCCAAAGGGGAACTATAAGAAAACAGCTCCTTGGAACTAGGCACTGTAAGTATTTTAATGTCTTTTGTAAATGCCTTAGGATTGTCTGGTCTTGACATACGACTATACTTGGGAGATGTGATGATTATGTCAAGTTTGGTGTTTGATTTTCTAAATGCAGTGCTAATTATAATGAAATATGCACCTGAACAGTTAATTTTAGTTTCTAACGCTTTATTTTCGATATGTTCTTTCCCCCTCCCACCACCATAATGCTTTATTTTCTTGGTCTAAAGTGCTGTGTCATTTACTGTATATATTAGTCTACAAGCAGGACGTTTAACTGTCTGTAATGAGAGCAGAGCCTATTTTGTTTTAGCATGCACAGGTTGTTGGCACATACTAGATTTATACCTACTAGAGGATATTACCTGCACAGTGCATTTGAATCATTTTAATAGTTCAATAAAATTTTCATTTTACATGAGAATTGGATTTTGCAACTTAGCTAATGTGTGATGAATTTTGAAATTATGAAGTTTTAGTATTAGTATTTTAAGAATGAGATATTTGGCAGTTATATTTGTCATCTAAAATGGACAGGTGCTTATTGGGTTTTAACGAAATGAAATTACGGTAACATTCTGAAAAAAAAGTGTTTGGTCAGGCATGCAGTCTAGCCCCATTGGAAGTAGCTTGGTCTTTAATAAAGAGTATAGTCAGGGACTAAATTATTACATTTGCTAAGACTTCCCCCAAGGACTCTTCCCCCAAAGATCATCCTGTCAGCTGGGAAATGTTATTACCTGCTAATTGCTGCTGATCACTAAATTTACAGCGGCAATTTGAAAAGTTGCCCCCTAGGTTCATTTGCTCTGCAAAAACCTGCCATGCACTAGTTTCTGAAGAAGTGAGTTACCACACCATAATAATTTCCTTTTTATTAAATACACTGGAAGGAAAACTAGTGCATTTTAAAGAAAACTAACATTAAAAAAAAAATTGCACCACAATAGCTCTTTCACCCATCATGAACCTAATAGTCCATTGGCTAGGAGTAGTCAACAGAGATGTAAGTATAGTTGCCATGTGGATTGTGGGTGCCAGGCATGCTCAGTCAGCATTATTGTCACAAGTAAAAAAGAACGGCAACCTGAAAGTACAATTAGATCATATAAAATGAGTGTATCAATGTATTTAGTATAGAACTAGTGGAGACAATGGGAGATATTCAGCTCTCTCATTCCATCAGCACAAGGATTTATGCTTGTGCAACTGAAAATTCCGCCACCCTCTCCTTTCCCTGCACCTCCCTCAAGTCTACTCTGGAAAGCTGGTGAACCCCCAGGACAGATTTAAGGGGCCCACAAAGAAAGAAGTTCCTTTGTACAAGTAGAAATCCATGTGCTGTTGGAATGAGGGAATTAGTGTTACACTGAATTGAAAAGGTAACTGACAAAATTTTACAAAATCCTTCGTTACTGTGAATGCATCTCAGAATGCATTGTGGTTGTAGATGCCAATAATATAGAGATTTGTTAAGAGTTGGATCTCCGATCACAGGCACATTTACTTGGAAGCCCAATGAGGATCATTTCAAACATGGCAAAATAGTACACTGGTGCCTCGCAAGACGAAATTAATTCGTTCCGCGAGTTTTTTCGTCTAGCGAATTTTTCGTCTTGCGAAGCACAAAATCCCATAGGAATGCATTGAAATTCAATTAATGCGTTCCTATGGTCAAAAAAAGTCCAAACAAAGCCAAATTTGGTACAACAAGAGTTTATTAAGTGCTCTTTAAAGTCACACATACTGTAAAGAGCATTTCAAAAATTGAAGGAACAATAAATTAAGTTTCTAAACATGACAGAAAAACATTTAAAAATCAACAAAGTGTACAGTACATTTTCTAAGACTCTGGGGGACAACTCGAAGAAGGTTCCTCTTCCACTCTTTGCTTCTTGCTGAAGAACCCCCTCCTCAACTGTTCCCCCAGCCACCCACCACACAGAAATTCAAATCCAGAATTTTTTTTAAAAGACAGCAGAGTGTCCCAATGGTAACAGAAAATCATAAAAATGCAGAAAAAACCACACAAGCTTCCAGATTCTTGCAAACCCCTCCTCAACTGTTCCCCCAGCCACCCACCACACAGAAATTCAAATCCAGAATTTTTAAAAAAAAACAGCAGAGTGGCCCAATGGTCACAGAAAATCATAAAAATGCAGGAAAAAAACACACAAGCTTCCAGATTCTTGCAAACCCCTCCCCAACACCAAGTCTTTGAATTCCAAACACCCCAACCCAAAATCCAAAAACCCCCAAAAAGTTTTAAAAGTTTAACTTACCAAATGGCTGCAAAAGAAGTTTTGGAAAAGCTTCAAAAATCACCAAAGTCTTCAAAACCCTCAAAAAAGGCTACCACACCGCGTTCTATGAGTTGCTCCTCGAAGTCAAGTCACAACTGTATTAACGGTGTTAAGAAAAAGGAAACAAACTTGCAAGACGTTTTCGTCTTGCGAAGCAAGCCCATAAGGAAATTCGTCTTGCGAAGCAGCTCAAAAAACGCAAAACCCTTTCGTCTAGTGAGTTTTTCGTCTTGCGAGGCATTCGTCTTGCGGGGCACCACTGTACAATATTATCCATATGTTATGTGATGATAACACACAAATGTATTTTGATGTTTCTGTATACACACTAGTAGGCCACAATTGGCATTGTTTCCCACCACTGTACACAAAAAAAAGGTCTATGTGATTGCCACACATGATGATCAATGCACAGGATTTATTCAATTTCCTAGAGGTATTTACTTGCATAAATTGAGTCTTGTTTGCAGTGGGGGGAAAAACAAAACAAAAACCCTTAACCGTTCCATTTGATATTTCTGTTGTGGTATTTTCTGTTAAGAAAAAAACAACCTTAGCTGGAAGCTTAAACTACCGGCACACTTTGATTTATGGTTCCAGGCTTTTGAAAGTATGAAAGATTTCTCTGAACGATTAAGTATTTGAATTATAGCTTGATCTCTCTTCTGATAGCAGCAAAAGGTAACAAAAGATAATGTACGCAAAAGCATGCATTAGTTAGTTAACACTGGCCCACCCATGATTTAGAGTTTCAGTATGTGGAGCGGAAGAAAAGGTTAGGACAGGATCCAAATCAAGGTTAAAATCTACTGCCTAAATCTAGTTGCCCTGCAACCTCATATTCTTTCCCAGGATATGAGTGCACTTCAGAAATGTGAGAAGACTTTCAGCTTGAATTCCTAAAATTCTCCCTGGTGAAGAAATTTCCCTTTTGACATAACTGTCAAAATATTTACGATAGATGTTAATATACTGTCGGTTCAAACATTCTGAAGTACTCCCTGGAGGGTGTCCTGCAAGACCTATGCTCTATATGCTGTAATAGAGCAAGCACTGCATATTTTTTGCCATTAATAATACGCTAGCAGCTGAGCAGTGTCTTTGTTAGAACTGGTATTTTCTCCAAAGGGATTCCACTGTTATTTTGTGGCCATGTGGTTAGATTTTACCTTTGAACACATATTAGTATTAACACTTGTATAGGATTTCATTTTACTTTTTTTTTGCACTATGGGTGTGAATTTGTTATTTCCCTGGAATCAGGGATAGGTGAGGGATATGTCCTGTTGCACTCTGTAAAGTTCCTTACACATTCCTGGTGTAGTAGTAGTAGTAGTAGTAGTAATTTGCACTGTGACAGACCAAATCCTACTTACATTTACTCAGATATAAGTTCTACTGGCCTGGGTCCAGAATAATTGTTTCAGAAACAGAAAAATCAACCAGCATTCCATGGCAGTTGAGCATACCCAGCCATTACTGGGCTGTTTTTGGAGTTCTATGACAGGGGGTGAAGGGGCCCTAATTTTTTTTTGTACTCTTGTACCAAATCTGATTATACTTCCCTTTTGTGAATGGAATGGACAACGTCATTTTGGCAGTATATGCAATGTTACACTCCCCTGAAAACGGAAAAATACAAGGAATTATATCCATTGTACATTTGCACACATTAAATATGCAACTAACCTGTGACACAGAATGCATGGGTTGACAACTGGCACTTAGCTAATGCAGAACTAACTGTGCCAGTCTAGACACAGGTTTAGCTCATTTACTCACATTTTCAATCTAAATCAAAGGTGGGAAACCTATTTCAGCCCATTTTAGGCTGAATTTCACAGAAGGGAATTTCCAGGGGCTGCATCAAGCAGTGAGCAGGGTCCAAGCCAAAAGTACCGTACGTGAGGCCAGAGACTCATCTCACTCTATTTCTTTCTCTAATGCACTCCCTATCAACCAATTCCATTTTTGCTCTTTCCATTTTCTCCCTTTCACACCTCCAGCTGCCTCCTCTCCTACAATTAGACTTTTTTTTTTTTTTAAAAGACACAGGCTAAAGTGGAGATTTTTCAGTAGATGTTTATAGCTCTAAAAGTGTTCAGTGCTCACTTTATTTCTGGGTTCAGAAAATACTATTGCATTTTTTAAAATTACCAATGATTTTCATGATACATTTAATCATACAAAAATATAGTGCTATTTAGCATTCAATATAATATGTATATCATAATATATAATCACACAGCATGATTCAGTACATGCCTGTTATGAAGAATACACACTGTGGTTTGTGTGCAGCAAAGGCAGCAGTGGAATCCTAGGCAGGAGAATGAGGAAGGATTTGTTTTTGTGACTGAATTAGTTCCTTGCTATCTCTTTTATTTTTGTTCAGGAATTGGTTAAAGGAAGAGCAGCATTTCCCTCAAAGCAATATTCAAAACTATGATGTAACTTAAATCATACAATGCTCCATTTAAAGTGCGTATTTGCTGATTAAAACATGTAGACTTTGTACATGCTCAACTGATCCCATTGATAACGGTTGCATGATTCATCAAGGCACTTCTATTTTGAACAAACATTTACAAACAGAGATAGCAAGTGGCAGCATTCTTGTCATACTATGCAGTTTCACCTTTTCCTGCTCTATGGTGGAAGGGGGGGTGGGATGTCTGGATGAGGAACATCAGAAAAATGTCTTTTTAGAAATCTGTAAATAAAATTGAAAAGGCCATGAGACATTTTTTCTGCCCTTCCAGCAATCCTTGCTGTACAAACCACATTAAAACAAGAGGTCTGGAGACAAAGTATTGGCTGATCAGAGAAATTCAACCCCCTCCCCCAATTTTCTTTTTGCTTCTGCCTTTTGCTACATCCTTAGAATTGCCAGAACACAATAGCAACATAATTTTGTAACACCGTAATGGCTAGTATAAGCTTTCATGTGCCAAACGTACTTAGGCAGGTCCATAAATGGCAGAATACATTCATCAGGATCTAACCCAGAGATGGCTAAACTCCAGTTCAGGTGCCTGATCTATGCCCCAAAATATTTTTCCTTCTCCGCTAAGACCCCATTAATTAGCACTGGCAAAACATAAAAATAAAATAAAAAGGAAAGGAGATACAGTGCTGGGCAGAGCAAAGCCCGATGCCCTAATGGGGAGGCATATTCCTGGTCACTACACAGATCAAGTGGAGAAGGGGCAATAACGCCACTCCTCAGTTTATCTGCATGAATAGGCTGTGGAGGAGGGGCTGTGTGCCTGAGTGGTGGGGGGCATACTCACTGCATGCAGCCCCTGGAGGGCTGGCCAAGAGGGAAAGTGGCCTTTGGGAGGGAGGGAGGGAGGAAGGAAGGAAGGAAGGAAGGAAGGAAGGAAGGAAGGAAGGAAGCTGCCTGTTTTCCTCCTTTCCCTTTTGTAGCTTATTTTAGCACTGCCAAGTTTCTCTGTCACTTCTCCCTTTTACTCAGTTCCATCTTCTCCGATATTTTTCTTTAATAACCCTTTGAAAGCTTCCTTAAGGTTCCTTTCTAAGTCCATTCTGAACTGCACCTTCCTTTTAGCCTCCATGCTTCTGAGCCTTCTGTCTCTAAGCTATCTCTCAGCTTCCACACACACCAGACCTCTCCCAACTCTTCAGCCTACTTTTTTGTAAGGTTTAGTAGTTCCAAACTGACAACATTGGCTTCCCTCACAGGATCTTAACTGCAAACTCTTTAGTGTCCAGAGCAACAGAACATTCTGAGCCTAAACATCAGCTCAGTCAATCAGTGTCAGAGGCTTCACTGCCAGAAGAGCAATAGACAGAGAAAATAGATGGTGAATAGATGGTCTAGAAAGGGCCAATTGCAACCTAACATTTTATATTCATTGAAGAATACTTATGAAGAATCCAAGTGACTCCCTACACTGGAATTCAAAATCCTTATAGATACTATCAAAAAGGATTGGAAAGATAGTCTCCTGTTCACAGTTTTTCTTGCAAAAAACCCCCACATTTCCCACATGATTTCACATCAGTAGTATCAGCCTCTCACTGAGGAAAAACAAAATTATATTATCAGCACTAGCTCTCTAGTCTAGATGGCCCTGTGTTCTTATCTGTTTCCTTGGAGTTTTATTGAACTGTTTTCATTGGCTTTTTACTCTGGAAAGTGCTTCTCCCCAGAAATATGCTTTGTGATTTTGCTTCAGGCACGCATTGTACAAATCACTGTAAGGCATAACTTTCTTCCCTGTAAATGTATGAAAATGGCATTTAACCCATTTCCAAAAATGTATTAAATATGTACAGAAGTTATCCAGTTCAGTTCTTTAACAAGCACATTAATCCATGGAAATATTTCATTCTGCCTCCTTAGCAAATGGGAAGATCTCATCTTGTTTAATCTCAGATACTAATTTTGTTTTGCTTAAGTTTAATGTTTATTTTTTATCTTTAATAACTAATCTAATAATATATACCAAAAACTCCAAACTTTTACTTGTGATCTTTTCAGGATATAGACACTATTTTGCATCATGTGCTATTTGAACTCTCTGACAAGTCACCCAGCTCAGAAGGAGAGGTCTCTGGTAGAGATTGTTGAGAAGTAGCATGTTATATTTTTTTTTATAGATCACTGTTGGAGCCAAGGGAAGTGCTGGCAGGGAGGATGATCTTCCATTGCTCATTCCCATTCTAGACAACTGATCTCTTTATCTGTCTTCTCTTAGTTTTTTACATGTACTGCATATAAATTAGCCATTCTTACTACTTCTTTCTGGGCTTGCAGTAACTGGCATGTTCTCAGGGTACATATGAAAGGATGCAAATGTTGATGCTCCTCGGGCTTTGAAGGGATGATGGTGCTAGGGGTGAGCCTTTTTCAATTTACTAGTGGAAGCCACTAGATTCATTAGGCTAGGGATAATTTTAGACAGATCTTGCCACATAGTTCTTAAGTTTTTAAAGGAGCTTCTACACAGTATTGTTGTTATATATATTTTTTGCAATTATCCCATTACTTTTCTTCATTTCACCTGTCCCCCTCTCTCCTAATGCAGTAGTGCTAGTAGTGCACAGCAGTGCTAAAAGCCCCAGGTGTGGATGTTTTTGCACAAATCTCATGAGATCTGAAATTTCAGGTTCTCGTGAGACTTTTCAGCAAGAATTGCAGAACCTTATCCACCCACATGGTCCACCCTCAGTCAGGCCAGAGAGGGCTTAAACTATTGCACTCCCAGTGTTTTCAGTAATGGCAGACAGAAACAAAATGGTTGAGGTATAATCAGCCAAGGAACAATTAGGAGAGAGAAGTAATATTGTAGAACAAACTTTCTACCTGATATTTCAAGCAAGGTAAACAAATACTGATCATAAACCTTGCGTGGAAATTAAATACTCCTATACTAGGAAGATGTCAAAAAAGGGAATAGATTTGCATAAAATGTGCATGTGCCATTTATAAACACAGATGCAAATTTAGACAAGATTACTATAATTTATTTTAAAAATGTATATCACAGAAATGGAGAAGGTTGTGCCCAGGTGATCCAAAGGTTAACTAAGATCAGTTAACTAAGTTGATGGGCAAGATGCTCTCCCACCTTATGAAACTGAATAGAAGGTATCGTCAAACACAGAGATGTCCTTAGGCTGCCCTTCATATAGGGTGCAGGTCCTCTTTTAGGTAGGACACATGGCCACCCTACTTACCTGACACTAAAAATACAGGCCTTGTAGATCTTCATTGATTGCAAAGGAAATAATAAATGTAGAAAAGTAATTTCCCAGCAACTGCATTCCTACTGAGAAATAATGACATTCTGAGGCCGTCAGGATCCAGGCTAATAGCTGAAGTGAGAACTGAGAATATTTGAGGGTAAGTATTAATAGAAATGTGGATTCCCTTTAAAACAAGTAAGATTAATGGAACAGTAGATTCAACAGAATCAGATCCTTAGTAACTTTGTATTTGTACTAGCACAACATAATATTTCTATTTCTATTGCACTCTGTAGAGTTTTTCTAACTATTTCTCCTTTTCCTCCAATAAATTGTTTCAGGAAATAATCTTATCCTTTGACAACATCTTGACTCTTCAATTTAAAGTAACTAGAAGCTTTTTGAAAGCAGGTAACATTCCCAACTGAATGAAGCAGTGGGAGCTAGAGCAGACTATGGCAAATACCTTTGTGACCATACCTGATGGGTACTGCCTTAGTGATCCAATCCAGTATTATGGTGAGTTAAGCAAAAGGCAATTATCCACATGTCTCTCTGTGTATGAACCGAATTTCTACAGTTGTTAAATATATGTTTGATACATGAAGGACATTCAAAGCCATCCAGTGTGCCATTTCAGCATTGAGGGGATCAAATACCGTAATTCCCTCAGGTGACATAAAGATATACAGTACAAGATCCAAAAACCTACTCCAGTGTGGATGCATTGAAGTTCACTTAAGTAGTGAATTTCATTCTCAGAAGATATATTCAAACAATTTAAGACCAGTTGTGGCCCAGAGTGGCTTGGGAAACCCAGCCAGATGGGTGGGGTATAAGTAATTAAAGTATTATTATTATTATTGACATTTTTTAAAATTAACAGTAAACCCTCCAATCAAGGATAATATTGTCAGCAGAACTGTACACACAGGGTGCCCTTCTACAAACAATTCTACTATATTCTATAATTTAGAGATGTAAAATCCTAAACTAATCCACTGTTTTCTATGTGATTTTTCAAAATAATCTAGATGCCTTCCCAGAACACATCAGTTATCCACTGCAAGATCTTGACTTCCAAGCTGCTCCTTATTGTCAGTATTCAACCATTCAGTTTCCTGCAGCATTACAGACTCCATCTCCCCAAACACAGTACAGCACATACAACTTGGATTCTCAATACAGTGATGGGCAATACATCATCAGCAATTGTGAACTCAGTAAGCCCACCTGCATGGGTGCCCAGAATAATGGGGGAGGATATCTTGGACAGAAAAGACCCAGGCTTAGTCACTCTGCCTTGCGAATAAAGGGACAGGAAGAGCTCTGTGTGGTTTGTGGGGACAAGGCTTCAGGATATCATTACAACGCACTCACCTGTGAAGGCTGCAAAGGTAATGGGGAAATAATTTTGTGAATCAGAGAATGTCCGCTGGTTAAAATTGGGAAGAAAAGTCTAGTGCAAAGTTAAAGTTGGGGAGAAAGGTCTAGTGCATAAGGCAGGGATAGAGAACCTATGGCCTTCCATATGTTGTTGGACTACATTTCTGATAGTAAGATAGACACCCAGCTTTGATACGGGCAGTAGCTCAGTAGCAGAGCATCTGCTTTGCATGAAGAAGGTCCCAAGTTCAATCTCCAGCATCCCGAAGTCAGCCTAGGAATGTCCTGTATTAGGCTTGCCATACATCAGGAAAATATCTTATATGTTCTGGTTATGGGGTGTAAAAATGGTGTTGGGGGGAATTTTGCCGAATCGGCAAAATGTCAGGGAAAACCTGGATGTATGACAATGTGATGGAAAAATCAGTGGAAACAGCTCCAAAAGCTGGTGTCAATATGGCAACTCTATCCTGTATGAAATACTAGAGAATAGCTGCCACCCAGCACAGGATCAGAGGGACTACTGATCTGACTCAGTATAAGGAAACTGTCTATGTTCATAAGGACAAGCAGCATGGGTTTCCATGGGGATAACCTGGACAGTAAAGTCCCAGGCTCTGACTTACAAATGAAGGGCTAAGAAGAAGGATGTTTTGGTGGAATCTAGATGCTAATGGACTCCAACTCCCATCAGCCTCAGCCAGCATGGCCAATGGCCAGGGGTGATGAGAGTAGTCCATTTAACTGAAAGTTAAATCTTACTTCAACAATGGTGACAGGACAGCATCCTCTACTGCATGCGAGGGCAACAGGCTGTCTTATCAGCTGTATCATTTCTCATTTTTATGCTCACTTGTTCCAAATGTGTATGCTAGGATTTTTTCGACGTAGCATCACCAAAAACGCCATCTACAGATGCAAGAATGGTGGCCACTGTGAAATGGATATGTATATGAGGAGAAAGTGTCAGGAGTGTCGCCTAAAGAAATGTAAAGCTGTGGGAATGCTGGCTGAATGTGAGTGCCCAAATTACAACAAAAAATTCTGACATGCTGCTGAGTTAAGGAATTTTCCTTTCCTGCAATGTTTAAAGGCAACTAATGGTATTCCTTCCGAAGTTGTGTGTGTGCATGTGGGGTGGGGGGAGTTCACTCAGAGAATAGTTTCCTAGTCTTTAGAGTACATCTGATATTTAATTCCACCTCTGCTAGGTATCAGTACTTAGAAACATGTTTCTAAACTTGATCTCATGGTATAAAGGTATTTAACAACTCTGCTGAAGCTAACCAGGTCTGGGTGTATGCACAGGGCTGGTTACAGTGGGACCTTCACAAAGTGTTCTCTACCTCTGATAGCTTCCCTCCTATATGGGTGAACTCTAGAAGACTTACTTGGTGGCAGAATTATGTTTGATATGAGACAGCAGGCAGATTCTATTTATTCACATAGCTCCTGAGCCATGCTACACAGAGGGCTTAATTGAAAATTAAAAATGGTGGCTGCCAGACCTCATATTCTAGCACTGATTAGATTAAGAAGACTAGGGCTGTCATCAGAAGTGGGGTTCTGTATAGGATCAGGCAGAAGTGGGTTGTTGGGGGTGCTATACGAGCCCCAACAGGGGTTTGCTGTTGCTTACCAGGAGAGAAAGAGGGATGAGGCAGTGGGCATGGAGCAAATGCACCAGTGGAGCCAATCCAGTGCTCCCACTGGTGTGTTTGCACTTCACCAACCTCTCTGCAGCCTTACCCCTCAGGGTAAGCAATACTGACCCACTTACTCTGAAGCTCGCATAGAGGCTCCACCCCACCCATCAAGATGGTTCTGCATATTACTGAATCGGGCTGCATATTACTGAACAATGACTTAAAAATCAAGTTGTGTGAAAATATTAAAAATTAATCAATTAATTAAAAACTTGGCAAGTTATGTGTTCTTAGAAAGTGGAGCTGCTGTTCACCAAAGGGCCATAGCACAGTGGTAGAGCATGTGCTTTGCATTCAAGCAGTCCCAGGTTCAATCCCTGGCATCTCTAAGTAAAACTGAACAAGACTTGTCTGAAACCCTGGAGTTTTGGTATAAGGCAGCTTCCTATCATCTGAGGTGGTTTGCCTGCAACTGATAATCTCATAAGTAACCAATTTTAGGCTATAATCCTAACCCCTTCTCTGAGAGCAAACTCCACTGAATTCAGTAGGACTTACTTTGGAGTAGTCATGGCTAGGAATATACTGTTAAATGTTCTGCAAGGGAACATGCTTGAAATCAATGCCTTTCTGGAACTTGTTGTTTCCCCCTCTGGTTTACATTTTTTACAGGTCTACTAACAGAAGTCCAGTGTAAATCAAAACGCCTCAGAAAGAAGAGTAGCTTCCTTTGTAGCATCAAAATGGAAGTTGAGGGAGTGGACAACAAGCATGTATCCTCTACAACAAAACCTTTAAAAGTAGGGTATTTTAAAAATAATTTTAATTGTTGTATTTTAACTGTTGTATTTTGCTTTAAAGACATGCACATCTTTCTTTCTAAGGTGCAGGAGCGAATGGAACTGACTCCTGGAGAACATCAGCTCATTGACCATATTTTGGCTGCCCATCAAAAATGCACAATTCCCTTGGAGGAAGCAAAGAAGTTTGTATGTGTTCATAAACAGCAATATAGCAAATGTGATTTTGGCCTGGGGAAGCTTGGCTGCAGTAGTTCATGTCTTGGTTACTTCCAGACTGGATTACTGCAATGTGCTCTATGTGGGGCCTCCTTTGCACTTGATCCAGAAGCTGCAGTTAGTGCAGAAGGCTGCAGCACAATTGCTGAAAGAAGTGAGGCCTTGTCAGCATACACTAGCAGTGCTCAAAGATCTGCACTGGTTGCCAATTTGCTACTGGGCCAAGTTCAATGTGTTACTATTAATATATAAAGGCTGTAACAACTTAGGACCAGTTAACCTGTGAGATCACCTTATGCCATATATGCACACTTGACTGCTTCTATCTGTAGAACTAGCACTGTTACAGGTGCCACATAATACCTGTTCTGCATTTGTAAAAAAAATCAATCTTTACGTGTGACAGCAGCTACAATTTGGAACTCCCTGCCTATTAACATTAGGCAGGAACCTTCACTGTACACTTTTTGGTGCCTGTCGGCGGTTTGAATCCCTGCGATGGGGTGAGCTCCCGTTGCTCGGTCCCTGCTCCTGCCAACCTAGCAGTTCGAAAGCATGTCAAAATGCAAGTAGATAAATAGGTACCGCTACGGCGGGAAGGTAAACGGCGTTTCCGTGCGCTGCTCTGGTTCGCCAGAAGCGGCTTAGTCATGCTGGCCACATGACCCGGAAGCTGTACGCCGGCTCCCTCGGCCAATAAAGCGAGATGAGCGCCACAACCCCAGAGTCAGTCACAACTGGACCTAATGGTCAGGGGTCTCTTTACCTTTAAGGACATTTTTGTATACCTACCCAGATATGTAGTATGTTGTGTCTATTTTTAGTTTATTGCATTAAAAAATGTTTTAAACATATTTAAATTGTTTTTACTGCCAATTTCATTGTTTGATCTTTTTGTAAAGCACATTGAAGTTTTTCACAATCAAGCAGTGTATAAATTGTATGAATTAAAAAAAAATAATCTAACTTTCTATTGGTTTATCTTGCGAATACATTTTTTTTTAATTAGTTGCAGGAAACTGCCAATCCTGAAGAGAACTTCCTACATCTTTCAGAAACAGCTATGGTTCATGTCCAGGTACTAGTGGATTTTACAAAAAGACTTCCAGGTAATGCATTCCACAGGAATTTTTCTTGGGGTGCTTCCAATCTATGCATTTAGCATGGAATTGCCATGCCACTCACATTTTATTGGGCTGGGTGTGTGAGCACATATCATCATCATCCATTTGCAACCCTTCTTCTTTTCCCAGTGCTTATTCCAGTTTTTTTCTTCTCAGAAAGTTCACTGCTGTTGTTGAAATAATGGAAGGGTAGTGATATCTCCACAAATGTGTATACCTTAGTGCGGGAGATGCAATTAACAGAAATCAAGTGATATACAAATTTTACGAATAAATAAATATCATGGCACAGGTGCCCCCACCAATGCCTCCTATGTTGCCCACATAAGGTCTCTATATATCCCCTCAAAATCCAGATTGCAAGACTGTTTTTCCTGTTCTGCTCCTGTTTACATTGGTTCAGCCTCTCTTGCATTGAACATGCCCTTTCAGACATGCCCACATTTCACTGGATATCAACATTTAACACCCACCCTTATTTCTGTTCTGAACAGAGGAGAGCTGCAAAGAGCTTTTATCTGTGACTGCAGAAATGGATGATATAAGTGCCTTTTCCCCATTTATGTGGCAAGGCTGATATCTGTAACCTTTTGTGGTCCTGTCTCTTCTTGTGCTCTTTTAGACATCGCAGCCATTTTGTGTTTTGCTGTGCCTTCAAGGAAGCCATTTTGTGACTGGCACCCAAGGCATTTATGAACATTCCAAATGTTTCCACTGGCCATAATGGGTTGGTGTCTGGAGCCTTAGGGGATTTTTTTCTGACTCTTTAAAGCTACATTGTTTTGATATACCCAGTGATATATTGAGAAAGCAAACTTTATTACAGCTTGGCACACATTTACCTTTGTGGTGGGCACCATTTTATAACCCCTATTATTACTTTTTTAAAAGGTATCTTTGAATTAATGCTAAAAAGCTTATAGATTACAGTACTGCTTAACTGAAAGGGTATGATAGCACTGTGACATTAGAAGTCTAAGGACTTTTTTCCACAGTGAAGAGAAAAGCAGCATAAGATAGAGGATTTTTAGTGGGAAAATGGCCAGATCCAATAGAAGTTCCTACTTCACCTTTGCTAAAACTTGAAACATTTTGAATCAATGTATCATTATTAAAAGATATAATTGGGAGTATCTGTAGCTAGACTTTTCAAACTTTAGATCTGATTCTCAAAAAAATGTATTCTTTGCAAGATTAAAAAGCTTATATAAGTAAAGAACTGTCAAATTTCAGATATATACCTACCATCAAAAATCAATGTAATTTGATTACCTATTCATTTCTCTATAGGGTTCGAAAGTTTAGCCAGTGATGATCAGATTGCATTGCTGAAAGGCTCCACAATTGAAACAATGTTTTTACGTTCTGCCCAGATATACAATGAGCAAGGGATTGAATGCCAGTCATCATTCCATGAAAGTAAGTTATGTTAGCATTAGATGAACTTAATAAATTCATGCGTATATGTGCTTGCCATGATCACTTCACTATATGCATTTGATGAGGTGGGATATGGCTTACCCTAAGGCCTTTCCCAAATATGACCTTCCCTTGGGATAAATGGTTCTTTCTTCTCACTTTATCAAATGAGACATTGTGACACAAATTTAAAAATATGATAATCATAAGGTAACTTTAAAAGGGAAAATCTGCTCTTATAGACTTTCATTTCCCTTGCTCTAGGTCAAGTAAAATTTTCTGCCAATGCTATATGTGCTCAAGATAAAAGTACTTACTTAGGACTGTCTCATACTGAAGAATGCCCAACATCAACTACTACAACAGGTAACTGAGCTGTCCCACAAATATACTTTTAGTAAATTTTTAAATCATTGCTTACTGGATTACTGAGTTTTTAATAGCAAGATACATTTGATTTTCAGCCAGAATACCTCTTTGACTATCTATTTTGTTGATTAGACTGCTGAATAGACTATCAATCTTGTTGATTAGTCACTTTAGACTGCATTTCTTGAATGTTCTAGATTCATCTCTCTGCACCCTGACATCTGTGACTTCTTCCACTAATATATTTAAATGCCTGATAAAACTTAATTCTGCACCCTGGTATTTTCTTGCACATTAATATTTTATCTCCACTCCCTTTCCTCTGAGTGGCTGGACCTAAAATCTTATATGTATCTTATATATGCTATCTAACCTTAAAAATAGGACAATTATATGTTGTCTAGCTACCATCTGATATCTTCTGGTTTTTTTCCAGGTATCACTGAGGAGTTTATCACTGCACTATTTTATTTCTACAGGAGCATGGGAGAACTCAATGTGACAGAGAGAGAGTATGCATTGCTTGTTGCAACAACTGTGTTTTTTTCAGGTATATAGAGCAACTACACACAGTGTTCAAATACTAAAACTGAATAGTGTCAAAGAAGATTATATCAAAGTATTTATACTTTCAAGGTTTAATATCTTGGTTGTAAGTCCCATTGATTGCAATTGAACTTACATGTTAGTAAATCTGCACTGATCTGCTTAAGAGGATCCTCTGGGGGTACACAGAGGGTTGCAGGGGCAGAAGAAAGCAGAATTTTGTTTCACAGGTGGTTGGACGGAGGTGGATACCACCTACGGAAATTAATGGCATTTACCCCCTGGTAAAGGGGCATAGGATTGCAGCATTACCTAGAAATAAGCACTAATAAACTTCAAAGGACAATTCCGAGTAGCTAGACAGAAGATTGTGCTATCAGATCCTGATCATTTTTAGGGCTAAAAATAATTTTTTACAGAAATATTTTACATAAGTGCAAGCTCATGGGGATCGGAAATAACTTAACACTCAATATTTTTATGGCATCATGACCATATTGGGAGAATATATGTTTGAGTTCTGCATAGCATCATGTAATTTTAATTTTCCTTTTTTTTTCAGATCGTCCACTCCTAAAAAACAAACAACATGTGGAGAGACTCCAGGAACCCTTTTTAGGAATTCTGTACAAGTATTCAAAGATATATCACCCTGAAGAACCACAACATTTTGCCCGTCTCATAGGGCGACTCACTGAACTCAGAACCCTCAATCATAACCACTCAGAAATCCTAATAACCTTGAGAACAAGGGATCCTAAGCGGATACCTGTACTTTGTGAAATATGGGACTTGCATTAAACAATCTGCCAATTACTTAAGTTGTTACACAGGACTATTTTTTCCTCAAAATATGCTCTTTCCCAATTGTTGTGCTTGTATTTAAAAAAATCCCATTTATGTTAAATGGCTATATTCTTTTTTTAAAAAAAAAAATACTGTGCTGCAAAACCTAGATAGATCAGTTGGTGAGAGGATTGAAAATACCATTTGTGTTATAAACACACACACTTTTGTTGCAGTTGAAAAGGTATCAGAGCATGTATAACCTATATAACATTATTGCCACAATTGCAAGGGTATCTGGAAGACAAGCTTAAAATGGTATGGATCAGGTTCTTTACATGTGCTGTTTGACACCTCTAGAAAGTATATCTTTCTTTGCCCAGGAAGGTTTTAAATGAGTGGGAGAACAGTTGACAGCAGAAAAATCCTTTATATAGGACAGCACACAGAAGACTATGGGAAGTTGAGCAGGGAACTGGATCCCTGGCCTCTCAAGCCTACACATATGTAAGCTCTGATGGTCCATAAGAAATCTATTATGGCTTAGATGGATACTGCAACTATTATGACCACATAACTTTCTCAGTGACTTGAAGTGGATCCTGGTGCTTCTGTTGTAAACACGTACATGTCTCCAAACCACATTATTCACATCACAACACTCACCATCTTGTTTGTCAAAGTTATAAGCAATTAAACATTAAAGTTAACTAATAACCATTAGAAAACAAAATAATGAAATGATCGGTTATGTAATTAGTATATCACACAATTTTGAAAAAGAGTAGTAAATTATAATCACCCAGGATAGCTGGTAACCCACAAACTGATTATAGTTAATTGATTATAGTTTAGACCAAAATTTTAATAATTTGGTAGTTATATCTTTTTATTTACTTGCCAGTTCTAGTTGAGGAACAGCCAGAATAACCAGTACTAAGTCCAGATGTCTGTCCTTGATTAAATTTTTCAGTAACAACAGTTACAGGATGCACTGGAAAGATAACTCACTATATCTGCTATTATTTTATGTATTTCCCCCCTTTAGATGAAGCAATGGTAATTTAGTTTGATGGATGTTCAATTAGTGAAACCCCATGCATGTTTGAATTCTTTGTTTACAATTTGCTACATAATATGGTTCAACATTATCATCTGTTTTTGTGGACATCTCTTCACAGCTTCAGTTCTTTTGCTAAATATAAACCATAATGAACCAGTTTTGCTTTAGTCTTCTTGAAACTTAAATAAGTTGCAGTATTTTTTTCCTGAATGCTTATAAACAAACCTTTAAAACTGTGAATTTGTTGATGTACAGTGCCTTTGCTGCTATGGATCAAAATCAAAAGAACTCTGTAGCTAAACCTTTATTGTGTAAGTAGAAATTTACTTAATTTCATACTAGAAGTGAGTTAATGCTACAAGTTGAAATGGAATGTTCACTGAATTTCCAAATGTAGTAGCAAACGTTTGAAACAGATTTCAGCTATCAGTTTCAAAATATAAGTTCCTGATATTAGAACAATATTTTAAAAACATGGCTTAAAATCTCAGCATTTTTATATTATGTTATTTTTGCATTTTAAAATTATTTTTCATACCTAAAATATAATGTAAATAACTTATCTGAATATATAGTTAATATTTTAATATGTGAAATATTTTGTATAGTCTATATTTTTCAGATATATATTTAAGTGTAATAAATGCACTATCAATCTGGTATTCTGCAGCAAGATAGTTGTTTTTTGTATATATCATTAGTCATCCAACATGATGGTCCTTTGCTTTAAAGTCAGAACATGCTTTGTTAAAAATCTGAAGAAAACGATACCAAAGAATTATAGAAATGAAACTGAAAAGAAAATTAAGACCACAACCATGACCCAATTTTATCATATGACCTTTGCCACAGAACTTTGCCATAAATAAATGACTAATTAAGCCTGGATCTTATTCCAAGTATCCCATTTTCTCATTCATCCATTCAGATTCAAAGATGCCATTTAAGTGGGACCTATATGTTAGTCTACATGCAGCAAGCTTTAGGAATGTCGGTATTTTAGTCTGAAGGCCAAATTGGATGTGAAGGAGTGGCTTCAAGCCCTCTTTTTCAATTTTCTGCAAATAGTAGCCAAGTTAAGTCTGATGCAGATTACAACTCAATAGAACAAGGACTCAGCCACCTTGGCAAATAAAAAGCACTTTATATATGTTGTTTATGCATTATAACACTGTGACACCAGATGGCGGTGTGGAGTTCCATTTTTCCCAGTCCGATTTCTCATACAAACTTTAAAAGGCGTTTAACTGAAATGCTTTTTGATGTGTCTAGATCCAGCCCAATAGTAATCCCCATGCCATTTTCTGCAAATAAAACACCTATGTTGCTAACCCTGGTAAGAAACACATAAATGCACAAAACCTTCATCCAGTTTGGCCCTTAACACAGATGATTGTGTTGCCCAGCATGGCTTGCTTAAAATATGAGACTGTGGTCCTATTTACTCTCCAGTTTTAGAATCGAATTATATGTGATATAGGAGAGCAGTAATTAGATTGCCTGGCTTTTTTAACATTAAAACTAGTTTTCTGAATTTCATGGGAATCCCAATTTAAAATGGGGAAATGATGTGTTCCAATGAAATTAGAAGCTCTCTGTCTCTGTTTTAAATATGGGAGGGGTGGGGGAATAAACAGTCCAATCATGATCTTTTGTGCCTTTGTGCAGGCTGTGAAATCTGCCCTCTTACATTCCTCCTTGCATTAAGAAGCTGATGTGGAGAAGTTTTAATAAAAGATGCAATGTGCATGTTTTTGGATGTCACAATTGGTTAATTCCTTGCCATGTCAACCCTCCCAAATCTTGATTCCCCCGCCCCTAAATGTTTTGGATTAAAACCCCCCGCAGCCCTAGCCACTGGTTGTGGCTGAGGAGAGCTGTGGTTCCTAACATTTGGAGGACACCAGTTTAGGGAAGGCTGACATAAGGGATCTTTGTCATTGACATATTAGTTCAGAGCAGACAAATCAGTATCCTAACAATGTGGACATTCCATGGTATGTAAACATATCAATAGTTACAGTTGGTTATGATGAACACTAAAAAAATGAGAACAGTAAAGGGAAATAATTAATTTTCACTTTTGTCCACTACATTCTGGATGAGATAGTGAGCTGAATCTTAAAGGTGTTTTAAAGTGACAGCCTTGCATATTAGGAACATGCCAGATGGGTGGGGTATTAAATAATAAAAACATTATTATTATTATTAACATTGGATGCTGCCTTTTTGTGAGTCAAGCTATTGGTCCACGTAGTTCAGTATTGCCAACAGCCAGGGATGAGGAATCTGTGGCTCTAGAGATGTTGCTGGGCTCTCCATCTCCCATTACCACTGATCACTGGCCATGCTGGCCAGTGCGAACTGAGAGTCCAGCAAGCTTTGGAAGGCACAGGTTCCCCATCCCTGGCCTAACTGACTGACAGCAGCTCTCTACGGTGGCTGCATGTGCAGTAACAAGAAAGAGTGCGAAAGGTGATGCAGATGTCCATTAAAATCTGCATCTGCCTATTTATATTTTATAAAAAATAGTTATTAAATTTAAATAGAAATACAACACATCTCACCATAATACGGGTGATAGTTACCAGATGAAACCACTTTGAGGTTGTTTGTTGCTTCTTCTTTTTACAATCAAGCAGTATATAAATTGTAACAAACAAACAAACAAATAAAATAACTCAGTCTGCTGTCCAGGTGCTTAACTCTTCATGGATAATTTCAAGGCCTTTGTTTTCCTTTATGGTTCTTTTACTTTAAACTTGACTTTGTGAGGACAGCCTTTCAAACAGAGGGCTGTCTAATGTAAAGCAAGACACAGGGCTACTCTGGTTGTATTCAGCGTTAGTCCTCCTGCTCAGAGAATGCAATGCAAATAATGGATCTGTTAGTAATGCCCATTCATTTCAACGGGTCTTAATGTCAGTAGGTCTAACATTGGATGCAAGCAACCCTCCGGGCAAGCCCATGTTCTGACACTCACTTTCCCCCCGCCATTCAATTTGCCATCAGTTTCATTGTGTGAACAGGGTCTTTGGAGAAGTTCCACTCTGACCTGGGCTCAGCTGAAAGCCGACTCCTCCAGATGTGATGAATGTCGCAGTCATCTACACACTGGGTAGGAACTTACTTCTGGGCAGAGCTGTATAGGATTGCGCTGAGAGCCTATTCGAAGCAGCTCTAAACGGGAAAAAAAACTAGTGCAGTCATTTGCTTCGGTGTATAAGCTAAACAAGCTATAGCTTAGGGCCCCAATCTCTTGGGGGCCCCCAAAAAAAATTAAAGGAAAAAAAACCCTGGATGTACATTTCCAAAATATAAGATAAAAAAACAAATAAAATAAAACCTACATACAGCAACAGTGTTTTGTGTTGTGTAGGCTCCTATGATGTAAGTAATGGGACCCCAATCATTTTAAGTTAGATCTTAATAATTATTTCACTATTAAAATACTTCTTAATTGTATTTCACTATTAAAATACTTGAAGACAGGAGTGCCTGGCATGCGCTGGCCCATGGGGTCACAAAGTGTTGGACATGACTAAAGAACAACAACAATTAATATACTTCTTCTTAATTGTATTTCAGTTTGACAATTGCTTTGATAAAATACATATTTTGTTATTTGCAAATGGCTTTAGAGACCTATTAGGTCCATAAATTACCACATAGCGTATATTCAACACAAAAAACAGCGACAATTTGTTGTTGACAAAGGACAGCTGGACATATAAAGGGCCCTATTACCTTCAGTAGCTTGGGGCCTCATCAAACCTAAATCCGGCCCTGGATGTGGTCAAATGAAAGCGGCGGTGGGCGCGCGAAGCCAGATGACCGGGTGAGCAACGTTCCGGCCGCGCACGTGGTTCCCCTTCCCGAGGGGCCGAAATCATCGCGGAGTTTATCCCGCTCCTTCCCCGCCCCCCGCCCCCCCCCGCCCACTGAAGGGCTCACGGCTCACGCCGTGGAATCCTGATGGAGCCCCCTCGAGGGAGAGGAGAGGGCACGTTAAAGTAAACCGCCGACCCGTCAGCTCGCGCCTTTGCACACGGCCCGCAACCGGACGCTTTTCCCGCCTTTTCTTTTCCTTTGTACTGTATACTCCTACAGCCGTTTGAGACGTTAAGGTATACACACACACATATACATAGAAGGTACATACACACACATATACATATATGTATATGTCCTTCCACTTCGTTTTCTCAACCTATAGCACTCTCGCTCGTACAGGCTCGCTTACCCTCAGTCTTAGCTCCCACATTCGCGTCAGTTGGTGCGTCTGAAGGAGAGGGTAACACCTCTTAGATCTGCGCGCCTGACTCGCAGTTTCAGGCAGCAAAACGTGATGCAGTCAGCGCTGCTGTCGTTTTTACAAAACGCAAAAAACAAGGGGGGGCGCCTGCACTATTTGTGTGCAAGCGTGAATGCTGGTAATAGGGTGGTAGGAAGAATTGTCAAATGTATCTAATATTAGCCACTAGTTTACACATGTGAAATGCAAGAAAGTGTCTCGTGTGGGAAAGCGCTGCTTCATATGACCCTCAACTGTGTTACTGTATCTGATTTTTTTTTTTTTTTGCATTTCTTGCAACAGTATTTGGAATATAAAACTTTAAAGTTGAGTCTGATTTCATCAGCAAGATTCACAAGTCACATATAATTGCTGTAGAAGTATCTCATGGTTTATCACTGTCCATGTATATGTTGCTTCACAAACTAGATAACGTTAGGGAGACAAAAGAAGGGAGTGATGGAGACTGGTAAACTGAAAATATGGTATGGTGTTCTTTAAGAGACATCTAGGCTGCAACATTATGTGGGGACCAAGAGGTTATATGCAAAAGGTTTGATGGAAAAGATGAATGGAAATTGAGGGAAAAGATGGCTTTCACAGAGGTTTGAAGCACTTCCACCATAAAAGTTCAAAAGTTTCAGACTCACTATTTTCTGGTAGGATTCAATACCTACTTCCAAATTCACATCACACAATTAGCGTTGATTGGGAGGTCTTGCACAGCAAACCTACTTCCCACAAATATTTGGTTTTTTGTGCTAAGGAAAATGTACTGAAAAGTGTGGGATAACACTTGATTTGACAATGTTCTAACCTGGTGGCACAAAATTAGGATGAATGCTCAACAAATAGGTTGTTTGGAAGCAGCCATATTTTTAAATTGTCAACTGTTTGGTTCAGATAGAGGTACTATGGCAAAATATGATTATGCCCAACTGTTTTCATATTTCTGTTCATCATTCACAAGGAATGCATTTTAAATTCTCATATACAGTGTAATAGTGCTGGATTGTTTGTTGCACAGAGTTGTACGTTGAATTCAGTAGATCTACAATATTCTAATAGAGAATGATGAACACTATCAATTGATACAACTTGTCACAATAAAAAGTTTATAAGTATTACAAAAGGCTTGTTTTCCAAACACAAAGTATATAATTTTAAAAAAGTAAATATAGCTATGTTGCCCTACAAGAAAATTTCCAAAATCCATATTAGGGAAACACCTTGATTAGCCCAATCAAAATATCACAAAATAGGGTGCATTACAAGCTTTTGAGTTCCCCAGAACTATTAATCATTTACACATTAAAACAATCGATGGCATTTTAAACTGTATTGGTTTTGTTTGTTATTACAGTATGCATTTTTATATTGTAAACTACCCTGTGATAGTTTTGGATCAGGGGTACCAATTTTATTGGGGTGGGAGGAGGCAAGCCCCACGCTGCATAATCAGTCACATGATGAGGTGCAATCATACCTTTTGAATGGCAATGCTGTTCAATTGGGGGGGAGCTCAAATTTTTTTTGGGGGGTGGGCAAAGTTGTATTGGCCCCTAGGAGTTGGCTCCTATGCTTCAGATGGTGGTATAGAAAATTTATAAATAATTACAATTATAAATAAACCAATTATAAATAAAGCGGAGTGGGTGGGAGAAAAAAAGTTGGCTATGGAAGTGATTGAGTCTGCATCTCATCAGTCTTCAGATGGAATGTAGGAGGAGTTAGGAAACATTAAAAGGAGGCTCCTTAAGCACTATGCAGCTTTCAGGTTGCACCAAGGGCTGCAGGAAAGAAGGAACAAAGAATAAAGACTTCAGGAGAATTTGAAAGCTTATACACTGTTTTGTGATATTTTGGTTGTTGTTGGCCTAATAATGCACAAATGACAACGTTGCAATTATTTTTATGTTATTTTCTGTTTAACTTGGGAAATCCAATAAATCAATAATTCTCCATTTTCTTTCTTTTTTTTAAATGATATTTATTGAGAATTTTAAAGTTACAAAGAAAAACGAAAGAGAAAAAAAGAAAAGGAGAAAAAGAGAGAAAGAAGTAGATAAACATAACAATTAAACAATACAAATCAATAAAAACCAAAGTCAAAAAAATAACAAAACACACAATACATCTAAATCAAAAACCAAAATAAACAAAAAATTAAAAAACAAGTCTAATATTCCCAAATCCTTAACTTTCATTAACTTATTTCAACGACCTCCTCACACCTCCCTTTTTTGTATTCTAGTTGTTAATTATCTCAGCAAATCCTTTCCATCTTTCACAATATTCTGTCATTAAATTACCTTGATCTATTTTAACCTTATCTTACCCTAAAAAACCCTAAAACTTAAAACTTAAATCTTATATATACCAAATTCTTTTAACCATAACATATCTTACTTAATTCTTTTTGACATTTCTGCTAAAGCCAAATAATTTCATTCCAACATTTTTCTAATACTCATTAATTTTACGATACTTTTCTAAATAAATTTTTAAAACTTTCTTCCAATCTTCATCCATCGTCTCTTCTTCCTGGTCTCAGGTTTTGTCAGTCCTTTCTCGTCCATCTAATCCATCAACCTGGTGCTCTTATGTCCGAGGCTCTTAAGTCTTTTCCATGTCCCTTCTGCAGGTCTTCTTCTTGTTTATACCTGCCCTTTACTTTGTCTTTTGTTGATTTTTTTCTTATTTTCTTTCCTTTCTCATTGGGGGGTAGGTCTCAGGAGGGCTCCAATCCAAAAATATCTCCATCTCTCCTCAGCAGATCAGCCCATTCCCCACAGTCCCATTCCCCACAGTCAACACTGTAATCCAGAAAGTATTTAAAAGCATGTTTCAAAGTCTTTCCAAAATTAAGAGCCCTCACAACTCCAGACCCCCCCGGTCCACTCCAGATTCAAACTTCAAGAACAGCGGCTTATACTCCTGCAAGGCCTCGGATCTCTCCATTTGTGTTATTTGAGGTTCAACAGCAACCTCCTCCATTTTCTTCTGCACTTGCGCTTGCCCTATCAAAACAGATTCCTGGGCTGGTTCCTGGATGGTTTCTATATGGGTATTCGCCGTTTGTCCAAAGTTTTTAACTGCAACAGTCATCAAATCCATCTTCTCATGCATCTGCTCCAGCAAAGCACTTGTCTTGCAAAAAGCAAGCACCAAGACTTCTTGTAAATACATTTTTTCCCCCCAAGGTTAGAGTCTGGTCTCACGATCCTACTCATACAGCTGTGAGGTCCCCAGATCAGCTCCGGCAAGAAATTAACAAGCTCCCTCTAGAGGAGACAATTTCTATTTGTATCCATCTTTTGAAAGCAGGACCAACAAAGAAAAATTACTTTCACTTTTCAAATACTTTGTTTCTTTTGATTGCAAGAAGCAATATTGGAGTCAATTTTTTTTTTAAACTCTCTGTCAAAAGACGTTCCATTCACAGTCGATGAACTTCCCCATAAATTTCTGTCTCTGACACCCCGTTCCCAGGTTTGAGACGGTGGAAAATTTATCTTTCTTTACTCTCTCTCCTGCAGGCTTAAGCAGTCAAAAATCCCCCTCTTTTCTCCTGCTTCCAAGAGGGGTTTTGATGGTGATGAATGAAGGAAATTTAGAACTTTATATACGACTTTCCAGACTTTAGCTTACAAAGTTTTTGCTTCAATCTATTTACAAAAAAACGGGAGGCGGACTTCCTGTTTAGAACCTTCCCGTTTCGGTGCCAAATTAAAATATTTCTTAATCCAATTTTCCGTTCTACTCACGGGTACTTGTTTAGAGTCCAATTGTCCACAGGAAAAGGTCAGCGCTCTCCGGCAACGGCTGTGCGGCTTCACTCCGTAAAAGTAGCGGTTGATTCAAAACACTGCGCCACTCACCCCACGTCGCTTCGGATCCCCGAAAAAGGGTTTCCCTGCGAGTAGGGGAGGCGCTCCTGGTGTCAGCCGAATCCCACGTTCCCAGGCTTCCTCTGCCTGGGATTTTTAAAGGGTCTCCGCCTTCGCCGCGGCGGCAAGACCCGATTTTCACGGAGCGGGTTCCTCTCGGTCAGAGGAACTCCGCCTTTGCCGATGGCGCTGTCCCGGAAGTCCATTCAATAATTCTCCATTTTCAATATTGCAATACTAGTCTACTTGACAGGGCTACTGTAAGAATTAATAGCATGATAAATTATATTGTTCTGCAGAACATAGAAAGGGATTGAAAATAATGCAACATATTGAGTACATTTTATCATGAATTTAGTATTGCTAGTGTTATTTTGAGAGTTTAATTCTTGTGTCTTTTAGACAGAAAATGGAACAGGAGAAATCTTTTAAATTGTTTGTACCACCAATACTGAATAATACCCTAGTATCTGCAGTCAAACCACAGACAAGCAAACGAGATGGACGATGTTTTCAGGTAAATAAAAACTGTTACTTTAAAATATGTATAGCAAGTTTACAAAAGCTGACCAGTGTTTTAAAAATTAAAGATTACCTGTATTTCCATTTATCCACACTTAAACATTGATAACTCAAAATGCAACATTCCAAAGTTTTGAAATTTGAAACTACAAAACTAAAGGAAAATGCCATTCATATGAAAATTAAAAGTAGACACTCAACTCATTCTAGACAATGTTGGGCTACATGGACAAATAATCTGACACTATTATAATACGGCTTCCTGTGTTTATTTGTGTTTATGTGTTTATGATCCTATATCCTAGTATGTTCCACTTGCACTTATGGTTTGCCCCAGAGTGACTGGGGCAAGCCAGTCAGATGGGCGGGGTACAAATAATAAAATTATTATTGTTATTTTAAATTCCTAGTTCCCCGTATGTTCTACTTCCTCATTAAAACATCTGAGTTGATCTTTGCCCACGTCTACATAACCTACTCGTAGCCTTTTGGAGTGGAGTGCTTGAAGTTATGAAATTGCCCAGTATGCAAGACCGTAATACCCCTAAATTAGAATTAGTTTTAATGACAGCTTAACCTGATTTCATAACTTGGCAGTAAGTCCTATTGATTTTAGCATATTGCATTTTCAAGTAATCTGTTTATGACTGGGGATGAGCATGTCCATTAAAAGGTATTATTATTTCTATAATGTTTTATTTTTCCAGGATTTTAGCAAGGGAACTGAAGATGATTATAACTTGCCTTTTGGGATGAAAAGTATGTCAAAACATATAGAAGTCATAGGTAAGATTAAAACATAAAAATAATATTAAAGAAGATGGAATGGTAGACCTTGAAAAGTGAAGTAACCATAAGAACTAGAGCCAGTTTGTGCTGGAGTCATCTCTGAGAACTTCTGCAGTATTTAAAGTTGTGTTGTTTGTATTAAACTGTACTTTGTCATTTGCTTTCTATTATTTTTTGGTAAATCAGAATCCAATATTGTAATGGTTCTAGGGGTTGCTCGTGCGTAAGCTTGTCCCAGCCTCTGGCTGGGTTGCCTGAGTGAACCTTTCCTGTCCGGGCAGCCACTCGCCCGTGACTGTCTCAATCGCTGGCAGAATCCGTCAGTGGGCGTTTCTTAAACTTCTTCCAGCAAAGAAGCTCTTTGACGCCAAGTCTCCTCCTACTCTCCCTGCACGGAAGCCTTCTGCGCAAGGAGGGCGTAGGCAGCGGAGGACCCTTCCTCTCCCTGCTGGTCCCCGGCAAGGAGTCATGGGACCGCCTCGCCGATTCCCCCATCTGCCCCCCTTCACCACTGGAGCTATGTTGATTCTCCTTCCCATAAGACGGGCTGCCTCTCCCACTCCCGGCACGCTCGCTGGGATCCCTTTGGAGCTTGCTCTCTCCCTCGGACACTGATGGCAGTTCCCTGACAAATATATTCTGTATTCCATTTGTAGCCTATGATGTTTGTATGGACATACACTTATTAATAAGACTAACACATAGCAATTTAGGAATTAATACTGTTATTCAGTTGTATTGTTATTATAATGTTTGTAACTTATAATTATGCATATTTATTGTTAAATAATCAGACATTAAATATTGTATTTCCAGAACCTGTAAAACCTGTGCCTGAGCTAGAAATGGAGGTGAGTTAAATATACTGTTGCACGCCACCCATATCTCTGAGTGGTGCAAGATTCCATGGGTTCCAGGTGCTCACCCAGGGTCAGAGTTTCCATTTTGAAATGAGACACAGCAGAGACTGTGGTGTCTTTAGGATATATGGTTTATTTACACATATATACAACCTAAGCCTATGATGGAGGGGTTCATAGCATCAACACCCTAAGAGGCTCTTGTTTCTCCCATAGCTGCAGCCTTGGATTCAAACAGAAATCAAACATTGTGTTCTGACCCTCTCTACAACTTGTTGCCTTTACCAGCCTGCAACATTATTTCCTCTAGGTTACATCATAGCCAACTCTCAACTGTGGCCTTTTGTCTTATAGCTGACTCTGAGTTGAGGGAGGGCCCCACCCATTTGCTTTCTGGCACAGAGCCCCCTCTGCTTAGCTTTTAAAATGACCCATTACCTTTCCTTTGTTCTCTTAATGGCCCATCTCTCAGGCGATCTCCTGACCACCAAAAGCTGGGCCCAGGGATTTAAAATCTGGCATTCAGTTTAACCCCCCAAGACTTGATTAAATTCTAACACCTTCCTTTAGGGGAGCCTGGCACACTCAAACTCATAACACTACATTTTGTGTAAAGGGAAAGGGACCCCTGACCATTAGGTCCAGTCATGACCGACTCTGGGGTTGCGGCGCTCATCTCGCTTTATTGGCTGAGGGAGCTGACGTACAGCTTCTGGGTCATGTGGCCAGCATGACTAAGCCGCTTCTGGAGAACCAGAGCAGCGCACGGAAATGCCATTTACCTTCCCGCCGGAGTGGTACCTATTTATCTACTTGCACTTTGAAATGCTTTCGAACTGCTAGGTTGGCAGGAGCAGGGACTGAGCAACAGGAGCTCACCCCGTCGCAAGGATTCGAACCGCCGACAGACACCAAAAAGTGTACAGTGAAGGACTTCCGGGGGAGGCGCCTCCAGAAATGGCAGAATTCCTCTGACCGGGAGGAATCTGCTCCGTGGAAATCTGGGTCTGGCTGCCACGGCGAAGGCGGAGACCCGTTAAAATCACAGGCGGAAGAAGCCTGTGAACGTGGGATTCGGCGGGCACCTTTTCTGCCTCCCCCACTCGCGGGGAGCCCCGGTTTTTGGGGGTCCGGAGCGACGTGGGGTGAGCGGCGCGGTGCATCGAATTGTCTGCTTCTTCCATGGAGCGAAGCTGCATAGCTGTTGCCAGAGAGCGCTGACCTTTTCCTGTGGACAATTTGACTTTAAAGGAATTACCCGTTAGTAGAGCTAAAACGGAAGAATTGGATCTCTAAAAGTTTAATTTGGTATCGTAATGGGGAGGTTCAAAACAGGAAGTCCGCCTTCCCTTTTTGTAAATAGACTGAGGCAATGAAGTTGCAAGCTGGAGTCCTGGAAGGTCTTTTGTAAAAGATCAAATTTCCAACGGTAAAGAACATTAAACCCCCTCTTGGAGGCAGGAGAAGAGAGGGGGAAGTTGCGGATTGAGTATGCCTGCGGGAGAGAGCGAAGAGGCTTAAAACACCGCCGCTCTGACCCTGGAAACGGGCTGCTAGTAAGACTGACTTTTTTTTTTTTAATGTTCATTGACAGCGTTTAGAACATTCATTGACAGCTAGTTAAATAAGAGAAATACATTGTTTCTACTGTTTCCGGTTGTTTTTAAAAAAGGAGGAAAGTAACTGAAAATTGAAACTAACTTCGGATTATTGAAACTGTGTTTAAAAGAGGACATATTGACCAATACAAATACAATCTGTTTTCCCCTAGTGGAAGCTTTTGAAATCGGTTACTTTATAGGAGCTGGGCTAGGGGAATTTCCAGCTGCAAGATAAAAAAAGTGTGAGACTTTGGAATTGACCTTGAATCTCTTAAGTGTTATGGCAAATGGAAAGGAAACAACAGACGGGATGTCGACAGAGGAGGCCTTAGTGGCTGCATTATTGAAAATAAACGATTCGCTGGAACAACTCCATAAGAAAACAGATGCGATAAATGTGAAATTGGATGTTGCAAATATTGAAACTGATTTAATTGTAGAAAGTTTAAATAACTTGGGACAAAAGGTGAATACCAATTCAGAAACCACCCAGAAACTGATACAGGAATCTACTCTGAAACGGCAAACTGCAGATGAAGTCAGGGAAAAAACCCTTGCTGCTGAATCTAAAGTAATACAACTGGAGAGGAGAGTCCCATCCATACAAAGACAACTTGATGAACATAAGCTGACATTCGTTATGATTGAACTTAAAGAAGAACGGATGAATTTGAGGACCAGAGCCCTATCTGAATTGGAAAAGGAAAGCCTGACAGAGTTTCAGGAGGCGACAGGACTAACATTGGTTGAGAAAGAGAGGTATTTGGGGGTTAGCATGACCGCCAAAAATGTGAATCTGCTTAAGGACAACTGTGAAGGATGTTGGATTGAAGAGAAGGGGGATTTGGAAATATGGACAAATCAGAAGTTGTTACTGTTGGGCCGAGTTATTGTGGTGGGGATGAGGGCTGCTGTGTTGCTGGGGATGTTGCTTTTGTTTCAAACATTGCAAGCTCTGGATGGGATGGAGGGTCTCAGGAGGTGGCAGAGGGATGCTCCTAGAGTTGTTTGGCAGGGCAGGAAGCCTCGAGTCAAACTTAAGATATTGATGGATGCTAAAGAAGGAGGTGGACCTGCCCTGCCAGACCTTTAAACTTCGTTGTGAACCATCTGCCTTTTGCTGGTTGAGAGAATGGTTGCTTCTTGAGAACACTGAAGTGTTGGACAATGGCAGACAAAGTTGATGGACTATAGGGAATTGGCGGAAATGACTGGCAAGATCCGAGACCAGGGTGAAGAGTCGGTGGAAGAAGATTGGAAAAAGTTTAAAGACTATTTATAGAAATATTGTAAAATTAAGGAATGTTAGAAAAATGTTGGAATGAAATTACATGGCTTTAGTAGAAATGTCATAAGGAATTAAGTATAAATAGATTAATAGAAAATTAAAGGAAAAGTATGGCAAGAATGTGTTAAGATAATTATAGAACAGAAAACAGAGTAAGATGGAAAGGAATTGCTGAAACAAATAATAGAAGTGGAATACAAAAAGGAGGTGTGAGGAAGTCGCTGGAAATAAGTGAATGAAATATAAGATATTGAATGAAATTTGATTTATTTTATTGTTGTTGCATTGTTTTGTTAGTTTAATGTATTGTATTGTATGTGTTTTTTCTTTTCTTTTAGTGTTTAAATTTTTTGGAAAAGTAATAAATATTATTTTTTTAAAAAAAACAACAACAAAAAGTGTACAGTGAAGGTTCCTGCCTAATGTTAATAGGCAGGGAGTTCCAAATTGTAGCTGCTGCCACACTTAAAGATTGTTTTTCTTACAAATGCAGAACAGGTATTATGTGGCACCTGTAACAGTGCTAGTTCTACAGATAGAAGCAGTCAAGTGTGCATATATGGCATAAGGTGATCTCGCAGGTTAACTGGTCCCAAGTTGTTACGGCCTTTATATATTAATAGTAACACATTGAACTTGGCCCAGTAGCGAATTGGCAACCACTGCAGATCTTTGAGCACTGCTATTGTACGCTGACAAGGCCTCACTCCTGTCAGCAATTGTGCTGCAGCCTTCTGCACTAACTGCAGCTTCTGGATCAAGTGCAAAGGAGGCCCCACATAGAGCACATTGCAGTAATCCAGTCTGGAAGTAACCAGGGCATGAACTACTGCAGCCAAGCTTTCCCAGGCCAAAATTCACAGGGGAGCCTGGCACACTCAAACTCATAACACTACATTTTGTGTAAAGGTAAAGGGACCCCTGACCATTAGATCCAGTGGCCAGCATGACTAAGCCACTTCTGGAGAACCAGAGCAACGCACGGAAATGCCATTTACCTTCCCGCCGGAGTGGTACCTATTTATCTACTTGCACTTTGAAATGCTTTCGAACTGCTAGGTTGGCAGGAGCAGAGACTGAGCAACGGGAGCTCACCCCGTCGCGGGGATTCTAACCGCTGACCTTCTGATCGGCAAGTCCTAGGCTCTGTGGTTTAACCCACAGTGCCAATAAAAATAATCTATTATTAGCATTATCTGAATGTGTTTGGATCACATTAGTTTCAGTTCTCAACTTTTCACCTAAGTTCTCTCACCACGCTGACACCTAGTTTCTCAATTTAGGAATATACAGGCACTGTTGAAAGAAACTGATTTTATAGATCCATTTCAATTGGGGTTTAGGTCCAGTTTTGGCACAGAAACTGCCTTGGTTATCCTGTATGATGACTTCTGTTGGGTGAGAGAGACAGGGGAAATGTGTCCTTGTTAATTCTCATTGAACTTTCCATGGCTTTTGATACCATTGACTATGGTATCCTTCTGGAGTGGCTGTCCAAGTTAGGAGTGGGTGGTACTGCTTTGCAGTGGTTCTGGTCCTACTTAGATGTACATTTCCAAAGGATGATGCTTGGGGAGTGCTTTTCAGTCCCATGGAACCTCAAGGTTAAATTTTATCCTCTATGTTGTTTAACTAACTATGTTGTTTAGCATGTTATCTAAACATGCTAAAAACATTCCTGTTCACAAACATTCCTGTTCACTTGATACCAACTAATTGTCATAACTTTTTAGTTCATTTTGTGGTAACTTGACTTATTTTTATCATTGTTGTATTTTTAAGGGACTTTATTCTAAACTGACTTAAGATGTTTTCATAAAAGGCAGTATAGAAATGTTTTAAATATATTAAAATTTCAGTCACTGTCACATTACTAAATTGTATATTTCATACTATCCTTGGTGCACACAAGGAAAAGTTTTTATTTAATGGCTAATGTGGGTATCAAAATTTAAATGAAAAGGCATTTCATTAAAAACCTTTTAATTAAACATTATACAATAAATTATTAAACCTGCCTTTATAGAACATGGAGACAATGAATGAGCTTTATTCAAGGCTTTACAAAGAAGCTGAGAAGATCAAGAGATGGAAAGTCACTACAGAACATGAATTAAAGGAAAAGGAAATAAAATTGCAAGAAAACAGAAAGATTATAGAAGCACTACGTAAAGCTATTCAAGAGTTACAGGCAAGTGTTTATAACATTTTGAAACATATAATTTTTAGATAAGAATAAAATGCTTAAAAAAAATTAGGGCATAGTCCATCCCAGCATGGGTGCAATGCCTGCACATGGAGGGTTGTCATAGCCTACTACACTCTCCAGCCTCAAGCTGGTGCAGGGATCAGAACCTATTGTGCTGCCCACTAGTCTGCTGTGGTTGCTGTGAGTGGCCAGGCTGTCAATGTGATTGTGGCTCCACCATTCTGCAAAGCCCTGTGGGTGGGGGTTAGGATTGTAAATGTGTGCTGACATTGTCCAGCCCTCCTCTCTTCTTCCCAAATCCCTGTCATGAACTGAGGGAAAGGTGTTGTACATGATTTTTGCAGGAAGAAGAAGTGGAGTCCATTTGTACAGTATCGTATTGTATATATTATTGAGGATGACCTACTTGCTTACAGATTACTTCTTGCTTGGGTATTAAATAAAGATTGGTAAAATTAAAACATGTACTGTACAGGTTACGTATGTAAATCATGGGATCTTGCTGGAATTTTGTGACTTTCAAGCTTACTTTCATTTCAAGCTTTTACAATGCACATGTAGTTTGTGATGTAATAAATGCAATAATACCCAAGTCTAATAAATATGTATTTTGGGAAACTGACATTCCCCCCCTTTGATAGTGATAATTATTAGTTTATCCAGACAAAAGCATGCTTTTTATATCTTTGTTTTATAAATTTAGTTTGAAAATGAAAAACTAAGCTTAAAACTGGAAGATGTAATACATGAAAATAAAGATCTTCTAAAAGAGTAAGTAATGTTAGGATAATAATTTTGTAATCATTTGTTTATGCAATAGTATGAGGCAATTAATGACCCCTTCTAATTACACTCATTGTCATGAGAGATCTGTAAGATAAACCTTTATCTTTTATAAAAGGAGAACTATTCCTGTCTAGGACTCATTAGTTTTTCAGGTTGCTCTTCTGTCCTTGGTACCACACTGGCTCATGAAGTCACAAAAAGTAATCAAAACCTGCATGTTTTTGCCATACTTTGTTTGCTTTTTTTTACTATTCATCTGTGTCTTCTTTAGTGTGTTTTAAAAAACACCACTTTTCACAACTGCATTTCTGTGTGCTCCTCCCCTCCTTATTTCTTCCCTTCCTGGTTGTTTTCAGGTGGAGAGGGCCTTTCACCTTGGCAATCAGTGACTTTTGGCTTGAAAAGACTTTTGGCTTGGGCAAGGTTTCTAAGAAGCTCAGTGTGCTGCAGTGCTAGATATCATCGGAGTATTACAACTCCTCTTGTACTTTGTCCATAACAGTGGGTGATGGGAAAGTGGCAGGCAACATGGCTGGTGTGACTTCAGTGGTCCTGCTGAATATGACCAATAATAGTTCCACAATGGCTTCTGCAGTTCCCCCATCCAACTTGACCATGGCAGCAGCCATTTCTCAGCACAGTTGTGGGGTGGACTGTGGCAAAACCAGCTGCTGCTGATCAGTGGAAAGCCTGATATATGGTGGATCCTGTTCAACCACATACTGGCCAGACTCAATGGCTGTCTCCCTGCCACCTGACTGTATGTGACAGGTGTGCAGTGGAGGTGCTTCTGGAGGAAGAGGGGCCTGCTCAAATGCAAGTACAAAGAGCTTCTGTTGTGGCTTTCTGTTCTTCAAGTGAAGAATTTTATGAGTTTCAATCATCTCATGTAAATTAATTGCCTTTTGCTGTGTCAGACCCATCTATTACTGTGTTTCCTTTTGATCAGTTTGTCCCTTTGCCATAAGGGCAGTCTTTGCAACTGACAGATTCCATGTTGCATCAAATTACAGATGCCTTACTAGGAGATATTTCTTAGCACTTTATATGTCTTAATGTGGTTTCTAGGTGGGACATGGGTGGCACTATGGTGTAAACCACTGAGCCTCTTGGGCTTGCTGATCAGAAGGTCAGCAGTTTGAATCTGTGCGACAGGGTGAACTCCTGTTGCTCTGTCCCAGCTACTGCTAACCTAGCAGTTTGAAAGCACACCAGTGCAAGTAGATAAATAGGTCCCGCTGTGGCGGAAGGTAAATGGCATTTATGTGTGCTCTGGTTTTTGGCCACATGACCTGGAAAGCTGTCTGGACAAATGCCAGCTCCCTTGGCCTGAAGCGAGATGAATGCCACATCAAATTCTCCTTTCTATATATTATATTTTTCCTTGCCACTTTCCCTTGTTCAAGCAAAGTGCTGGCTTTATTTATAAAGACAGTGCTGCGTATGCATTGAACTCAGTGTTATATAAATTACATGGAGACAGTGTTTTGTAGCACAATTTGAACCCTTGTCCTAGTTGCTAGGGCACCACTGGTTTCTCCAGGCAAGCAACCCATCTGTAGCCTCATGACAGCTTGTACATAAGGAAATGTTGTGGTTTCTTTGTAGCTGTTTGTCTGTTGGGTGTGTCTACTGGGTGACATCTTGGTTTTTTGTTTTTTTTTACTATTTCCCCCCTCCCCTTATTAGCCTGGGTGATACAGATTTCACAGGATTTCAGATTTTCATTACTTTTTTCTGTAAAGCATAATGGACACAAGTAATACTAGGGATATAATGCTGATATAACTGTTTTTCTCCCCAGAAACAGTGCTACAAGACATTTGTGCAATTTGCTCAAAGAAAAGTGCATGCAATTGATGGAGAAGTCTAACAAATGTAAATATCTCTTAAAAAGTGTTTGCATCCCCCCCCCCCAAGATTCTCATAGACTGTTTATAACCTCCTTTCCCATGTTAGCCTTACACTGGGAACTGCTTTGCTAGTCAGTTCTGCAGGAACAGCTTATAGTCTTACAAACAGGAATTCAAGGTGCTGATTTTTAAACTCCAGATGCTCCTTTGCATCCTTAAAAACAAGTAGGAGAGCATGAACTGAAGAGCAATTCCATATGATGGGAGTACTAGAAAGGCATTCTGAGTTGTGACTCCTTAGTTGCAAAACATCTTGTCTCTAAAGACTCACTTTAGAGTTCAGGAATTTTAGTAGAATAACAGGTCATTGCTATTCTTATTACTTTATCTCTGGTTTTTTTTACATATTAAAATAAATATTTAATCTTTTATGTTGTTAATTTTGTTTTAGATGAACATGAACAAGAGGAAACCAGACAGATGTATGTGGATCTTAATAATAACACGGAGGTAAAAAAGACATATTTTATAGTAGCATTATATACACACACACAGCACCCTGGTGTCCTCTGTGATGGTGCACACCTCCTTTCAGTTCCTTTTTGCTCCAAACTCTTGCCTCTCATAGTTTAATTTTCCTTTGAAAAAATGAAATATAGAAAAAAACCTTTTTAAAAGGAGAGGTGTGAGCTGTGGTTAGCCCAGGATTCAGCTGATAGCATCCTTCAAGGATTTGGTCTTCGGTTTACAGATGTTATTTTGCCTGAGATCCTACAAGTATCAGCACTGTTTTTTAATATTTATGTGCAGTTGCTGAGAGCAATTTTAATAAGGTAATGACGTGCAACTGTTTATTTCATTAACTCAGGGGTGAATTAAATATTAGATAGTAGACAGATCTGGGAATCTTGGTCTCCACTAACCATTTAAAAGGTGGTTAGAGTGCATGATCTGTGAGAAGTGGCAAGTGGTGATGGTGGTGGGGAGAGCACTTAGCCCTTATTCTTCCCGTCACTTGTTATTCCCTTCTCCTCTCATACATTTTCCTCCAGCTAGGGTAGATGTGTGTTTGCTGTGTTTGGCAGAAAAGCAGATGGGGAGTGGGTTATTCCCTCCTCACTCATCTGTTGCCTCTCCCCTCAAAAACCACATTATCCACCTACCTTTTTAAAGATGATCCAGCAATGCTTTCAATTAGTAGGTACTCTTTAATGTCTTAAGAAAAAATATTTATATCAAGGGATTGTTCTAACCGTTGAGTGGATAACTATTGGTGTCAGGGGCTCCATCGGGGTGGGGGGCTTTGACCCCCCCAATTTTCAAAGAGGGAGCCGGGCCTCCTCAAAATTCTGTGGCATCTGGATGTGTAGTGGCTACCACTGCTAACACAAGGCCCACCAGGCTGCCGGTGCAAGGCCTCCCAAGCCGCTGCTAATGCCATAAGAACTGCTGGGCTACTAACAGACCTGCTAGGACACCAAAACCAATGCAGAAGTGCAGCTGCAGTGGTTTGCGGTGGCTCCTCTTGCTGCTGCTGCAGAGGGGAAGCAGCCCCTGGGCCATGGCAGCAGCAACAGCAGCAGGAGGAGGAGCTGCTAGCGCTGCTGGCCATGGAAAACAAGCTGCTGTGGAACGCCTGGACATGACATCATGATGTCACATGCAATGCCAACCCCCCCCTCCCCCATTTCCTACCCAATTGGTGTGAATTTTAAATATTTTAAAAATAAATTCAGCATATATTCACTGGCATTATAGGAAGTTTGTTGTTACTAATTGTTTATTTACATCTGTTAGAGAATGATACATGCCTTTGAGGAGCTTCGTGTACAAGCAGAAAACTCCAGATTGGAAATGGTTTTTAAATGTGAGAATCTTTTTTAAATTTATGGCATTTGTGTAATTATTTGAGAGAAGAAGTGGTTACTGGTGGGAGAAGCCTGGGATAAGGGTAGAGCTTGGATGAAATCAGTAGTAGCTAGTAAGGCAGCACGGGTGGGACACAGTTGCTGTCCTGGCTTCCGAACATGGAAGGTTGCAGGTGCTTATTGAGAGAGAGAGGAGATGCAAGGTACAGGGAGCTTGGCACACAACAACACTGCCACACACTGTACCAAACTCCCTGCACCTCATCCCTCACCCTTCCCTCAGTAAACGCCAGTGATCCACTGTTTTGGGAAGTCTGGAGAGCAGTGGTGCCCCACACGCAACTCCTCACAGGCTGAAGCTCAGTGGTACAGTAACTTCTCTGCATACAGAAGATCCCAAGTTCGATCCTTGGTATTTCCTGGTAGGGCTGGGAAATACTTCTGTCTGAATCCCTGGAGAGCTGCTGCCAGGCACTGTAGAGAAAACTGAACTAGATGAACCTACATGAGCCTTTTTACAGGTCCAAAACTAGGCCATGTAACATTACATCAAGATCCATTGTTATACAGTAGAAAAAGGCTATTTAATGATTGTGGAATTACACCAATATGTGGTGATAGCCACTGATTTAGGTTTAAAATGGAATTTGATATATTTATCATTGGCTACTAGTCATGATCACTAGTTAAATGCTACCTCTAAGAGGCAGAGTGTCTGTGTATGCCCATTACTAGGGAACAATACATTTTGCTTATGGACTTCTCATAGGCACCTGGTTGTGTACTGTGGGAAACAGGATGCTAGGCTGGACAGGGCTTTGATCTGGTGTTGCAGGAATCTTATGTTCAAAAGGGTTGAGAAAATGATATAAATGAAATTTCTATCTATTTTCTTATTTCATCCTATACAACTGCCATGTTTGTAAGCCACCTTAAATAATTGAATGAGAGAGGTAAAAATGTTTTAAGTAAGTTTTTAAGAATCATTTTAAGACTTCCAATTATGATTCCCTGTTTGGCTTTCTATTATTATAAAAACACAAGAAGCAAACTCAGTGGAAATGCTTGTGTTTCATACTTGTTGCTGATGATAATAGAATTTTCTGTAACATGAAATTCATAGTGGAGAGCATTATGCATGACAAAACCATGTGCTGTGTCAGGAATTATTCCTTCCTGCCATGTTGTTTTGGAATGAAGGTACACCAGACACCCAAGTTTTCTTGTTCTTGTCAGCTACAGTGTTCAAGTACTCTTCAGTCAAAGGAATTAGAAAAGGGTAGCTGTCAAGTTGCTCAACTTTTTGTGTTTTGTGTTTATTAAATGTGCCTTCTTCTATGTTTTTATTTCTGAACTGGACTGGTTCCCCGCCCCCCGCTTTTTCCTGTTCTTTTATGGCCAGAACAATCCTAATCCCTGGAATTAGGAAGTGTTATTCCCTTTACCTCTGCTAAAATTTACCAGACTCTGCAAATGCAGACCTCAAAGTGGGCTGTTTCTGGGGTGGGGAGTCAGCAGGGCTGAGCTGAGCATGATGTGCACAAGCCAGAATTATCTGCAGCAATCTTGCGCTTACATACTCAAACTACTTATGTACCCCCATCTTCTACCCTGCATCATCTGAAACAACAAACTATGGTTAACATTAATTATGGTTTGTTTAAAACAAAGCAAGCCAAGGAGAGCTCACCAGCTAGATTCATGCTGCAACTCATTCTGGGTCATGCACATGATGCTAAACTATAATTTAGCATAGGGGTGAGAAACCTCAGGCATTGTAGCCAAATGGTAGTAGTTCACATCTCTCTATCTGGCCCTTGGTTGACTCACATCCCTCCTGAGCCACACCCACTCTCCCACTGATCCTGCTTTATACCCTCCTTGAGTGTTTTGAGCCTAGCTGATCTCTGACAATGCCTCTTGATTGGAAGATACAGAGGGGTAAGTGAATCTGTGTAGAAACAGCCTACTGTACAAAGCAAAAAATAAAATAAAATTCATTTGTTGATCCATCCACTTTTGCTTCTGGCCCATCAGCCACTGGTATGTGATTCCTGAAAAGTTGCCATGAGTGAATGTAGCTTTGAGGCTGAAACAGGTTCTCCATAATTGGTTTAGCAGGATATGTGAACATACACATTAACATATGAATGAGTGATATATATAAATGTGTGAATCATCTTCCTCTTTTAGTATGTTTATTGTCATGTAGTTACTAAAAATATCCATGATTTTTATTTTGGAAGTAAAAGAAGCAGCAGAAAAAATAGGACAACTTGAAAAAGTCCACAAAAGAGAGATGGATGCAATGGAAAAACAGGTTTGTTTTATTGTTACTGAGATTAATAACATTATGTTAGTTATTAACAAGACCCCTCATGAACCAACCAGGACTCTGTATTCATAATCCAAGGCCCTTTTTCATGTGCCTCCTCAGAGGAAGGGTGTCAGCACAAGAAAGGGCCTTCTTAGTGGTGGCTTCCCACTTACTGAATGTTTTTGTGGGAAGGCACACCTGGTGCCATCATTATCTACCTTTAGGTGTCAGGCCAGAACATTTCTTTTTTGCCAGGCTGTTGGCTTTTAATTAGCTGTGGCCTCAGACAATTGATGCGATGTCTTAATCCTGCCTTTTTATAAGTATGAATGTGTTTGTTAGTCACATGAGTTACTTTTTGTAAAAAATGTAACTAATAAGTAAAAATAAAAAGTGGAACATGCATCAAAATCTTGCAGTTTCACATCTGGGGCAGTTTTATACCTGGTTTTACATCTCTCTCCCCCCACCCCCCTGCCACAACAGTTATCCAGCATTCCTCAGTCTTCATTGAGCTATTTGGGGGTTCTTCTACTCTAACGGTGTGACCATGCCACATTCTTGAATATGTACACTCACTCACACAGAGGCATATAGCTCAACCTCCTCAGCTGATCCATGTAGATCAACTGATGGTGGGGGTTTTAATGTCCTCCATCAAATGATCAATCTGAGAACCAGGAACGGCCAGTTTGTATCTGCTTCAGGGTGCTGGACTTCACCCACCTCAGTGCTGTCTACTTTACATTTTCCTCTTTTTGCCAATCAGTGGGGTCTTGGGAGCCAGATTAGACCTTTGAACGGGGTGTTAGCCATCACTGGTTTAAACTAACCACCCATCCCAGTTCAGATGACACAACACTGTGGTTAATTATTGATAAAGGCATGTAAAATTTTGCATGGTGGAAAAAGTGTATAGAGAGACATTTTTCTACAACTCTCATAACACTAGAATCTGGAGTCATTCAATGAATGTTAGAAGATTCAGAACAGCAAAAGGATGCACTTCTTCACATAGTACATAGTTAAACTATGGAATGCACTGGCATAAGATTTAATAATGACCACCAGCTTGGATGACTTTATAAAAGGATTAGAACAATGCATGGAGGAAAAGGCTATCAGTGATTGTTAGTCATGGTGGCTGTGTAATGCCTTGAATCTGAACTGCAGCTAATTTTAACTATGGTTAGTTGCAACAAACTGATTTCAGACTATAATTTATGAGACTAGCTTGCTTCAAGTAATCACGATTAACATTAAACACAGCTTAGAGTTTGAAATAAATGCTAAATTGTGATTAATCTAAAACAGAAGTGGAAGCTTCTGATCTCTTCATGGCTGTGCAGGAGGAGGAGCATGCATGCCCAATATGAAATTCATAATTCTAAACCATGGTTTAGTCTATTGTCTGAATGCAGCAATGTAAGATTATGTTGTAGGATGATCTTTCTCATATCTCCTGTAGCTGATAATGGTTTCTATATCTAAAAAGGCAAATATTAAACCATGTGCATAACACAGAAATGTGAAGCTGAAATGGCAAGCATGGCTATTTATGTGCATAAATTATTCTTTTTATTAGGTGTCAGACTTGGCAGTGGAAAATGGTGAAAAAGATAATAAAATGAAACACATAAACCTACAGTTACAAGAATCAAGAGAGGTCATTGCTGAGTTAAAAGAAATAAAAAGTAAGCATTTTTATGATTTTATTCCAAATAGCATTATTAGAAGTAGTGGTACAGCATACTGAACCAACTGGTTGCCCTCAGATTTTTTTTAAAAAAAGATTTTATTTATAAACACTAATAACAAACAAAAAATTGCAAATGTTGTAAACTAATGATTATACAAATAACTACCATCTTTGATATACCAGTAGTATTGATACGGAGATTGTTTAAGCTACCCAAATTTCTCTCATTGATGCAGACAGACAAATTTGTGCATTGGGACCTGTAGTATTTGCAAATGAAATGAAATGGCTATTGTCCACATGTTCTTACCAGAGTATGATTTACAAGTTCTTTAAATCTTTCCATTTTTGTGTCCTTGAAATAATAGCTGCAGCTAGCATCCATGTTACTAAATCCTTCAGTTATTTATTATTTATTTAATTTCATAAAATGTATATACCACTTGATTGGAGAAAACCTCAAAGTAGTTTACAAAAAGTTATAAAGTACCCACATGTCCATCCTAAATTCAACAAAGCAAGTTCACGAGACATATCAGTTTTACAGATTTTAGACATTTATTTATGGATAAAACTTAGAGATCCTTGGGTTTCCCACCAGAAATGGTAGAAGGTACCTTTACCACCACCTCCATGGCAACAATTTGTTGAGATGTCATTTGGTAAAACCTCACTGGCATGCAGTGCCACCTATGGGTGACTTTTAATGTACACTCCCTTACATATGCTCACACTGACCTATACTGTACAGTCTAGATCAGGGCAGTCCAACCTCACAGACCAAGTGGGCTGCAAAAGACTTCGACACAGAACCCACAGGCCACACACTGAATTAAATTTCCAAATCACTAAGTAAAGTGTTTGCAATATTGTTAATACTATTTAATAAACACAATGAATATATTCAAATTAATAGCTTTATTTTTTATTAAACAAATCTAATACACAAAGTTAGGGTGAGTCCCTGGCAGATAGATAGACACAAAGCATGGATATGCCGAAGGATCTGGGATTGGAGTGTGTGAGCGTGTGACCCCTGAAATCCTGCCCAGGGAAGATCCGAGCACGTGGAATGGAGTCAAAGCGATTTCAAACAGGAGCTGAGTTTGCTCTTCTGGCTGGGCAGGTTTTTTCACACAACTGAGATCTACCCACCGTGATTGCCCGAAACCTCAGAAATGTCTGAAAATGCGTTGTCTTTACTTTCAAATTTAGAACAACATGATGAAGCGTTAAAAAAAGCACAGACTAAACAAAATGACTTATTGACTGAACTGGAAGAAACTAAAAGTTATTTGCAAAAGGCAGAGGTATGGACTTGCAATATTTTTTGTACAATAAAACAGAATAGAAGTGAAAATTTTCTGAATTGTATCTTAATTTCAATATATTCTTTATTCTGTTTAGAATACTTGTAAGGGTTTAGAAACTGAGTTGCAAACTGCAGTAAAAACATTAATTCAAGTAACTGAACAAAAGGAAGCAACAATAGAAGAATTTAAAGAATTTAAAGGAACAAGTGCATCAGTAATGGATGATCTCCAGGCCAAAGTTTCCAGTTTGAAGGAACTGCTAGAAAAAGAAGAAATGAGGTAAAAATGACCTTACATGCATACATAAGAAAGAATAGCACTATTGGTGGTAACAGGGTTTCACAGAATGACAAGAACATTGAGAATCTGTCACTTAATTACAAGCTTTGCCCAAGTTTTTACACGTGAAACTCTCTTTGAAAAGGAATATTTGTTCAGGTACCGTATTTTTCGCCCTATAGGACGCACCGTCCCATAAGGCGCACCTAGTTTTTTGGGGGGGAAATAAAGGGAAAAAAATTATTTCCCCCCCAGGCGCGGGGCTGGGGCGGGGGAAGCCCGAGCTTCCCCCGACCCCAGCCCCCAGAACAGGAAACTCTCCGCAAGCAGCGGGAGCCCAGCGTAGGGCTCCCGCGCCTTGCGGAGAGGTGCGCGAAGTCTGGGGGCGCCAGGCAACTCTCCGCAAGCAGCAGGAGCCCAGCGCCGGGCTCCCGTGCCTTGTGGAGAGGTGCGCGAAGTCTGGGCGCGCTGGGCTCAACGCGCCCAGCCTTCGTCATGCAGGCAACTCTCTGCAAGCAGCGGGAGCCCAGCGCGGGCTCCCGCGCCTTGTGGAGAGGTGCGCGAAGTCTGGGAGCGCTGAGCTCAGCGAGCCCAGCCTTCGGCATGCAGGCAACTCTCCGCAAGCTGTGGGAGCCCAGCTTGCGGAGATCTGCGGGAAGCCTGGAGAGCGAGAGGGGGCGGTGCGCACCGACGCCTCTTGCTCTCCAGGCTTCAGCGAAAGCCTGCATTCGCCCCATAGGATGCACACACATTTCCCCTTCATTTTTGGAGGGGAAAAAGTGCGTCCTATGGGGCGAAAAATACGGTATATAGTCAGGACAAAATAAATACTCCCCATTCCCAAAAAGCTTTCAGATATGATTATTTGTTCTCTAAGGGTTAAAGTACATGTTACATAGAAACAGTATCCCCACAGTTTGTGTTTCTTCTTTAAATAGCAACCATGCATGGGAGGTGGGGATCACAATCCAGACCATGGAACATGGGAGGGGAAACCTAGCAGTTTCCCTCATAAGGGTGAATAATAGCTTCGTATGAATAATGAGGTGGGTTTTCCAAAAAAATTAGGGTAGTTTGCTTGGGGTAATATGCACTGGAAAATTTGCTAATGCCCTAGACCAGTGGGTCCCAATTGGTGGTCTGTGGACCTCAGGGGGTCCATAGCAACATTCACATAAAACTACCATAGAAATATCAAAATTTTCAAAAGTAGGGGCTTAAGTCCACAGTACTTAGCTAATTGGGAACCACTGCCCTAGACTCATAGAGAGTGATCTAATTTAGCATATTTATTTTACTTCTGTTTAGTAAACAAAGTTAAAAAAGATTAACTGCCAAGTTGGCCTAATATATTTGCAATTGATATCCACTCATTGTTACTCATGACTTTACAAAACTGAAAAAATTGCTGTTTTTGATTTTTTTTTGTGGGGGATTGTTCTTAGGACAATTTCATGAAGCAAAAGGTTAACCCCCCCCTCCATGCATTGTGGTACTCATCCTGATCAGCTCCCACCATATCATCTGTTTAAAAACAAACCCAGAATGGGATCAGGGGGAGGAAGCATGGAACATCCATTTGTATATAACTAGTATACATGTAGTATGTATTATAGTTGAGGATATGGAAATGGAAAAATATGATATTTGACTGGATTTAACATATTACTTTAGAACATGGTTTCCCAATCTTGGGTCTGCAGCTGTTGTTTAACTACAGCTTCCATCATCCCCAGCTAGCAGGACCAGTGATCAGGGATGATGGTTATTGTAGTCCAAAAACACCTGGACACCCAAGTTTGGGAAACCCTGCTTTATGGCCAAAGCACATTGTGCTGGGAGATCCATGACTAACTTCCAATTGTTTTTGATTTTTTAAAAACTAAATGTGGTAAGAATGGGGGAACTGCTAATTTGATCAAGGAAGTGATGCAATGACTGGAACCAGTTAACCCGCGCAACTCCATTTATCCAGTTTAATTTGCTTCAAGATGTTATTTTCTCTGTGTACAAGTGTAGAAGTAAGTGCCTGTAGAATCTGACAAGGGCCCTTTAAATCAGTACACCCAGCTCTTCAAGAGGTCAAGGCCAATTGCAGAATAAGCTTTGTTTGCCTACAGAAGTATTCACAAAATCTCAGCTCTTTATTCTAAAGCTCAGTCAGCAGGGTTACTGGGAACTGCCCAGGGTCCTCACCTTTTCTGGAGCCATTTCTTGTGTCAAAGTCCCAAGTCCCAGCAGAATATGATACCAAAAACTTCACACATAGTAATACTATTTAAGGAATGATATATTTTGTTTATATATATATATATTTAAAGTTCCCTACTTTTCTGTTTGTTTGTCGACCAAGAGAAAGGAAAGATGGGGCAAAGTCAGCTGAGGATGGGAAAGAAAAATTAGGTCTGTTACTCAACCTGCCACTCAGGTTTAATGCATCTTTACAGCCATGTTTCTATAGACATTTCTGTCAGTGTTTGAAAAAGAAAAGGTTCTGACCTCCCTTTTAATCCTTTGCCTAGTCCTTGGACCTTAGCTAGCACAAAATAGTCTTTGAGGAAGAGTATTCTTGCAGTGTATTGCTGCTTTTATTCTTAAAAAGTTTTCTTCTCCAACCACAACCAACAGCTTTTACACACACCAAACACAACCAGCTTTCTACCATCCAACCAACCCACACAAAACACTATCATTGACCACTCTATATATACAGGTACAGTTAGGTGAAAGGTTGCATGAGTCATTGTAGGCCGCGGACTCATGCTGTCTTAGTTCTTTTAGCATTAAAGAAACAGCAGCCAATTTTTAGCTGTGACAATTTCTACCATTAATAGGCATTTCAAGCAGTAAATATATGTCTCTTAACAGTTATACAAATATGTTTCTCTCCCAAGTTCATCATTATATGATTTGATGATTTAATCAATTTTTTATTTCTTATTAAATCATACGCTGAATGTTTTCAATTAATTTAATAGACAGAAGGAACTCAGGGATGATTCAGATATATTGGTTTTGGAACTCCAAAAGAAATCAGCTGAATTAGGTATGTTGAGGAAATGGAAGTACTGTGTTTTTTTAAAAAACTAATTATTATTATTAGCAATGATAGTTCTGTTATATGAATATTAATAAGTCCTGTGTTCAGTATGGCAATTCAATAGTGCAGCAGTTATTGTTTCCTTTGTTAGGCAAGAAAGAAGGAGCTGGTTGTTTAGAACCAACAGTGTTGGTTCTCAAATTGTTTTCTGTTAATCCTTCTCTTTCCCTTAGGTAGGAAGTTTTAATATTCTCTCTTTTCAATACACAGTGATTTCTTTCCAGGGAAACTGAGTAATTCTATCTTTCATTCTTGAGTATCAGTGGCTCTGTGTTGGGGCCAAACATGATGCTAAATGTAGCATTGGTAACCACATTGGTTGGGGTCGGGGGGAGTAAATAGATGGTTCTGGGGAACTGATTTTTGTCTTCATTTCAGCATGCAGGGAGTGGAGTTTTAATTCTTTCCTCCCCCACCATGCCCCATTGAAAAATCCACTCACACACTTGCTATTAGCTCTAAGAGGGAAGTCTTTGTTAGAGAATTTTATCTGCTAGGACTAGAAGCAGGAGTGAGACGGTTTCATTTGGGGCATGATGGAAAAGACAGGGCACAGAACCACAGACTTGTAGAGTTGGAAGGGACCACAAGTGTCTTTTAGTCCAACCCCCTGCAATGCAGGAATCTTTCACCCAATGTGGGGCTAGAACCCATGACCCTGAGATTAAGAGTCTCATGCTGTAACAACATCTCAGCACACTGTGGTCCTGATGAAAACTGGCCCTCAGAGTGGCCTAATGCAGCTGAACTTCAGGCTTGGATAGTCTGAGGTGCAAACAAAATTGATGGAGTGGGGAATGAGGCCATAAAATTTGGTGTCTATACCCTCTTTGTGCAGATTGGTATCATCTTTATTTTGCAGGTAGATTTAGGGTCATGTTAGCAGATATGGATCAAAGTAAATATCAGGTTGTTGTTTTTTTTTAATCCAACTGTATAATGTCAGTCTGGAAACTTGATTTGGAGCCACTTTTGTCCCTGCAGATCCTGACTCATTGGTGCTTGTACTTTTATTTTTGGATGTACATGTAAAACATTTTAAACATACAAAGGCTGCTCTTAAAGGGTCTGCTCCACCTATCATTGGCTATTGCTCAATACTTACTATTTTATTTATATAAAAGCATTTCTAATCTACTTAATACTTAAAATGTGTGATGCATTTACAAAAATACAACATAAAAACAATAAAACAGTATAATAAAAATAGATACAGATATGTAAACACAGTAAAACAGTATCAGGCATGGGTCAAGAAGCCACATGATCAAGTGTATAGTTGACAGTACTCTTTCCACAGCACCAGTTGCATTAACAAACTGATCCCACAACACATTTGAGATAACTTCAATAACTTGCTGAGTTGAACTTAAAAGCAAATAATATATGCTATTTCTTAACAAAGAATGCATTATTTTGTATTATTTGCATTTATATTTGTTGCAGAAGTGATGGTCAAACTGAAAAATGATAAAGAAAAACAACTTGAAGAAATGGAAATAGCCTTGGTAAGGGACCTCTTATTTACACCACTTCACCAGTTAGTTGTATTAAAAGTTCCATTTCCTTCATTATACTGTGGATTAATTCTTCAAACCTCTACCAATTTATTTTAATTACCAAAATACCCAAGAACCATTCATACACATAGTAAAGCATACTTGTCCTATGTTCAATTCTGCATTGGATTGTGATCCAAGTATATATTGCCTACAATTTTATAATCTCAGGCCATTATCCAAGTTCACAATCATCATTGTCTTCTTTGTTTTAAACATAATTGGTATTTAAAATATATTATTACTATATGGTTTTAAAATATCTGTATTATTTAGGAAAGTTCAATCAAAGTTCAAAAAGATTTGAAGAACCAGTTGGAGTATTCACAGTCAGAAAAAAATCAGTTAATAAAGGAAAAGGAATCTAGAACTGCTGATGACTCTACTATTCAGGTTAGATAGTTTAATTTTCTTTGTTGTTCTTTGGTGCAGCAAACCCACTTAACAAAAAATCAGACAAAAGGAAAGTGATGGGAAATGCATGAGAAAGTGTGGGATAATGATCAATTGATGGGGAGTCATATAACCTCAGTTATGACTGAAGTCGCTAGATCATGTGACCATTTTGAAAGGGGTTTGGAATAGGTGTTAAGTCTCTTAATGCCCTGCCATATCCTGGAATGCCCCATTTTGTGGAACTACACCACAACTGAGCTGTGGTGAAGAACTTATGCTGGTGTATCTCTGGCTTAGCCAGGGTAAGAGACTTATGCTGACATAGCTTGGCTGAACCAAGAAAGCTCCAGACCCGCTGAATTCAAACTATTTCATCCTGGTATGTTTGGGATTTGGATTGCACTGTTTCGCTGGATCATGCTCTGAGCATAAAACTCATACAGAGCTTGCAGAGCCCTGTTTCCTGTTCTTAGCATGTGCACACATGGTAGTGGCCAGGGCAACCCAGAGAGTGGGAGATCTGTATGCTCAATCTAACTCACTGTCAAGTTACTTGAGCTCCAAACTACCAGTATCTTGACCATGTATAGAGGGAGAAATGAATGGAGATGTGGAGCGCATGAACTAGTGCTACTCAAGGATTTCATTCCATCCACATTTTAAGCAGGTATCCTTCAGTTTTCACACTTTTCTAAACTGCCCTGTCTGCTGTGGGAAAACTGCAACTAATATAACACAACCTGTTTCACTGAAGTTGTTGGACACAGTAGGTGTAAAGTGCAAATTATTTCATACTTTTTTTATCTGCAGAAAAAAATGCATGACTTGGAAATGGAGTTATCTAGAGCATTTGAAAATAAACAAAATTGCTTAGCACAGCTTACAGCAGTGACAGCAGAGCTCGAAAAAGAAAAGTATGTTCTTATTATACATAAAAACTAGCAAAAAATTGCTTATGAAAGGCTATTTCATTTCATGTTTTCTTTTTAGTGAAGTATGACTTTTAATACCCTAACAAAAATTGTTTTATTTTTATTATTACTATTTATTATTTCAGTTTGTCACATAAAAGTTCTTTTGGCAACTTGCACAGTTTTTAAAAAACCTTCACATTTGACCATGTAAAATCAAAATACCATCTCAGAAACTGCAATAAGCATGATAATCATATCCCCTTAGAATTTTGGGAGAAGAGGTACATTTATACATAGCTCTGAAAGGATGTTAATGTTGGTGCCAGGTGGACCTTGTTGGGTAAAGCATTCCATAGACATGGACCACATCCAAAAAGGCCCTTCCTTTGTCACCACCCTCTGAACTTTTTTCAGAGGCGGCACATGGAGAAGGACTCAGGTGATGAACACAGGGTCCTAATATGTTCATGTTGCAGTCAGTGAAGATGTGCCAGAGCTGGTATTACAGTATATGCTTATTCTGCATTGTTCCTGTTAACTCTCTCGCTGCTGCATTCTGCATCAGTTGTGGTTTCCAAGTTGTCTTTAAATGCAGCCCCACATATAGTGCAATGCACTAATTTAATCTATAGGTCACTTGAGCTGAGATTACTGAAGCCAGGTACCCTATCCAGATAGGAACTTAGCTGGGCTACCAGGCAAAGATGGTAGAAAGTCACTGAAGTGTGCCTCCATTGACAGTAGTAGATCCAGGAGCTCTGTCCCCAAGCAGACAATTTTGCAGATGCAAAACCTACATTGACTTCACTACACATTAAATTTCTTATATACATTCCAGCTCACATTAATACTATTTTTATTTATATACGAATAATGTCTAAATAAAAATAAAATGTTCACATTATTCTATCTGATGCAAGTTAAAAACAGACAGTAGGACACAATCCAGCCTACTGATTTCACTGAATAGTAGCATTGTATTAACCTCTCTCTATGAAACTATTTAACTGTAGGTGGTATCTGATGACGCGGTTTTGCTAGCACAGGAGTGGGGTGGGGGGGGGGAGAGGAGAGGCAGAAGTTCCATTGCACAAGTGGAAATCATTGAACTAGTAGAAGCACTTTGTTGGATACCACCCAATGTATGGATTGTGTCTATAATCACACACTTGAGAAGTAAATATTAAATCATTATTTCTAATATTTCTTTATTATTCTAATAGATTAAAGAATGAGCAACTAAGCCTGGATTTGAGTAGACTTTTATTGGACAAAGAATGCATCATAACAGAGAAAAATAATATAGTTATTGATTTTAAAAAGCTTCAAGGAGATCTTAAGGCAGGTTTTCCTTTTTTTATTGTAATAATAAAATATGAACCATGAACCTTGGTAAGTTGGATGTGGTCAAAAATGAGATGGCAAGAATAAATATTGACATTCTGGGCATCAGTGAACTAAAATGGACGGGAATGGGTGAATTCAGTTTGGATGACCATCATATCTACTACTGTGGGCAAGAATCCCGTAAAAGAAATGGAGTGGCCCTCATAGTCAACAAAAGAGTGGCAAAAGCTATATTGGGATGCGATCTCAAAAATGATAGAATGATCTTGATACGAATCCAAGGCAGACCTCTTAACATCACAGTAATCCAAGTTTATGCACCAACCACTGGTGCTGAAGAAACTGAAATTGACCAATTCTATGAAGACTTACAACACCTTATAGAATTGACACCAAAGAAGGATGTTCTTCTCATTATAGGGGATTGGAATGCTAAAGTAGGGAGTCAAGAGATAAAAGGAACAACTGGCAAGTTTGGCCTTGGAGTTCAAAACGAAGCAGGGCAAAGGCTAATAGAGTTCTGCCAAGAGAACAAGCTGGTCATCACAAACACTCTTTTCCAACAACACAAGAGACGACTCTACACATGGACATCACCAGATGGGCAGCATCGAAATCAGATTGATTATATTCTCTGCAGCCAAAGATGGAGAAGCTCTATACAGTCAGCAAAAACAAGACCTGGAGCGGACTGTGGCTCAGATCATCAGCTTCTTATAGCAAAATTCAAGCTTAAACTGAAGAAAGTAGGAAAAACCACTGGGGCGGTAAGATACAATCTAAGTCATATTCCTTAGAATCATAGAATCATAGAGTTGGAAGAGACCACAAGGGCCATCGAGTCCAACCCCCTGCCAAGCAGGAAACACCATCAGAGCACTCCTGACATATGGTTGTCAAGCCTCTGCTTAAAGACCTCCAAAGAAGGAGACTCCACCACACTCCTTGGCAGCAAATTCCACTGTCGAACAGCTCTTACTGTCAGGAAGTTCTTCCTAATGTTTAGGTGGAATCTTCTTTCTTGTAGTTTGGATCCATTGCTCCGTGTCCGCTTCTCTGGAGCAGCAGAAAACAACCTTTCTCCCTCCTCTATGTGACATCCTTTTATATATTTGAACATGGCTATCATATCACCCCTTAACATCCTCTTCTCCAGGCTAAACATGCCCAGCTCCCTTAGCCGTTCCTCATAAGGCATCGTTTCCAGGCCTTTGACCATTTTGGTTGCCCTCCTCTGGACACGTTCCAGTTTGTCAGTGTCCTTCTTGAACTGTGGTGCCCAGAACTGGACACAGTACTCCAGGTGAGGTCTGACCAGAGCAGAATACAGTGGCACTATTACTTCCCTTGATCTAGATACTATACTCCTACTGATGCAGCCCAGAATTGCATTGGCTTTTTAGCTGCCGCGTCACACTGTTGGCTCATGTCAAGTTTGTGGTCAACCAAGACTCCTAGATCCTTTTCACATGTACTGCTCTCAAGCCAGGTGTCACCCATCTTGTATTTGTGCCTCTCATTTTTTTGCCCAAGTGCAATACTTTACATTTCTCCCTGTTAAAATTCATCTTGTTTGTTTTTGCCCAGTTCTCTAATCTGTCAAGGTTGTTTTGAAGTGTGATCCTGTCCTCTGGGGTGTTAGCCACCCCTCCCAGTTTGGTGTCATCTGCAAATTTGATCAGGATGCCCTTGAGTCCTTATGAATACACAGTGGAAGTGAGGAACAGGTTTAAGGATTTAGATTTGGTGGACAGAGTGCCTGAAGAACTATGGATGGAGGCTCGCAACATTATACAGGAGGCAGCAACGAACACCATCCCAATGAAAAGGTAATGCAAGAAAGCAAAGTGGCTGTCCAATGAGGCCTTACAAATAGCAGGGGAGAGAAGGCAAGCAAAATGCGAGAGAGATAGTGAAAGATACAGGAAATTGAATGCAGATTTCCAAAAAATAGCAAGGAGAGACAAGAAGGCCTTCTTACACAAGCAATGCAAAGAAATAGAGGAAAACAACAGAATGGGAAGAACCAGAGATCTGTTAAAGAAAATTGGAGATATGAAAGGGACATTTCGTACAAAGATTACCATAATAAAAGACAAAAGTGGAAAGGACCTAACAGAAGCAGAAGACATCAAGAAGAGGTGGCAAGAATACACAGAGGAATTATACCAGAAATATATGGATGGCTCGTACACCCCAGGTAGTGTGGTTGCTAACCTTGAGCCAGACATCCTGGAGAGTGAAGTCAAATGGGCCTTAGAAAGCACTGCAAATAACAAGGCCAGTGGAAGTGATGGTATTCCAGCTGAACTACTTAAAATTTTAAAAGATGATGCTGTTAAGGTGCTACACTCAATATGCCAACAAGTTTGGAAAACTCAGCAGTGGCCAGAGGATTGGAGAAGATCAGTCTACATCCCAATCCCAAAGAAGGGCAGTGCCAAAGAATGCTCCAACTACCGCACAATTGCACTCATTTCACACGCTAGCAAGGTTATGCTTAAAATTCTACAAGGAAGGCTCAAGCAGTATATGGACCAAGAACTCCCAGAAGTGCAAGCTGGATTTAGAAGAGGCAGAGGAACCAGAGACCAAATTGCAAACATACGCTGGATTATGGAGAAAGCTAGAGAGTTCCAGAAAGACATCTACTTCTGCTTCATTGACTATGCAAAAGCCTTTGACTGTGTCGACCACAGCAAACTATGGCAAGTTCTTAAAGAAATGGGAGTGCCTGATCACCTCATCTGTCTCCTCAGAAATAACGATGCCTTATGAGGAACGGCCAAGGGAGCTGGGCATGTTTAGCCTGGAGAAGAGAAGGTTAAGGGGTGATATGATAGCCATGTTCAAATATATAAAAGGATGTCACATAGAGGAGGGAGAAAGGTTGTTTTCTGCTGCTCCAGAGAAGCGGACACAGAGCAATAGATCCAAACTACAAGAAAGCAGATTCCACCTAAACATTAGGAAGAACTTCCTGACAGTAAGAGCTGTTTGACAGTGGAATTTGCTGCCAAGGAGTGTGGTAGAGTCTCCTTCTTTGGAGGTCTTTAAGCAGAGGCTTGACAACCATATGTCAGGAGTGCTCTGATGGTGTTTCCTGCTTGGCAGGGGGTTGGACTCGATGGCCCTTGTGGTCTCTTCCAACTCTATGATTCTATGATTCTATGATTCTATGATCTATGTGGGACAAGAAGCTACAGTTAGAACTGGATATGGAACAACTGATTGGTTCAAAATTGGGAAAGGAGTACGGCAAGGCTGTATATTGTCTCCCTGCTTATTTAACTTATATGCAGAATTCATCATGCGAAAGGCTGGGCTGGATGAATCCCAAGACAGAATTAAGATTGCCGGAAGAAATATCAACAACCTCAGATATGCAGATGACACAACCTTGATGGCAGAAAGTGAGGAGGAATTAAAGAACCTTTTAATGAGGGTGGAAGAGGAGAGCGCAAAATATGGTCTGAAGCTCAACATCAAAAAAAACGAAGATCATGGCCACTGGGCCCATCACCTCCTGGCAAATAGAAGGGGAAGAAATGGAGGCAGTGAGAGATTTTACTTTCTTGGGCTCCATGATCACTGCAGATGGTGACAGCAGTCACGAAATTAAAAGACGCCTGCTCCTTGGGAGAAAGGCAATGGCAAACCTAGACAGCATCTTAAAAGCAGAGACATCACCTTGCCAACAAAGGTCCGCATAGTTAAAGCCATGGTTTTCCCAGTAGTGATGTATGGAAGTGAGAGCTGGACCATAAAGAAGGCTGATCGCCGAAGAATTGATGCTTTTGAATTATGGTGCTGGAGGAGACTCTTGAGAGTCCCATGGACTGCAAGAAGATCAAACGCATCCATTCTTAAGGAAATCAGCCCTGAGTGCTCACGGGAAGGACAGATCATGAAGCTGAGGCTCCAATACTTTGGCCACCTCATGAGAAGAGAAGACTCCCTGGAAAAGACCCTGATGTTGGGAAAGATTGAGGGCACAAGGAGAAGGGGATGACAGAGGACAAGATGGTTGGACAGTGTTCTCGAAGCTACAAACATGAGTCTGACCAAACTGCGGGAGACAGTGGAAGACAGAAGTGCCTGGCGTGCTCTGGTCCATGGGGTCACGAAGAGTCGGACACGACTAAACGACTAAACAACAACAACAACAATGAAATATGGTTATGATTTATTTTTATATTGTATAATGCCAAAATTGACTTTTTATATTTTATAAGCTGCTTATGATTCCACAAATGTTAAAATGTAGACATCCATAATTAAAATAATTATAGTAACACCATTAAACAATATTGCAGTTAACTGAGTTCCATTTGTTGACAGTTTTACCTGGCAATGTAGAAGACGTTGGTATTTCACTAATGCGATTCAGATTTGTTTAGGACTTTATATGTAAGTATCAAGAAAAGAAAGATTTGGATGGCTAACAGCTAGCCAGAACAGAGATGGATGGCCAACAGGCAGCCAGAGCACATCCCTTAGGCCTCCTGTGATATGTGCCCAGCAAGGGACACAACACACCACACTGGGCCCACCCCAATGGCTTCAAATAGTTGTTAAATAACATTAGGCATACAACAGTGCCTTTTGGCACCCTGTTACTGAGTTGTCAGGGTATAGGCACATAGCCCCTGTGCTATCATCGGAGACTGGCTATGCAAGAAGTAATGGAGCTACGTGGAACAATGCTCCTAACCACCAATTCACAAATACTCTTCAGGAGGATACCATGATCAATGATACTAAAAGTTGCTGGGAGATCCAGCAGAAGCAATATGGTTGCACTGTGTCTGTCCCTCCTCTGGAGATTGTCATTTGTCCAGGTGACCAAGGTAATTCTCTGCTAAACCAGGCCTAAACCCAGATTGCAATGGTCCATATAATCAATTTCTTCCAAAAAAGGTATGTAGTTGAACTGGCACCACCCTCTTGAGCATTCCCGCCCCCCTGGGTATGAGCATCTGGGCAGTAGTCATCAAGTACCTCAGGGTCCAGGAAAGTTTTTTCCAGGAGTGAACACACCATTGCCTCCTTCAAGGTGGTGAGGACTGCCCAACACAAGAATGCTTTAACCACCCACTGAATCCACCTTGTCTCACTCACCAAATTTTCACGAACAAGCCAGGATGGGCAAGCACAGTAAGAAATGGGATGGAAGGACAAAATTACATTGTCCACATCAGGCCTCAATAACTGGAAATGATATATCAAATGATATATATTCTATATATAGAATTGAATAAAATAGCCTACTGGATTCCTCACCAGAGACCATATTATCACTGGCATCAAGATCAGCATGAAGATGATAGATTTTGGCCTCAAAGTGCCTAGCAAAATGACCACAGCAAAGGCTTTGACTGTTTCAGTGTCCTATTAACAGGGACAGGTGATACCAACTTTTTTACCACACAAAAGAGCTCTGTTGAGTGACTACTTGAGGACATGGAGGCATCAATGGTTCTTTTTTGCTGACAACTGCTACATGGTAGAGGCGGTTATTTGCTCTAACCACAGTTTTATTGGCTTCACACTGAATCTTACATCACTTACTCTCTAGCCCTCATCCAACCTGTTTCATTGCTCATCACTCAGAGGAAAACCAAGGAGCACAATGAGCTACCCAGTGCTGAAGTGGGGTAGTCCAGAACTACCATGCCAATAGCCCTCCTCATCTCACTGTACCAAAATGATGCAAGGATTTTCACAGGATCATCAACTGTTGTTACTGGAATATTTATCAGATTCCACAAATCTCCAGGGATGAACCATCCAAATAAATCTCCTACCTCTACATAAAGGGCTGGTGTCCTAAGTCCAAACTTTATCAGATAGATGTCTAGTCATAACAAATGGGTCAGCTCTATTCTTCCACTATCCAAACTATTCTTAACTTGCCCTGAAGTAAACAGTATACCAAGCATGTACTGTGTATTGGCCCAAGACAACTTGAAACAGCTCCATAGATGTCATGGAGGCCTTGAAGTATTGAACTGGTCCAAGCTAGGCAACCTCTGTGTGAATGTTGAAGTCATCCAGAACCACTGTCTGCACCACGGTTGAGACTACTTGTGCCAGCTCAATCAGGGATAACAACACAAACAACGTAACAGACTGTATGTAACAATATAAATTATTTTTCAAGTGTGATTCAACATATATCAAAATATATGGTTCTATAGACATCTCATTATGTTCGTTTATATAATCCAGAGTATGCACAGCTGATGAAGCCCGGTTAGGTGAAACAAGGAATTATCCTGGAATCCTTGTCTTATTTTCTGTATGTGCCATTCTTCTAAGTTCTTCGTCTGATACCTGCATACAAGGAAAGCTAGAATTCTTAAAAGCATTTTCACGTGGAACACTACAAGATTGATATAAGAATTCCACACCGTGGATATTGCTAATATAAGAAGTGAATAGATTGTATTTCCTGGTCAATCTGCTGGACTTTAATTTCTCACAATATGTTTAGTTTATATGATAAGTTGTTCTCTAGAGCCATATATTTTGATATGATATGTTGAATCACACTTGAAAAAGAATTTATATAGTTACATACAGCCTGTTATGCTGTTTGTATTGTTATCAGTTTTGCATATACGTGACAAAGGGTTGGGTAGTGTTTTGAATGCGCTCAAGCAAGGAGGCTATTGGGCAGTAGGTACACCATCTGCAACCCCAGTCCTGTTGACCTAACAACAGGTAGTATCTCTCAGGATGCATTGCAAGGCAAACAGGGTTTTCTGGTAAGCAGAAGAGATGGACCACAGAGACTCTCAACGCCTAGTCCTTCAGCCTTGGTTGGTGCTGTACTGAGTACCTAGAGGTGTGTGTGTCAGGGTGGGAATAACTTTGTCAAATCTACTCCACCCAGCTTACCAACCAGGTCTTGCTTATACGAGCAAATTCAGCTCTCTCATCCATAATTAAATCATAGATGAGGGTGGACTTATTATGTACCTGGCATTGAATAACAGTTCTACCAATCACCAAATCACCAGTTACTTGGCTGCAAGGTAGAGGGAGCAGCCTGCAGCCAATCCCCCTCTCTATTTTTTATGATACCTATATTTTACCATATAATAACTTCCCCTTCCAGAAACATGCCAATACCCTCCACCTCACCATGCTTACTCCACCATATCCCACTGTGCTCATTATGTACTTCCCAACAGTCAAAATGCAATATTTGCAACCAATCTGGCATTTCAGTGGCAACTTACATCATTATCTATCCACCCAGGTTATCCGAGTGTGTAAACAGGAACAGCTCATCAAAGTTCTTACCAAAGTTGTTCCTCCCCATGGCATTCCCCTGGGCATCTAGAATCTGAATTGGAAACACATTGTGACTTCTGCCTCTCACTCAGTAGCAACCCATTCTCTTCAGAATATCAGAAGATGGCGCTCACACCCTTGTTGCTTTCTGTATTGCATATTCTGTATTGCATTCACATTTTTACTATGTTTGCATATTATATTGTGAAATTTATTTGTGGCAGTGGGCTATCCAAGGTAAATGTTCCATTTGTGGCCATTTTTATATTAGTATATAAAGTTCCATGCATATCATACCTATTTTCAGTAACAGATTGCTTTTAATTTTGTTCAGGACAATAAAAAGATTGGAGAAAAGGCTGAAAAGCAAATACAAAACCTAAAAGAAACAAACATCCAGTTAAGGCAAGAAAAAATGAGAATCTTTTCACTATATTATAGAATGTTTTACTATAGAATATTTTCAGTTTATATTATAATTTCACAGTATTAGGTTCTTACTGCAATTCTAATCTTACTAACCTGGGAGTAAACCCCTTTGAATTCAGCAGGCCTTACATCTGACTAGACTTGGTTAGGACTGTTTTGTAAAATAGTTCCAAGTCCTATTGAAATTGATGGATCCAGTCAGTCATGACGTAAGGCCATTGACTTTCTTAGGAACTAAGTGCAACTAAGGGCTTATCCATATATATCCTTTGCCTCATTCTTTCCAAGCACAGGTCCATGACTAAAAGCTCTGTGTCTGAATGTTGTTGTTTTTGCCCTGGAGCTTTCCCCGCAAAAATCCTCTCTTTGGTGCTCAATCAGAACAAACATCGATTTGGGTTTTCCACAGATTGCCATTTGTTCCAACTGAGCTTTAAAGTGCAGGTTAAGTCTGGACTCAGCCTATTGTCTTTATTCTTATATACTAATGCCTCTTTTGTTAAACTTAACTGACATAGATCAGTTTGAAATTAGTACATTATTCAGAATCAGTTCTTAGCTGTTACTGAAAGTTTTTAAAATTTCAAATCAATTTAATTTACCCTCACATTTAAAATGTGGAAATGAAATAGGTGTAAAGATTAATGATATATTATTAAATAATGGGCCTTGTCCAGTTGAACCCTTGTATCCATCACTGGACACTAGATTTCTTCATCAAAAATGAATCAAATTATTATCAAAACAATTGGTTCATTGCCTGAGACATTGAAAATAAGACTACCTCCCTAAAACATTGTCTTACTTTCAAAGACTGTTCCACAAAAAAACACCCTGCTGCTAGAGGGAAAAGCGTACCTCGCTGGGGGACCCCCTTGTCTCAGTTCTTCAATGCAGCATGTAGCAAAATGAAAAGAGACATTTCCGTAGGTTGACGAGGGGTTAGCTGGGTTGGGCTCTATTCTGATCACATCATTGCCTTGCTAGGTAGAAGCTTTTAATAGTTGGCTTAGGGAAAACTGAGTCTGTGTATATACCTTTAAACACATCTGAAGCACATTCTTTCCTTCAAAGAATTCTCAGCATTTGTTAAGGGTTTCTGGGTATTATAATTCTCTAAGTAGTAAACTACACTACCTATAATTATTTGAGGGGGGAAATGTGTTTGTGGTTTAAAGGTATGTTAGGTACACAGTCTAAATTTACTGGGCAAAATTCCACCCACCGTTTCTGGAGTAAAAGGGTTCCCTGGGGACTTTTACCCCACCTCCCCATGATGTTCTCCAGGATCAGATCTGCAAAGAAGGAGTCAGTCAGGAAGTCTTCTGGCTCAGATTTTTATCTGTGTCAAACAAGAATTTAGAGGTTTCAAATGCTTGCTTCTCCTTTGAAAGTGAGCATTAGGGGAACCTTCGGCTCTGCAGATGTTGATGAACTACAACTTCCATCAGTCACAGCAAGCATGGGCAATGGCCAGGGATGATGGGAGTTGCAGGTCAGCAATATCTGGAGGGCCAAAATTCCCAACACCAAACATAGCCTGTGAAGGTTGTTTTTTTTGGGGGGGGGGGTTCAGTTCAAAGAAACAATAGGTTGGATGGGGGCAGTGGAAAGAACTTGCCATGCAAAAGGATGTCCATATAGGAAGGAAAGTAGAATCATAGAATAATAGAATTGTATAGTTGGAAGGAACGATGAGGGTCATGTAGTCCAATCCCCTCCAATGCAGGAATCTCAATGAAAGTGTCCATGACTCTGATTTAAAACCAACAATGAAGAATCCACCATCTTGTTCTGTTCTATTGTCAAACAGCTCTTATTGCCAGAAAGTTCTTCAAACTTCCACAGGATCATACCTCAATAACATCGGACTTAGAGTAAATAAAGCCGCTTTTTCTGTTCTATATATTTAGTCAGCTATTTGTTAACTGTAATAACCCTTTCTGTTAATTTGACATGTAGCAATGAATTAAAGTGCCTAAAAGAAGAGATGAAAAAGAAAAATGAAGAGGCAAAAAGCAAACTTGATGAAAGTGAAGACAATGTATGATATTGGTCCTTCTTATGTAAATATTTTAACTTGTAAACTGATGAGCTAAAAATAATTTATTTAATATAAAGCTTACAATGTAGGAACATTAATTAATTATAACAATGTAAGAAACAAATGTTCCTTATAATCTTACTTGGCAAGAGCAGGAGGGTTAGGATAAGCCCCTTACTATCTACATCAGGGATGGCTAACCCAAGGTTAACCCCAGTTCATATATGTGTGTGTTACATGTGATTGTTCTTGATCATAAATTAATGCAATTCAGGAATCTTGTTTATACTTTTTTCAATAATTGTGATTACTTTCTGTATAGATAAAGTGTTATATTGAAAGCTGAATGTGAGGTTTTTTTGGTATGCTTAAAGACAGTAAAAGGCAGGATTTTAAATTATGAAAATATCATTAAAAAAATTGTCAGATTTTACAATATAATTTCAGGTTCGAAACATTGAAAATGAAATTTCTAAAAAGGAAAAACAACTGAAAACATTTGAAAGCAAGGTACGAAAATATAATTTACTTCATGTTTGTTCAATGCTTTATTCTACAATGTTTCAGTTTTTCAGAAACAATATTTACATAGAAAAAAAGCATATGCATAACTGAAATGCTTGTTGCAATCATTACTGGTTTATCGTTTCTTTTTTAATGATGTCATAGTTTAATGATTATTAAGATAACTTATAGATGTACATGTTTCAGAAAGTAGTTACAGGTAAGCAAAATATTTTATGCACATACTTAAATACAAATTAAAATAATCTTAGCACAACTACTCTAGGTTTCAATCCTGCCTATATATGCCACGTTTACTTCAGTGGATTTATATAGAGATAACTGTTCACAACAGCAAGCTTAGCAAGCTCATGAGTAAATTCTATGCAAAAGAATTCGTTCTAACAAAATAATTACAACTAAAATTGATATTGTAATAGCTCCCTGCATTTTCTTAAAAAAATCATTTTTATTGAAGTTATCAGAACAAGGCAGAAACAAACAAACAGAACATCAGTAGGGTACATGTTTGTCAGATGTTTTAACAAAAGTAAAGTGATCATTAAGTACTCATTTGGTATCTTATTGTTTGAAATATATTTTTATCAATTTTTAGATTAACAGTTTAAAGAAACAAATTGAAACAAAATCCAGGAATATTGAAGAATTGCAGCAAGACGTAAGTACTGTTTTAGAGTTATAAAAATATAGATATAGAATTATATCATTTATAAAATGTTATTGTATACCAGGGTACCAGGAAGGATCCTCAAACAACTTCTGGTAGCATAGAGTAGAACTGCTGTCCTTTTACAGACATATGTGGTTGGCTACCCACAGTCTTTATTAATTTTCTCAGAATTCAGTACACCAATATGTGTGTGTGTGTGTGTGTGTGTGCGCACGCGCGCACTGGTCATACTGTTGAATGCTCCACATTGTTGGGAAAAAATAAAGACAAAATAACTGAATATTTTTACTGGCTCAATTTGCTTATTATGTATCATAGCTTTAGTGGCAGAAAATCACAATATAACTTTAATTTCATAAATATAAAACCTTACTTGTTAACAGAACAAGGCTTTGCGAAAGAAAGTTGCAGCAGAGAACAAGCAATTAAGTATTACGGAAGAAAAAGTAAGATGTTTGATTTCTATGTCATTTGAATAATAGTTGCAGAGAAAAGAAATATAAAACTTGAAGAATTAAGACCTACAAGATGTTCATTATTGTGAATGAACTAGTCAGTGGCTAGGGAATCCCAGCCAGATGGGTGGGGTATAAATAAATAAATAAATAAATAAATAAATAAAAATAATTATAGTCCATTTCAAGTTCTAGTTTTGTTCTTCTGGAATGTCTTCAATACTTGTTTGATTAGTCAGCAGAGCACCAAGATCATTCAACATGTAAGTAAATTGCCCTGATATGATCTTCCAGTAGAACTGGGATATGGAACAGTTCAATTACAAGTACATGCTTGGCTCTGAAAAGTGGAGATACAGTTTGTCATCTTTAAAAGAGCAACCAGAGACATAGGAAGCTGCCTTATACTGAGTCAGACCATTGGTCCATCTAGTTCTGCATTATCTATACGAACTGAAGGTGGCTCTCCAGGATTTTAGACAGGAGTATCTCACACTCCTACCTAGAGACAGTGGCGGAGGAAGCCGCTCGGGCCCCTGGGGTGGCATGCCCAGGGGTGGGGCGAGCTGCCCATAGGGGCGGGGCACACCGCGGGGCCTCCGGAGTCTGCTTGCCTCCTCCCACTCAGCCACCCTACAGCTGAGGCGGGGGGAGGCAGTGGGCAGACCGTTTGGAGCCTGCATGCACTCAAGCCACCGCGTCTCTCCCAGGAGAGACGCATGGCTCAGCGTGCTGCCTTCCGGCATTTTGTCACCCCCCTCAGTGGTGACACCCATGGTGACCCACTCCTACCACAAACCCCTTCCTCTGCCCTTGTCTAGAGATGCCTGGTACTTAACCTAGAGATGCTTGGGATTGAAGCTGTACTTCATATCTTCCTTGGCACTCCACCACTTTCATAGGAAAATGGCAGCAGATCTGATTCTGCATATGGATCCACTGCTACTAATTCTCTAAAACTCTGCTGATATATGCTTTCAGTACAGAAAAAGAGCTCTGTGAACATAACATACAGTACTTCATCTAATAACAGAATAAGAGCTACTTTCCTTTTTGAAGGCTTCAGGTTGCTGTCTCCTTACTGCTGCTTCAATTGCAGTTACTTCAAAAGTCCATTTGGGAATACTTTTCTTCTCCTTTGGATCACTGCAAGGGAAAACCCAAAAAGAACAGGGGTGTTCACAGTATGCTAAAACAGGCATCCCCAACCTTTGCCCCTCCAGATGTTTTGGACTACAATTCCCATCATCCTTGACCACTGGTCCTGTTAACTGGGGATCATGGGAGTTGTAGGCCAAAACATCTGGAGGGCCGCAGGTTGTGGATGCCTGTGCTAAAATATATCCAGCAGATTAGAGGTTGTATAGGCCAGTCTTGTGACTTTTGTGATTGAGTCAAACATTTTTATTTACAGGTGAATAAATTACAATTAGAGTTGGAAAATATAAAGAAATTGCATAATGAAACAACTGACAACTATAAAAATGAAATAGAGAAGGCTAGAGAAGTGGAAGAAAAACTTTTCAAAGAGGTAAGAGTTCAAGTTTTTTTACATTTTGTAAACTTGCATAATTTGCATAAGTTAAACTCGTTTTTATTTACATGATTGGGATTTATCAGTCTGCTTATCAGTTCCTAGCAGTCTCTGTTTATCATACTCTGATCTGTCTTACTCATAATGTACCCCACATGTTATGGTTCGGGATGAGGACAGGAAGCATCAAATGCAGGTTTTTCTTTCAGGTAGAGAGCTTAAAAGCTACTTTCACACTGGGAAAACCTGATGGAAAAAGAGCTTTAAGCTCTGTGCCTTGGTCAGCCAAAGGAAAGGTTTATCCTACAATCTTGAGCTGTGGGTGTTTAATTTCTGAGATGAGAGAAATGAAACTTGGATTGATGAGGGATCTCTCCTGCCTCCCAAAGTACTGGGAGTTCCTTTCACAAGTATAAAAGATACTAAGGCTAAATCCATAGAATAAGTGCTACCCTCCTAGACTGTATTAAAGGCACAGTAGTATTATACCATGATCAGGAACTTTGTTATGACTCAGGTATTTCACTTGGCAGTGTAGCATCACTGTTCATTCAAAGCCTTCTGTTTGATCCACTAACTAGAACCAGGGTGGTTGGATTAATTACTCTCTTAGAATCTACAACTTTTTATAATAAAAGAAACAGATTTTTTTTGGGTTAAAATTTAGTCTTTATTGTTACTTTAAAAAATGATTTATTTTTATCCATATTGGTTCAGATGGTCTGCTCCATCTGTGCAGCCACTGAATTTAACTCATAGGTTCCACATATAATTATTGAATATCAATATTATTTCATTAAACTATTTCCTTCACATATGATATTAATAGGCAGAGAGAATGAAATTCGTAGCTGATGAAGCAGTAGCAAAGCAGAAAGAAATCGACATTCAATGTCAGCACAAAATAACTGAAATGGTAGCACTTATGGAAAAGCATAAGGTAAATACAACTTATTTTTATACATACAAGCTAGAATCAAGAGATGGGCCATGGGGGATGGAGCTGGAGCTTGCTATATTTGCTGCATTGGTTCTCATTTTCCAACATACAAGCTGTTATTTATATTATATAAAAATATAAAAAAGTAAAAAAAGCAGCAAAAAAGTAAATGTAGCTCCAGTTGTAGCAATTTAAACATTTGCATTTCCATGAGGTATTTAATTCCCGCCTACCTTTGGTGTGTCAGTGATTTATTTATTTATAACAAAAAAACCCGGGGTGTCTGAAATCTTGGTTGTGTGTATTATCTGATGGGGGTGTAGGTGTTATATTTATTTATTTATTTCATAAAATTTGTGCACTGCGTGATTGTAAAATAAAACCTATCAAAAGGTAAAACATTAAAATCAAGAAAAAAATACAACCATACTTAAAAACATATCCATGTTAAAATACTAAAACAGATTAAAATTACCTTAATATATGTGCCGTTAATCTTTCAACATGTATTTATTTATTTATTTCATTTCTATACCCGAAGGTCTCAGGGCAGTTCACATAAAATATCAAATGCATAAAACAAAAATAAAAACAACAACCCAATAAAAAAACCCCAAGCAATCACTTGCTCCAGAACCTTGCCCAAGAAAGGGAGAATAGCAACTGTGGTTTTACCACTGCCTTCTTCAAACAGGCAGGGACCACCCCCTCTCGTAAAGAGGCATCGATCACCTCCTTGGCCCAGCCAGCTGTTCCCTCCCTGCTGGATTTTATCAGCCAAGAAGTACAAGGGTCTAGAGCGCAAGTGGTAACCCTGACTGATCCAAGGACCTTGTCCAACTGAAACTCATCCAACACAACAGGACTAGATTGTGCTCTGGATACTCCATGAGATTCATCTGCTATAACAGCAGAGTCAAGGTCTTGGTGGATGCAACCAATTTTATCCTCAAAACGCTTTGCAAAACAAGTCACAGTGAGCTACCATTGGTTCTATCACCTCCTTTGAGCCAGCCTGTAAAAGGCCCCATACAACCCGGAAAAGCTCTGCTGGACAACATGATGAGGATGCAATGGAGGCAGCAAAGTATGCCTTCTTTGCTGCCTTCACTGCCACTGGGTAGGCTTGATCATGAGTCCTTACCAGTGTTCGGTTGCATTCATTCAGATATTTCCTCCACTTGCGTCCACTTGTATACTTAATATTTTGTTTTGTTTTTTTACATCTTTTTCCCATTGTGAAATTAGTGCTTATATTCATATAAATAAATATAAATGTATACTAAAGTGGAGGAGAGGAATCAGACAAAATTTACACCCATCTGGAAGCACCCATAGTAGTTCTTTTAAGCTAGGATTATATACTCACTTACCTCAGAATAAGCCTGATTGAATTCCATTAGGACTTGTGCATAAACAGATATTATGCTGCTAATTATCAGCTGAAATGAAAACAGTTCAGGGTGAGGGAAAGCAACTGGAGCTGGTCTCTCAGCAGAGCTAATGGACTGGTGCTGCTTACCACCTTCCTCTGCTGCAAGCAGGCAGAATAAGCAGTTAAATATTATATGTGAATTAACATATGACCATCTCCTCTATGCAGCATCAATATGATAAGACAGTTGAAGAAAAAGATGCAATATTAGAATGCTATAAGACAAAAGAACAAGAGGTATCATCAACAATAGGATCTTTGGTAAGAATACCTCCTAAACTATTTCAGCCATGGTATGACCAGAGGTTATCCATTACTGTCCCATCAGTACCTATTTCTATATTTTATTATGATTCACCGCCGTTTCTTTAATCCAATGGAGGAATTTCTGTGTGGGAACTAGAAGTCACTGCCCAATTTTGAGTCAAAATGAAACCGACAACTTTCTTAAATGTAGACAAATGTTATAACTATTTATAGTACTCCTGTACATCTATAGGAAACATGAGGGACAAACTGAAATGAAAATAAATGAGACAAGGAGTACTGATGAAGATATATATTAATGGTGTATTGAATTCAATAATGTGGCTTTTACTGTAGCTGTCAGATCACTGTCTCCCATGCAATCCTTTAACAGAGAAAGGTTGAGTTAAATTTTATTTTTATTGTATTAAATGCATGCAAAGCTCTTTTTTCTGAAAAAGTTGAGCATGTGAACGAGTTTTTAAATAGAGTCTGAGCTACTAAGTTTTTACCTAATTATCATTCTCAGAAAAGTGAACTTTCCAATAAGAAAAAGGAACTCTCCTCCCTTCAGGAGCAACTTAAAATAGAAATGGAAGAGAAGGTATATCTTCTGGTTTTTTAATTTTATGCACACAATTCTGTGAAAATTATCTGGGTTACTTTATGTCTCCCTTATGTCCAGGAGTTGTTTTTTTACTTTTTAAACAGCCCTAAAGAAGAATGAATGACACCCAGTGGCAATATGCTTCTAAGGAATAGTGATGATTTTGCCTTTTTAAGACAACCATTGTCTGACTTATAAAAAAATGCTTTTAAAGCAAATCCTTGTTAAACACCTGAAGGAAAAGGGAAGGAAGGAAAATAGTTGTTTTTTTTTAATAATAAAAGCACAAAAGCTTCATTAACAGTACTGTTCAGTAAATTGTTCAAACTGTTGACATAAAGCATACTGTTATGAGTTTTTTTGAGGAGTGGGGGACTATTAGACTGCAATTCCTGGATCCAGCAAGTGTCTAACTAAGTTTTCAAATTGCTGGAACAGCATCGTGGTAGGGGTGTGTGGTGGGTGCGGTGCACCCCAGGTGTCATCACAGAGGGGGGTGACAAAATCCCCCCCTGGGTGGGTTGTGCCGCTGTGCTGCAATCGGCCCCCCACCGGGAGGATCGTATCACCACGCCATGATCGGCCCCTGGGAGGATTGTGCCACTGCGCCGATCGCCCCGCCCCCGTAGGTGGCTTGCCTCATCCCCAGGTGCACGGCATGTGTGCCGCTCCCAGTACCTGAGCGGCTAGCTTTGCTGCTGCCTCGTGGTGAGGTAATAGGCCATAAAGGTAACAAAGAAAGTGCCTCTGTGCCAGACAGCAAATGGGTGATTCCCCCTCCCTCAACTCACTGGTAATGATGAGAAAGTGGGGGGAGTCTGAGGTGATGGGGAAACTGGCATGGTTTAGGTGCACCAGTCAAGCCAATCCAGCATTCCTACACCTCCCTTATCCCTCTTGTCAAACAGTAGAAACCTGGCTGTCAAGAAGCTAGCACTGCAGCTATCCTACCAAGTAAGCCACTTCTAGGACGATAGAGAGAATCACCCTGGAAATCCTTACATAGAAATTGCAGAAACAAAAACTACTTAGTTCATTAGTTTCCCACAGATTTGCAGTGATACTTTTATGTTAGGTAGCATATACTCAGTGAAGTCAGGGCAAGATTAAAAGAAATATATTTTAGGACCTTAAAAATTATTTGATCTAGCTTGACCATGGAGTTCTCATCTAGGTAATGCTTCACCAAAGGTAAAGGGTAGTTTTAATTGGCCACAGGATTCCCCTATACAGTGGTACCTCGGGTTAAGAACTTAATTCGTTCTGGAGGTCTGTTCCAAACCTGAAACTGTTCTTAACCTAAAGCACCACTTTAGCTAATAGGGTCTCCTGCTACCACTCTGCCGCCGCTGCACAATTTCTGTTCTCATCCTGAAGCAAAGTTCTTAACCCGAGGTAATATTTCTGGGTTAGCAGAGTCTGTAACCTGAAGCGTATGTAACCTGAAGTGTATGTAACCCGAGGTACCACTGTACTAGAGGTATCTAGCCCAAGTCTTTAGTCATTTTTGGACTATAATGTCCTTGAACCTTGACCATTAGCCATGCTGCCTGGGACTGGTGGGAGTTGGAATACAACAACATTTGGGGGCTAGGGTGGCCATCAGAGAGCGGCAATGGTGTAGACCTGGCCTCATGGTATTGGTGAATTACTGGGAGGGAGGGAGAAAGTGGCAAGGTGGCGGGGAGTTTGGTGCTATGAAATGTACTGGTGGAGCCAGTCCAGCTGTCCTGCTGGTGTGTTTGCTGAATGCCAAACTCCCCACCACCTTGCCTATTCCTCTTTCCGTCCTGATAAACTGCAACAATGCTGCTGCCAGGAGGCCAGGTCATGCAGTTGCTCCCCCAACCACTCAACCCTCACATTGGCTGCTCCTGTCAGGAGAGCAACAGGTTATTGTAGGAGCCATTAGCTTAAATCCATTTTGTCTGCCTTTTGAGGAATTGGCGTATTAGACCTCAAGAACAGTTTGAAACCACCATTCTATTTTCTGCTATTCCACATGCAGTGAATCAAGTGGTAATAAAAATGAAGGTGTGGCTATTAGACCTGATCTTCTAAGATCATTCCCTACTAAATGGAAGATGACTCCCTATATTAAGATAGAGAAATGTGTGAAATCTGAAATCCTACACTTTGGAACCTACCTTATGTTTTGTTTTGTTTTTGCCTCATGGAATGTACAGCAGCTTTGGTGTTGGGGTAAGCACATTCTTTCCACAGTGCATGAACCTAATCCAGGGGGTCCTTCATAGCTGATTTTAACTTTTAAAAAACAACTGTGGTAGAGCTGATAATGGTTTTCTGAGCTTCTCACTTAACTGCTCCCTAATTGTCTTGTGCTAATAAAAAAGTATATTTAAACAGAAAACTTCAAAAGATTTTTTAAGTTGCAATATTTCCCTCTGTCTAGGAAAAGCTAGCAAGAGAAGCAAATAAAGGTGACATTTCTAAAAAAGAAAAAAGGCATCAGGTGACCATTACTTCTGTTTTTCAAAATTATTATGCTTTGCTACAATATAGCATTCAACTTTTATTGCATAAGTTACCTGATACATGCATTGTAAAGTAGTAAAATTTTCTAGTAATATTTGTTGTTATGGTAGTTGTGTTCTTCTCATACTTACTCCATATTTTTATGCTTTCTGTAATTAATTGTAGAAAACACAAACATCCTTCATGGAAACACCTAAAACCAATAGCCAAGATTCTCCATCTCTTCATTCCAAAAAGAAAATGTCTCAAAAATTTACACCTGCTAATGTGAACAAGTTGGAATACAAAGAAAAGTCTTCTTGGACACCTGCCAGGGTTTGTTTCGTAATATATTACGTTTCAGTTTTATGTACTTGTTTGTTATCTACTTGTTTATCTATATTTGTTCAGAGTTTGATTTACGATTCTCATTTCTAAATTTTGTATGAAAAAGTAGATTTCCTTTTTCTTTTTAAAAAATCACTATTTAGAAAGTAATATTTAGCTTAAAGTTTCTATTCTCCAAACTTCACTGCTGCCCTGCCCCATCTGGTAAGTGGCAACAGTGTCACTGTCAGGAGGGCAGTGGCATGGCATTGCCCCACTGCACTGGCTGCTTGTAGATCCATGGCTTTGTTGTCTTGTGTTACCTTTATTTCCAGATTTCTGATTATTTTATTTTTTGTGTTGTGTATTTACCACTTTATGTAATTAATGAGTGATGCAACATTCCTTCAACTTTATTGTGATTTGATGGCTCCTCTATCCTCAGCTAACCAGTAATGTAGCTTGTCACTTTTAAATGCTGTAAGTAAGCAATATAGATCTGGAGCTCCATCCACTGACATTAGCTTGTTTAGGGTGTAGGTTTAATGTGTAGGTCTGTCATCTATCAAAGCTTCACTAAGCACTCAGATGGTAGAGTACTAGCTAAAATAGCCCCCATCATTTCATACCAATAAGATAGCTGGGTTGCAGAGTTACGTACTGGGGAAGATCACTTGCCATTCTTGTTGTTGTTACTTCATAATTGCCTTCCACATATATGTCTTAAGGCAACATACACAGAGAGAGAAAAAACACTCATCATTCCAACCAGCCAAGAGGTATCTGTAACACATACACAGAAGCGGCTCACTCAGTGGTGCAGAGCTGCAATGCTACCTTGCCAGCAGCAGCACTGCCACTTACTCAGAGGGAGTACAGTGCAGGCTGGAAAGCTAGCTTTGCATTTCCATCCACTAGGCAAATTGCTTATACTTATGAAGCGCTAGCTGAGAAAAAAAGTTGGAATCCACTTCAACCACATGCATTTATTTCACAACAAATTTTTATTTTGGGAAAGCCTAAGAAAGTTTGTAGGGACCACTCCTTTACAATCTACATATATCTTTTTGGGATTAATATTTTCCTTTCTCATTAATCTAAATGTTTTTCACCTTAACCAATCAAGACCTACAAATTTCCTTACAAATCAAGTCTTCTGTGCACAAAAAATTGTTACATATGTTGTTGAATCTCCATATTTTGGGGCTGCATTCATGGTTTCTTATATTGGGACAGGTCTCACATGCCCAGAAATTACAGGGCATAAGGAGCTGCCTGACAGTACTATCTGTACATAGCGTAATTCTAAAGAAAAGGATCTGTGAACAAGGGCTTCTAGGTTTAAAAGAGTCTTTTTTTAAAAAAGGTTAAAGTTAGCATCATGGATTTTTAAAAAATATTTCTTTTATTCCATATAGACTTACACTGTGAAAACACCTCCAAAATCTAAATTACTAAGAGAAAGCACCAGCCTACTTTCAGAAGAAGTAACAAAGAAAAAAAGAAAAGTTCTTTTAGAACTGGATACTCAGTCAGATACCTCTGAGAACGACCTCCTGGTATTAGTTTGAAAATAAGAAATATATATGTGTGTGTGTGTGTGTGTGTGTGTGTGTGTGTGTGTAAAGAGGCATTTGAAGTGCTTTTTGTTATCAAATGTCATTTCTTTTGCTTTACAACATAAAAATATGCCCCCCTCCTAGCCATATAAATGATTCCATGGATTATCTCCCCCCAAAAAGTAACTACTTTTCTCAACAGAACAGATGATTACCACTCCCTGATCAGATGCCCTTGGAACCTATGAAGTAACAACTAACCTAGCCAGATCATTTTCCCCTCAAGGTTCACATAGGTCTGAACAAAAAAAACCTTAGATAGAGGCATATATTATGTTTGGTAAATTTCTTTTGATACCCCCCTTGGATTGGACCCCCCCCCCCACAGATGCTGGACTCCTATCATTACTGACTGTTGGCCATGCTGACTGGGTGTTATGAGAGCTGAAGTCCAACAACATCTGGAGGATTACATGTCCCTGATTTAGAGCTTTCCAAAGATCTTTCTAATTGTTATTGGAAATTCTTCCTAATTTGAAATGTCATAGAGTAATATAACTAACCAAATTATTTCTTGGTGTGTAATGAAAGTCATGTCTATCCAGTTTTCTGTAGTTTCCATTACATACTTATATGAAACATAACACTGTTTTTAGATTGCATAATATTGTTATGTGTTCCCCAGTTCTCTGAACAGTGAGATGGTCTAGAAGCAGTGCTATAGGGTTTCATTTCCTTAATGAGAGAGCTAGAGATTCTTGTAATAATTGTTTCTTTTTCTCCTATATACATACAAGAAGCAAGCAGTCTCCTAAAAGCAAACAGCATTGCCACTCAGCCTGTTTTAGTTCCCAGAAAACAGCTTATACTGCCCCAGCCTTGTAGCTGTACTTCAGTTCTTAGCTATTCCCAGCTAAGCCCTCTCAGTGCTCTTCTCTTTGGGTGGTGTCCAGCTAAGTTTTAATCAGAGTAGACCAAATGAAATTAGTAAACATGGCTAAGTTAGGTCTACTTATTTCAATAGGTCTACTTTGACTGAAGCTCAGTTGAATACCACATTTTGTTTCCTTCTTGGTTCTGGACCAACATACATAGTGATAACATAAAGCATAAGGAGCTGCCTTACATCAGGTTAGACCCATAATCCACCTAGCACAGTACTATTGATATGTACCTAGCATAATGCTGCAGACAAAGATCTGTGAACTAGGGCCTCTAGGTTTAAAAAGTCATAGGATGTTTTTCCTTATTCTTAAACTGGATGTGTGTAATGAAATAATTTTTCCATGGTGTATATTGAAAAAAGAAAAGAAAGACTCTAGATGTTACTATGCATTTATTTAAAAAAACAATTTCTTTTCAAGAGCATCGTTTCAGAGGAAGAAATGTTTAAAAAGCTGTATAAAGATTATCCACAAACTTCTTGCCTATGTGTCATGACACCAAAAAAGGTATCTTCACAATTTTACTAAAAGCCAAAACATATATCACAATTGCCGTGTTAATAAAATTAAGTGAAGTTTTCAATTTTGTGTACAGGTTCACATGCCACCAACTTTGAAAACTCCTGGATCTTCTGTTAAGGTTGCAGCTTTAAGAAAGATGCGAGATGCTGGATGGACTGCAATCTCCAAAGTGGATAGAAAGAAAAAAATGAAAGAAGCTGGAAAACTTTTTGCATAAGTGAAACTTACTGTAATGTTGAACTAATTGTTTAGTTTATCATATTTGAATACTCTGCCTTCATTACATTTTTGTTCCAGTAACTTTTTTTTTAAAAGATAGGGTGTCCTGAGTCTGTTAAAAGGGCAGGAAGTGTTGGAATAATTTAAATATTATAAGCTTTCCCAAGAACTTATGTTCTGATCTATCTCCTGTAGGTACAGGTGCATGTGTGGAAAAGAATCAATGTAGGGCTCAGTAGAGTCCTCTTTCTTCCTATCCCTCCCTTGCTGGATCTAGTGTACTTTTGCACAGGGCCATCAGGAGAAAAGGTTAGCTGGATGGTAGGCTTGATCAGGGTTGTAAGTAATGACCAATGCACAGCATTCTGTGCTCAGCTAAGGACCAGCAGGGGACAGAAGAAGGAAATAGTGCTCCACTAAGTCCTCTGCCAATCCTCTCCTGCATGCTCATTTGCATGTATAGGTTAACATAAACAGATTAGAAATGTAAGGTTAGTGAAAGAATGAATCAGAAAGGCTCATGTTATTTAATTAAGCACAATATTACCAATGAAATTGAAAGTCATTCGTTGTCACTGAGTAGCAGATAACTGTATTCCACTGCTGGAAGTGTTCCTTGTTTTCAAATAAATATACTTTATTAATTTTATTTTCTTATTTTTATTGAGCTGGATGGAAGTTCAAATATTTATTGAAGCCACTTTAAAAGAGTTCCTGTGCTCCAATAATTATATGCCTCCTGGTGGTATTTGAAATGTTCCCTCATAAGTTGAAGAAAAGTCCACTTCTTTTTCACCAGGCAAAAACTCCAGTCTGTATTGTCCAGGTTGAGCACTAAATGGTAACTGATCAATCTGAAGCTCATCATCGTCATACACTGTCATGCTGGAATTAGAAATTCTTGGTGCATCATATAAGCCTCCTGATATTACAAGTGTGTCATCTGGAGTAGCATATCTGTCCACTGTAAACAGTTTTTAAAAAATAAATATTAGTGGGAAATGATGAATCCAAAAAGCTAAAGACTTAAAATCTTCCTTGTGCAATGATACAATTTAAGTAGTATTCATAGAAAATTGCCAGTATCCAGTTCAGATGTACAACATATCCAGTGAGGATAGAAATATGTTGGCATGGATTTAAAGCAGCACATGTGGATGTTCTAGTTCCTCCTTTCAGAGGCAGCCCCTTACACTGGTCAAAAGGGTCATTTGCCTTTTGCAGTAGCACCTCAAGAGGCTCAGGGGGCTTTGATATGAGCATAAATAAGTTTTTTGCATGTGTGCTCCCAGTACTCTGTGCCCCAGGCCCTTGGCTATAAACATTATTCCTTTACATATTAAAAAAACCAAAACCAGAAATATTTTTTAAAGCTAAACATTGATACTCAAAAACTCTCTCATACCTTTCTGTCTCCTTTTCTCTCATGCATGCATTTAGGCTGTATCCTTTCCCTCCAGGAAACGGTCACATTGTCTGGTAAACCCAATGTTTCCTGCTGCTGAAACTCCACTTCCATTTCAGACTATACACTCCACACAGCAAACAGCTAAGTTTACCACTAGACTGAGAAACAGCAGTAGTACCTCTTGGAGCTGTTTTAAATTTGCTGTGCCATTCCATCACTTAGCATGTAGTGGTTGGTAAGTGACTAAGGAAAGACAGCTACTATGAATGAAAATAAAAAGCTGAGTATTGCCCCTTCCCATAATTACTCACTAGTCTTGTACATGATATTGGTATTTGATTTAAAATATACTAACCTGTTTCAAAAGAGGCATCATAGAGTGGATGATGGGAAAATTGGTCTCTTCGTTTTCGATATTTATTGAAAATATATATAATGAATCCGAGAATTGTCAGTGTGAGAACAGTGGCAAAAAATATGGTTAGGATGGTATCTGAATTGCTCAAACCAGCTCCTTCTGCTGCAATGAAATAATACAGAAAGCCTACTAAAACTTAGTTTGAAAAAGCTCAGTAAAACTTAGACCTACCTGCCCACGGACTGTCTCGCCAGAGTCGTGCATGCTCTAGTTATCTCCCGCTTGGACTACTGCAATGTGCACTTCGTGGGGCTACCTTTGAAGAGATCTGCATTGGTTCCCAGTACATTTCTGAGCACAATTAAATGTGTTGGTTCTGACCTTTAAAGCCCTAAATGGCCTCGGTCCTGTATACCTGAAGGAGCGTCTCCACCCCCATCGTTCAGCTCGGACACTGAGATTCAGCACTGAGGGCCTTCTGGCGGTTCCCTCATTGTGCGAAGAGGTTACAGGGAACCAGACAGAGGGCCTTCTAGGTAGTGGCGCCCGCCCTCTGGAATGCCCTACCGTCAGATGTCAAGGAAATAAGCAACTACAGTATCCTATTTTTAAAAGACACCTGAAGGCAGCCCTGTTTATGGAAGTTTTTAATATTTAATACTGTATTGTTTTTAATACTCGATTGGGAGCTGCCCAGAGTGGCTGGGGAAACTCAGCCAGATGGACGGGATATAAGTAAATAAATAATAATAATAATAATAATAATAATAATAATAATAATAATTAGTTTGGAATAGCTTAGTGTGCTGCTGACTGCAAATCAGTGTGGATGTTTATTCAGACATTTGTCCAATCAAGGATAATGGGACTTCTAGATACGTATATTTAGGGTCTTGGGGGTCACTACTAAAATAGTCTAGTTATTGCTACAGATGCTTTCATCATGTGTCATTTTCAATATCAAACAATTTAAGAGTGACTCTTCTAATGTGCATACAAAGGAAGGTAAACATTGTTCCAATATGTCCTTGTAGTCTGATGGGATACCTTTTCCTAAGAACAAACATGCTATTTGGAAGCAATAGGGGAAAAGCTAGGTGTGGGAAGGGTGATTTGGAGCAGATAAACAGGAAGCACTCCTCCTCCTGCCACTTCTCTACTCTTAACATAGCTTTTCACTATAAAACAACATCACAGCATCAGGTCTCAGTTTACATGTGTTTGCCTGTAACTTTATATTTTGTCCATCAGACCTACCTGGAAAGTGAATTGCTGAAACTGAAAGGTAGCCCTTGCTGGTGATAGGTGGTGCAGTACTAGAAGGCTGGACTGTCGGTTTTAATGTGGTAGCTGAAGTTGTGACATTGAAATCTTCAACTGTGGCTTGATGTGTAGAATTAGTAGAGAATGACTCTGTTGGAAATGTCATCTCAGTTTTGGCTTCAGCAGTCATAGCTGATGTTTCTGTATGAGGAGAATGGGTGCTTTGTAGAAGCGTAGGAAAGTTGGTAATATTCACTGTTGTTGCAAATGTACTCAAGCTGGCACTTCCATTCTGCAATATAGTGATGTTGCCTGCTTCTGTACTGGAAACGGTCAGCCCTTCAGTCCTAGATGTGGTATTCATTGCTGGGATGTAGTTTGTAGTCTGAAGTGAAACTGTCTTCAGTATGATGGAGACTACAAGGCAAACATATGTTCTTTTGTCCATCATAGCTTTCTGTTTTTTCCTCGTCAATTATGTTAGCTTTTTCTCCTGTGGAAACATATTTAAAACAACAATAACAGAGTTAGGAGTATAAACTAAAATTGCGTCTGCTAGGTTCTCTGCAAAAGCATTTAGAGGTGTAAAAGAGCAGAAGGCATTAAACTTTATCTTCTCAATTAATAGATCTTTCATATAAGGCATACACCTCTCCGGTCTGAGAGAGACACTGAGAGAGACAAGTAGGGTTAGAAACACACATCCCCTGTAATTACCAATTGATTCTGCCCCTTGAGAGGTAAGAGATAAACATGGATGCTCTGAGTAGAGCCAGCAGAAGCCTTTACAGCCAAACCAAGTATTTCAATGCTTCATTGTCAATTCCATGGCTTACTGAAGGCATGTACCTCAGCAGAAATACATAAATGGAGCCTTAGCGTGTCACAACTGTGATAGCATGTTTTCCTTGGACTCGGGTTAACTTTGATATATGCTCGATTCAGCCGTGAGCAATTAATTTACTGAGTCTTAGATTCCTATCAGTAACATGTAAAAGGTAGTGTCAGACCTCACAGGGCAAATAGGATGAAGATGATTCATGCAGTTTGTAATCATGAGCTGTGAATGTGGAACAATAATAATTGGCCTTTGGCATACTGAAAACTTGTAACCTTTGCCTCCGTTGGGGCTTATCAACACTGTACTCTGCTAGGGTATGAATACCCTGTGTTAATGTGAAGGGCTTAACAGTTTTCATAGCACTACCAGAACCAGATATTCAAAAGAACTACGCTGGTAAGTTATAAGATAACATTCTTTATTTTGGTCCAAAGACCCACAGAAGAATTTTCAAAAGCAAAATAAAACAGAAATACAGGGAAAGGATTCCAAGGCGGCCAATATGTTTTATCCAGAGCATGTAAGTTTTTATTATTACCGTACTTCTAAGAGGAATTTAGCCACGGTCAGGGTAGTATTGTTTGACATATCTCCAAGGAGGTACTTAAAGGTAGAAGGTTTCAGATTTTCCAATTAAGTTTACCGATAAGGGTTTAATTAATTGATCTCTGGCTTGTTTGAACTGCTCACATTGTAATAGGATATTCTTCATAGAGTCAAAACTCTGAGAACATAAGGAGAGCCTATTCTGATAGGGTATGCCAGACAGTCTGCCGTTTAGTACTTCTGATGGAAATACATTTAGTCTGGCTTTGGTGAATAATCGACAATAGAGACAGACAGATTCATGAAATACAATAGTAATTGAAAATCATGGCCATAGTGGATTCCATATGCAAATAATATTTGGTTAACAGGTTGTTAACTTGTAGTTGACCTTTATCTTTGAATCTACTGCTGAATCAGGAGACAAGGAAACATCTTATTTTCCATCTTCTCTTGCTGGAAAGAACAGGACTTGAATTATGAATCTAAAGATATGGATCAGGGCCAGCCCAAGACATTTCGGCACCTGAGGTGGACCCCAAAATGGCTCTCTTCTCCCCACCAGGAAAGAAAAGGTGAGGAAAGATATACATCAGGAATGGGGGCGGGGGCGGGGGGGGAGAGATCAACATTGGGACCCGCTGCTTCAGTGGATCCTGCCACCTGAGGCACAGGCCAAGTCAAAGGCTGGAATAGGGAGGGACAACAGAAGGCATGTCTGCCTACTCCTCCAGTTCATCAGCATAATTCAAGTTTAGAAGGCAATTCCAAGCTCACAACCTGGCAAACTGACAAGAAGCTGCAGCAAGTATTTTTTATTTACATTATTTACGTGCTGCTCTACACTTTCTCTTGTCCCATGCCTAGAAAGCTTGGGCCCAAGGGGTTTTCCACTTCTCCTGTGCTTTCTAGGCACAGGTCTGAGTGGTTTTCTGTTTGTCCCACGGCTTTTTCTAGGAAAACTTGCTCTCTACTGCTGAATCACAAATCCATGGAAGACCCAATTGACATTTGCTCTGATTCAGCAATACAGAGTGGGTTTTCCTGGGGGAAAGTGGTGAGACAAGCAGAAGTGTAGACAAACCCATACTTATGTAACTCCTGCTTCTCAGACAGGCCCAGAATCCCTCCAAAGCACTCTTCTTCAGCTTGAGATCTGTGATTCATCCAAAGCAATACACTCCCCTAACACACACACACACACACACACACACACACACACACACAAATCCAAATCTCTTGAAACTCACCAAAGATGATGATGGCAGCAACGACCCGAGTAACAGATACTTAGCCTTAGCGTGTTTCTGTTTGTTTAATTACTTGGGATATGTTCACTGCAGGGCTGGGCAAAGCCCATAGAGATCTCTATGGTAACGGAAAACTATAAAAGAATTCTAAGGTTAGTCATGCAGAACAATTATTGGCTGGGCTGGGCTGGCCTGTCATTTGAATATAGCTGAGAAACTTAACAAGAAATGATATGTATGTACCATAAGATTGTGTTTCAGCACAACATGAATTGACAGGTGTATTAACAAAACAGTTTCTACAACTATCCCTATGAAATGTTCTTTCCCAATTCTTAAAAGGAAGACTTTAACAAACAGTTTCCTTCTCAAGAGTAATAAGAGTATTAAAGCCACTGTGCTTTTGATCATAGCCCTACTTATTTTTCAGAAACAAGAGAGAGAGAGAGAGAGAAACTCAAGTCACATGATAGTTGCATCATAGAGACATTCCAAATCAGAACAAAGTTGGATACATGATCTGCATAGTAAGAGGGCTACAAAGAAGAAGGTGAAAAGAATTCAGTGCAAATAACTAGCATGTGGGTGGCTAATGGGTGGCACTCCAGAGCCTGTTGAACTGCAATTCCCCTCAGTCCCAGCCAGTAGTGAGAGATGATGTGAGTTGTACTCCAACCACATCTGGAGAGCCGCCCATTAACAGAGGCTGTTTTAGGGGACACAGACACCTTTCCGGAATTTCTCACCAGTTTGTTTTCTGATGAGTACCGAAATAGTTTAGGAAAGATGTAATAATTAACCAACAATGTACTGTAGTCTGGTTTACCTTGGGCTGCAGAGATATGACAAGAACGTTCTAGGTGACCCTTCCCAGATTTGCCACAGCAGAAACAGAAGACTAATTCATGAGGAAACAGAAGCAAAGTCTGGAAAAATGAATCTTGTTTGACAAACCAAGCTGCTCTTATGTTTGCTGGTTATTTTCCTCAGACTAGAAACTAAGCCAATCTTTCACATATGAAAAAAAGTAACAACCATACTTACAGTTCTGAAGTCACTGCCACAAGTCCAGTGCCGCACCATTAATATTTTCTAGTATGCATCCTTCAGAAACCAGCCACATCTGCTCCAAGATTCTGGGAACAATACTTTACCTTACATATAAGCAGGAAGTAAATATACTCAAATTGTTAACCAATTAGGCCTGCGAAAACAGTTTAATGATTCATACTGCAAGTGAATGATTAACCTGTGACTAGTGCTGGCAAGGATTAAATCAATCCATCTTTTTCATACAAAAGGTCACAGAAAAACAATAACTCAGTCTCAAACCCAAAAGCAAAACACGGATAACAGCAGTCCAGTTCTAGGACACCTCACTTACCATGTGTTGATCTTCTAATCCAGTCTAAGACATGCTTGAGTTTTGGCTCTGCATTGGATGCATTCAGATGCTAATGGCAAGAGTGTACTTTTCCAGGAGTGGATACTGGTCCATGGTGATAATGGAAGTGAATGCTCCTACATCAGCATACCACATATGGAAGTGTCAATCTAGAATCAAAACCTACCAACATCTGGCAAATCCCTGTTCTAGTTCAGGAACAAATTCTCCCTAATTGGACATTCAAAATATTGTGTATAATCTGTATGCTCACTTCAGAAGCACAAACTGCTGTTGCTTCCTCGCTGCCCATTTTCCCTCCCCAACCCATGCTATGCTTATTCTGATGCATTCCTAGAATCTTAGAATTGTAGAGTTGGGAGCAACCCTGAGGATCATCTAGTTCAGGCATGTCCAACCAGTCTATTGTGGGGCGTCCCTGGTTGATCCTGGTCGATCGTGTGATCCTGGCAAAAAATAAAGAAATCACTCCCAGTTTTTTTATAGTGGGAGTAGATTGCAGTCTCTTGGGAGTCGGACATGCCTGTCTAGTCCAACCCCCTGAAATGCAGGAATAGTTATTTAGATTTATTTTATTCTACTTATTTAGATTTAGTTTATAATTTTATAATAAAAAGCACAATAACCGAAGAACACAATTTGTACTTTGAAACTTGTAAATGAAGGTGTAAGCCATTGCAGCTTCTAGACTTTGAAAACAGGAGACAACATTTATCTGTTCCTACTTGGGCAATATAATGTGGCAGCTAATGGTGGGGATGGGGGTGATTGCAATTATTGATGAGAGATCATTATGAATGCACATTAAGGACACTTGAAGGGACCCTAGATTCAATTTTGTGACAACTTAGGGACTATCCAGATTTTTTTTTTAAACTGTACACTCCTGATGATTGGTGCTCAAGGTGGTGTCTGGCTGCTTCTATGCAATCCCAATTTCAATAGTGTTTGTGCCTGCAAAAGTTTCAGGGCAGACATACTGTTTCATTTCCCATTGTGACTTCCTTCTGAAATCCTAACTTTTCATCCCACAAATCTTCCAGGCTTTGATTTGTTTCGTTGTCCCTCCGTTGTGTGCTGTAGCAGAATAATTAGGTCTGCATCCCTTAACAATCTTTTCAGAATACTGGCACATTTTTACAACAAATATGACATCATTGTCTTGCCTGCTTTTAAATAGTCATCTTTTGCATTTTCTGTAGCGTCGCTTATCATTGAGGCACATCCAGTGCCCTGATATTTGGGTTCCTGGGATTACTCATCTGACGGCAACACGGCAGCGGTATCTTCTGTTTCATGAAAGTGCGACTCGTTGATGTCAATGAGAAGGATGTTTTGCTTGGGAGAAAGGTTAGAGATGAATGATTAATACTTAAACTGGCTGTCATTGGATGGAGATCCTAGAGTTTAAGTGGCACATGGACAAGTCATGTAACCAGCTGGGAAGCAAGTGTGCCTTAGATAAAACAGAAATGGAGCTGGACTACCACGGTATAGTAGATTCTGAAGAGGTCTCTTAATGAGGGGAATTGTGGAAAGATCTGGTACATGACAAAGGAGTGTATTCAGAAAAAGGCATAATTACAACCTAGTGCAAGGGACTTGGAGTGAGGATTTGTCTCCTAGATGAAACCTCAGAATCTTCAGCTGAGGAGCTGTGAAGCTGGTCTGGTATTTAAGACACCTAAATACTTTATTTATTCTAACATAAATAATAAATAATAATAAAAATTTTATATTAAAATATTTACAACCCACCTCTCATGAAGGCCTACACAAACCCTGCCAGCCGTTTCACAAATTTCATTAGACCAAATATGCATTTGCTTAAGCATAGGATAGGCACATTTCAAGCATCAACCTCACCCCATGATGATATCTGTTTTCTCTTTAGCTAAACACATTTGATAGATGCCCAAGAGGAGATTCCACACCCCAGTTCACACCCCTTCCCTACCTAGGCAAAGCAATAATGGTCCAAAACATCTACCTCTGAAGTTTGCCTGCTTACAAGCCCTGCCTTGTATTGTTACACATCCTCTCCCCATTGGTCAGACTCCCTCATCCACTCCCTTTCCACCCAAGATATAAACAAAGGCTCTTAAAAATAAATAAATGAGATTTTGTCTTCATGGGAACAACTTAAAGAGCTATGCATATTCCTGGCATGTTAAGTGGACCTTGATCTGATGTAGGGCAAACTAGACACTGAGTATGTCTAGAGCCAATGTAGTGTAGTGGTTGGAGTGTTGGGCTAGGGTCTGGGAGATCAGGGTTCAAATCCCTACCCGGCCAAGAAGTTCACTGTGGGTCTATTGGGCCAGCCACTATCTCTCAGTCTAACTTGCCTCAAAGGTTGTTGTGAGAATTGAGGGGGGCAGAGAGAGAAAATCTTGGAGAAAAAGGTGATGTTGCTGTGCTACAACTCCCATCATCTTTGACTACCGGCCATGCTAACTGAAGCCAATAGGAGTTGGAGTCCAACAACTTTTAGAAGGTTCATCTACTGGCTTGAAAAGTACATTTTACGTACTTCTAAGTATTGCTTCTTTTTCTGTTCCATACTAGTCACTTCTTTCTTGGAATAAATTTTGCTGAAGGGTGCAATAAAAATGTTTTAAATAAATAAAATAATGTCCCACCAGTGTTTCAAAGCTGAACAAAAGAAGAAATAGAACCCGCTCATGTAAACCCATTGTTCACCCATGGTGATGATTGCTGCACTCAATCCAATGCACCATTATCTTGCTAAAATTAATAGGACCGTTGTACTGATGCTGTACTTACATTTAGATGTGGCAATGTTCCAAAGATATCATATGTGAAGACTCTCCTGGGTTCTCAGACAGAGCACCTGACAGTCATTCTCTGAATGTACCCCTGCTTACTTCCTCACTCTTGCACAGTTTACTTCCTGCAGAAATCCAGGGTCCACCCATCTGCTGAGGGCCCCCATTTCTGAATTAGGGCCACCTGGGAAAGATTATTTAACAATGAGATAATAACAAACTCATGTCCATGTGGCTTTGGGCAGCAGGAAACAACGGAGCACGCCGCCTTTTATTGCCAATATTATATAGACATTTGAACTAGGTTTATCCAACCCATCTTATATAAGTTTCCTGGGCATTCAGAACAACACAACATCTCCCTATTACTACAGGATGAGACCCCAGAAGTTACATATTCAGTCGCCAGCTTTTGCGCTGCCATGATAGATATTCGACGAAGAATGGTCTATGCTACAATTCAATCCTAAACTGAAGGCCCATATTGTTAGATCTGCACTTCTGAAGCCTACCCCATATAGCTGTGTTAACCGATCTTTTAATTTTTCTTATAAATTTTTACTCACCCATTATCTATGCTTAATTAAGTATTCTATGTATATGTTTGGTTCTTGCTCTTATGTATTTAATAATTATTCGCTTAGATTCATACTGTTATGCTATTTATTTAGAAGTTTTGCTTATGCCGGTCTATGACTGTAATAAAGTACTTGACTCATCATAACATATGTTTGAGAGATTTATTATAGAAAGTCAAATTAATTAGTGTTGCTTTTAGACACTTAAGCCCCTTTTGCCATGATGTAGATCTATTTTTAGAGACCTTGAGAAGAGAGGAGAAAAAATAATGTCCCACGGACTGAATAATGAAAATGACTTCGCATGATCCACACTTACCATTTCTAGGCACAGTCCTGAACTACAGGGATGCATTCAGCTGAGGCCACATACATGCTATACCTTTTAAAAAAAGGTAAAGGTAAAGGATCCCTGGACGGTTGAGTCAAAGGCGACTATTGGGGTTGCGGCGCTCATGTAGCCTTCAGACCAAGGGACCCAGTGTTTGTCCACAGACAGCTTTCTGGGTCATGTGGCCAGCAGAAGAACACCGTGCCAGAAAACAGAGCAGGAGCTGGGATAGAGCAACAGGATCTCACTGCTGACCTTCTAATTGGCAAGCCAAGAGGCTCAGTGGTTTACACCACAGCGCCACCCATGTCCTATGTCCCATGTCCCATGTCCCCACCTATACCTATACCTTTAAGGCACATTCAAAGCACATTCTTTCTCTCAAATAATTCTGGCCACTGTAGTTTGTTAAGGGTTGCTGAGAATTTCACATATAGACCTCTCTGTTCTTCCATCACCATTCAAATCTATCCTAAGACCCCCTTTTCTGCAAACTGGGTTTGTTTCTCTTCCATGGCAGTTCTTTCCCAGTAATTACCAATGTCAACAAAGGCTTTCCTAAATCCATATATATGTATTTTCATGTTGTGGTAAGTGAAGAATGAATATTAAATTAATTAGCTGTGCCATCCAGCTGCTAGGCGGAGATGTTATAGTTCTCCATATCTCAATTACATTTCCTGAATGGACAAGTATGAATCTTCAGTAGATATTACAGAGATTAGAAGTAGCAATTAATGCAATTACATAAACAGGTAGATCAGCCAGGAATTAACCAGAGGAGTATAAAATGCACTCAGAGTTTGTGCTGGATTTATTGCGCCTGAAGCAGAATCAATGAAGCATCTGGTTCTTGTGTGAAGGAAAGAGCCGGTTGACGGTCTTTCCAGTTTGGCATCACTTCACGGCTGATAGGTGGGTGTCTGGCCAGTGTTCCAGGTTTTGCCTCTATGTAAGTATGTGGGGAATTCAGGAATGACTGCATATTTGTAGATGTTGGCAACTTGTGCCCTACTGTCAGGGTGCCTCCAGAATCCACACTGCCACTATTTTGCAGGAGGGATTTAAGTGTATATCATAAATTTAGACGTGTGCAATTAAATTGCTTGCTCACCCTAGTACAACAAATCTACCTTTTTAAAGACAGGCTGCTTGCAGTAAGGAAAGTCACAGGAAATGTACTGAAAAGCATGGAATGAATTAATGAGTTGCAGGAAGATGTATGGACACTGCACAAGCAAATCAGGATGGATGATCATTAAAGACCAGACATGGGCTTGTATCCATTATAGCACTAAGTAAATGTCTGCACAATGCAAGGATTTCTGCTTGCACAATAGAATTCACCTTTCTCCTCCCTTGTGCCCTGCTAAATCTGTTCTGGCGGTTCTCCCAACTGTCCAAAGCAGATTTGGTGAGGCTGCAGAGTGTGCACGCAGGGAGAAAACAGGGAAAAATCCTGTCGCACAAGTAGTTATCCTTGCATTGATGGGATGAGGAAAATGGATACTGCCCAGTGTATAACCTCTGTGTAAGCTTTCTGCAAGCAAATTAGAATGAATGTTCAATGAACAGGTCATGTGGAGGAGCCCTCAGAAAAAGGACTTTTCCTAGGGAGGATTCTGTGGCATCAGCCAGAGGCTTGCCATTCTGTCATCGCTTTGTTCGTTCAACCTGACACTCTTAGCAGAAGGAGCTCTATTTTCCCAAGCGATACTATAATACTAGCTTATGGCTTGCAAATCCTGAGCATTATGTTTGACCTCTTTTTACAGTATCATTAACTTTGGTTTTACTGGGGCTGTTCTTAGTTTGCACAGAGGTTTTAGACTGAGGCAACCATGTACTGAATGTTATGTGTTTCTCTGCCTAAAGAAAGGGAGGCTCAAAAAATTACCATTGCTTCTTTATTCCATCATTTAAGAATGCTTGCTACTGTATGATTGGCAGAACATAATCATTATTGTCCAAGTTATATGTGCATGCACCCTGAAGCTCAAGGGTACTTTTTAAGCATTGCTGATCCTTAGATATGCAAGCGCATGGGAATGACAGGAGGAAGAGAAGGGCAAGGTAGCCTTGATGCAGAGATTCTCTGTGTCAGGACAATTGTCTTTCTTCAAGATACTCGTCTTTGCAGATGTACATATTATAGTTTAACTAGGAATTTCCCACTTGGACCTGCCCTCCCTCAATCTAGCTAGGGCACAAATAGCTTACTAGTTATTCTTTATGTTTATGTACACAGAGAACCCATGTACCTGATTGCATAGAAAAAAGATCAGAGAGTTTGGCAATGGAGACTGGGAAAGTCCCTTATATTCTGTTAATAAGCTACTCCTGACATCACAATGTCTAAAGTGACTTTGCCTTGCTTTGTTTTTGCATGCAGCATGAATCCTGCCCCTTTCACCTCTCTCTTCCTAGTCTTTGCCCTGACTTTGGGGCAGAGCATGTCCCTTTGTGTCCCCGTTGAGTACATCATCCACGTGGAGAAGAGAGAATGTGCCTTCTGCCTGGCCATCAACACCACCATCTGTGAAGGATATTGCATGACACGGGTACGTTCTTACAACACACCATTGAGTCCCTTCTTGGTTGGTTAGGAAAAAAAAGAGTTTTAAGAAGTAGCTTAGGCCTTAGGAGAAAATAGGAAAGGATTATTAGACAACAGAGAAGACGAATGAGGTGATATAATGGTTTGAGACATTATACTAAATGTGGAGGTGAAATGGGAGACACTGGAGTAGTTGAGGCTTTGAATCAATGGACTTTTCAGAGACATGGAAGTGATCAAGGACAGCTATCTGTCGCAAACTATCATCTTGCTTCTACTATGACATTTTTTTAATTTTTGAGGAAATGATTTTCCTTAGCACATTCAAGAATTATTTTTTGCTTTTTTAATTCTCATGAAAATTGGGTTAGCCATGTGGGTTATAGGGCACTAAAGAAAGTGGAGAATGTGACTTCACCCCACCAGCACACAGCAGGCCCTCACCCATTACGTGATGCTGGCTTAGGGTTGGTGTTGTAGTAGCTCTTCCTCATGGTCTTCAGTAATGGAGTGCCAGGAGTGTGGGTAGAGAGAGGTGGAATCAATATGACACTCATAAATAGCAACCAAAACAAAAGAACAGCGATGAAGGGCTGTAGGTAAGAAGAATGTGGCCGGGGGGGGGGGGGGAATTGCAATTACGATGATGACCATCAATAACTGATGGGTGGGAACTAAGAGCAGTATGTATTGGCAACAAATTGGATCTGAAAAATCAAAGGTCATGGCGAAAGATTGCACTCAAAAGGGTACCTGAGCAACAGGTTGAAAAGCAGGATTAGCAAAGTTCCACCAGTTTAATGAAGGTAAATGTTGAAAGAATGAGCACATGTTCAGAAAGCAAATGGCCACTAGAAAAGTGGAGGGCCAATTCAGAAAGTGAAAAAACCAAAATACAGAATTTCATATTAACTATTAAAGTAATGGGGCAAACCAAAAGAAGAGGGCCAAAAGAAGCAACCCTTCCCCAAATAATCATACCAAGGAACTACACAAGGAACTGAGCTCGTACCACAAATTCAACATTATGGTGGGACTGTGCCTATGTCATAGCTTGAAAACCCGTCACAAGGATGAAATGGCCTTTCTTGCTTCAGCAGCAGTTACAAAAATGTGACCGTTGGGGAGGTGTAAGATGGAGAGATTTCTATCTGAGCACAACATAAATTATGCAGGTAGGATTAAGCAAAAAGCAATAACCACTGGCATTCTCTTACAGGACAGCAATGGTAAGAAGCTGCTGCCCCAGAGCGCCCTGTCCCAGGAAGTGTGCACATACAAGGACATGGTGTACAAGACTGTGATGATCCCTGGCTGTCAACACCATGTCGTCTCCTACTATTCCTATCCTGTGGCTGTGAGCTGCAAGTGTGGGAAATGCAACACTGACTACAGCGACTGTGTGCATGAGGCAAGCAGCACGGATTATTGCACTATACCTCAGAAGCTACATAACCTATAAGGCCCCTTCTTTCTCTCTCTTGCACACAAAGACACACTATCCCTCCTGTCACATGGCAAGTTTTGGGCATCCAAGAATAAATAGAATGGTTAGCATATCCAACACTTGTTATGTAAAATTATTTAGACATTTTTTTAAAAAAAACAATCAGCTGCTGTTTTCCATTTTATCTAGGACTCACAGACACAAAAATAATTTTCAGCAGTGTTACAAAGGCGCCTCTGACCGTGTGGTTGTACAGACACAAGGAATCCACATTTCTTTGTTGGATTCATTCTCCTTCCTGAGGAAAAGCAAAACAAGCCAGCCCCTTCCATTCATGCTTTGACAGAGGAGGGAAGTTGTATGTTCGGCCAGAATTGCTATGCTGTTCTCAGCACTGACAGCTACACCAATATTTCATTAGCTCCTGTGATTTGCTTGCCAGTCTTTGCCATTGCTGTGTCAAGTATTAATAACCATGGAGATCAAGACCCCTGTGGCACTCCAAAGACTATCTTACTATATCACAAATAACTGTAGACAGCATCTGTCATGGATGCTTTAGCTGGGATTCCTGCATTGCAGGGGGTTGAACTAGATGACCCTTGGGTCCCTTCCAACTCTATGATTCTGAGAAATTTCATGCCATAATAAATTAGGTACCACAGGACTCTTGGTTTTCTTTGGACTAGAGTGCCAGTTGTGTTCACTGTAACATTGTTAATTAGCCATATAAAATAATCATGTGTATAATGAAGGTAGACAACTGGGGGGGGGCAGGCAGGGTATAACTAGAAACTGAACCATCACCCAGAGCATAGCAAAAGCTACTTCTGTGAACAGACATAGTGACAGGTGGTTGCCTAGTGAGCTATATGGATAAAGCAGGTCTTTCAGAAGACTGGGGTCATTTCAATTCATTTAGAAAATTGGCAAGGCTTACACAAATGTATTCATAAGAATGTGTGACGATAGAAGGATAAGCGATTTAAGAAAAATAGAGTTTCACCCAAGTTGTCAATAACACATGTAAATATCAAAGGGTACTTAGCAAAGTCACAAGAAAGACAACACACACAGAACTGGTCTGAACCATTTTATTGTGCCAGGATAAGAGCAAAGAAAAATGATCATTCTTGCGCTGCCAACATATTATTCATGGTATGTCTAGAGACCATCTTATAATTCATTAAAAAAACACACACCTTTGATAGAGAAATTTTGTAGTTAATTATGAACAGTAAAACCTACAATATAGCTTCACAAAAACATAGTTGCAACAGCCCAAGAAAAACTGCTTAGCAGTTTATTTGCACAACATGTAGCTTACAGAGATCGCTAGTCCCTATAACTAGGTTCCAGAGAGCATTTCTGAAAACCTTTAGCACATTCACCTGTTAACCCTTGTATTGTATTACATTGCTCTGTTCTTAGCAGTCACCACAGGAACCAAATTCTTTACTCTATGTAAAGTTATAAGTTATAAAAGACAGATATATAAAAAATTCACAAAATTTGTTCCCATTTTTTAAATCTTTGCTAACATGCTTGGAACGATTGCAAGTGCCCTTCCCCAATAATTTTGTTTAAAGTTTCTTTTCCTGTTCCACTCATAAAAAAAGGTTTTCTGATACATCCTCCCATAGCCAGGTTTAATAAAAAGTAGCCATTGCCATTCCATTACCAGAGGCTTCATTCTTCTAACTCCCAGAATGCATCCTGCATTCTACATATTCAGATGACTGTCCTACTGTGTCACAACTCTTGGCTTTTTACTTCATAAGAAAAAGAGACACATCACCATTAGAGAACTATGTGCCTAGTCAGTCTGGCTCCAAAACCTGATAACAATTAAGAGCTCAGGTGGACTTGGCTTTGAGTCTAAGTTTTGACAGAAGAAACACTGATAATTCAATCTGAAATTTCACTGTTTTCTTGTGTCTTGTCTGGTGATTCTTGTGGATTCATTCCAGTAGGTCCAAAGAACAAGGAGGAAGTCTAGGGAGAAAGTCTTCCATACTGGTATAGCTCAATAAGAAATTCTCCAACACCAATAAAGTAAATACCTTGAGCTATACCAAAAAGAGGTGCAATGACCAGGGCTCGGCAACCAGCCCCTTTAAGGAAGGCTAAAGGACCCTCCTTCATCCAAAGTTTCCTGAAAGAGAGAAAACAATACCAAATATATACTTGGCTACTAAATTCTGCACGTATCATTTCACAACTCCTGTGTCCAGATCTGAACATTCACTCAAAAATCTCCATGTGTTCTCCTGCCAAAAGCTTGAAGACCTGATTCCCTCCTGCGGCTGTAATTCATCTCTCACCCTATAAAAAGAAGTCTTAAAAGAGAAAGGAACACACCAGAAATTGGCATGATTCCTACAAGTTTATGGCCAATTCAAAGGGTATAGCTTCCATATGGAAGCTACTGAAAAGCATTTCTGTATGGTTATACTTCAAGCAATGGTTGTGATATTTGACAGCTGGTTCTTCAGCACATATTCTAGGATAAATCATGTTGGAAGTAGCTTCCAAATGTTATAGCCATGTGCTTAGGGTCAGTTACTCCTACTTTTATCAGATTCACAGCTGCCTTCTGACTGCAGAGGTTACAGTGGCAAATTAGGGGAAACTGCCTTCATATGTCTGAAGATCAGCTTAAAAGGTCTAGTGTGAATGCACGTAAGTACTTTTCATGTCTTCTCAAACAGGAAACCTCCTCCACATTTAACATACTGTTTAACATCATAAACATTTGCTTACACTCTGGCTGAACAGTCAGTTATTCACAGTGCTTCTATTACTTACCGTGCACAATCAATAATTCCATTATAACTCTCTTCATTTCTTCCCTTGCCCATTGACTGAAGACGAGTTTTTATTACTGCAAAATAAAAATATTGTTTGCCAGGTTAGAAGACTAATGCAGGCAAGCCTGACAACATTATGACTACAGCATATTAAAATTCATTCTTTTCTACATTTATTAAAGCACTGTGATATTCTGAAGACAAAAAGCTTCCCTACACATAAAGCCCTAACAGATGGAAGGGTAGCTTCCAGAGATTCACAAGGAAATCCACTTTTCCCAGTATTTCTCTATAACTACTGTATGGAGAAGCATGAAATACATGAAACACAGAAACACAAAAGAGATGAGATATAAATCTTCTCTTACCATCACAGGGATTGACAGACACAGCTGCCACTGAACCGGCCATGCAACCAGCAAGAAAAGAACGAAAGAAAGGGGCTTTCTCTTCCAGGGAATTGTGTCCTGCTCTGTTCAGATGGGCAAACAGCGGGAAATAGATGACCGAGAATGGGACATCCCTAGAACACAAGAGTTATTGCATTTTTATAAAGCCACATACTGTAAAAACTGGGCTGGGAATGGGAAGGACAAGATGTTCCATCCTTACCTCAGCAAGGTGGCTCCAAGACCCTTGTAGAGTCCTTTAATGCCCTGGGTATGCAGAAGCTCGACTGCTATCTGTGTGGCAGATATCCTCCTTGGAAAGGCAATTGGTCCTACATTGTATGCTCTGGCTAGAACAGGGCTGACAGCTAGAAGCTTGCACCCAGGAGATGAACAAGGAACTCTGCTCACAAGCTGCTGAGATGCTGAAAGAACAATTAAAAATATGTCAGGCTCATTGGTCTCCTGAAATTTATGATTTCACCCTAAATATATACAAGTCTGAGATGCATTCTAAATCTGATTACCTGAAGGTCTGATCCCTGGAAATCTCTTCAACTCCTGTAACTCCTATAAGCAGCTCTGTGATAGTGAAACATAAGCACTATTTGGACATTCTAAGGGCTTATCCACTCTTACCTTTCCTCCACACTTTCCAGGTGTGGCCTGTGCTTTAAAGCTCTGTATCCAAGTACAGTCAAACCTCGGTTCTTGAATGTAATCCATTCTGGAAGCCCGTTTGGCTTCCGAAATGTTTAACAACCAAGGTGCGGCTTCTGATTTGTTGCAGGAGCTTCCTGCAATCAAGCGGAAGCAGTGTCGGATGTTCGGTTTCCGAAAAATGTTGGAAAACTGGAGCATTTACTTTCAGGTTTTCAGCTTTCGGGAGCCAAAACGTTCCAAAACAGAGGCGTTTGGAGCCAAGGTTTGAGTGCACTTTCTTTTCTGCTCTGGAGCCTTCACCGTGAAAACCTGCTCTTTACTGCTGAATAGAAGCCAACAACAATCTGTTGAGAACCTAAATTGCCATTCATTGAGCTTCAGCTTTAAATAGCGGGTTTTTGAGGAAAAGTTCAGGGGTGGGGGGAAGCACTTGGACACAGAGCTTTAAAGTGCAGACCTGTGCCTGGAAAGCATGGGGCAAAAGATAAGTGTTGATACAACCACATGGAACAGGCCATGCCTATTGGCCTTGCCATCTATGAGCTGAGGGAAGGTCTGAAGAAGGGAGTCTGTTATATGCACATAGGTTCCCCCTGCAATCTGAAATCCTGATTGCACAGCAGGGAGCTCTAGCTTATGTGCTTACTTCTGGTGTCTTGCCTTGCTCCAGTGTTCCATATTTCTGGGTCATAAATTGCCTACATAAGACTTTGCTCTTATACAGATAACACAGTACTGATACTCATTTTTTCACTTATCTGGCTCAATAACTTAGAAGCATTACTGAGTTCTGGAACTGATTAAAGCACTGTTGTGCCTTAGATTACCATTTCTTGTCAATTAGGCAATACATTCAAATGATCCCTTATGGTACATAACTTTCTGCAGCCGCCATCCATAGCAGGATGAGATAAAATACCAGACACTTACTCATGCTGCACACACACACACACCATGGGTAGGGACAATATTATTCCCAATCCCTGTTCTTGTTTTACAAGCCACCAAGTTACTACTGACCTAGCTTATGACAGCCAAAACGAATGGTAATTGAAACCTACGCCAAACTGAACATCTCTTGTTCAACAGTTCATGTTAGTTTGTACATAACACCAAGCCAAATCATGGTGTGTGCATATGTACTCAGTACTTGCAGCAAAAACTGCAGCTACTTAACTCCTCCCCTGGGTCTTGCTTAGTTTGGCTTAGTGTTATGTCTCAACATGGAGTTGCACCTTGTCTCCTGTTACAGACTACAAGGCCAGGTTCACAAGTAATGCTAAGCCAAGCCATAGCTTAAGCCTCAGGTAGCCTAGCAGTAGTAGGACTTGGGGAAGAGTGAAGTGACCATAATTGTTACCATGAGTACTTGCACACTCACATGTTGATAGTTAGATAGTTTGGCTTAGTGTTATGTGTGAACTGGACTATTGTATGAAATGGCATTTCCGAGCACTCTGGCACTCGGCATGGTGTCCCGTTGTGCCAGAAGCGGTTTAGTCATGCTGGCCACATGATTCAGAAAGCTGTCTGATGACAAACACCAGCTTCCTCAGCCTGAAAGTGGAGATGAGCACCCCACAGTCAAATTTGACTGGACTTAACCATCCAGGGGTCCATTACTTTAGCTTTGTGTGATCATCCAAGAACCTGTTCTCAGAGATGATAGGCAAGAACTGTTACCTAGTCGCCCTGCATCTTGAAGTTGGATTTTCAGCATCTCCATTGGAGTGGTGATAATAACTTGGCAGGTTCCAGCACCACAACCGGCCAGCATCTCCTTAGATAAAGAAAGGGCTACCCTGTAATAAAAAGAGTATTTATTAAACATATTATTTATACTAAAAATATTATTTTAAACACTAAAGTATACAAGCATGCAATATCCCAGAAAAGGAAAAGGCTGTATAAAGGAAATACATAGTTTATCTTCAGACTAGCAAGGGGCTTTGAGAATCAAACCCATTGAAAATGACACATTAGCTTCTTGCAGTCAATATCCCATCAGGACATAGGATTATAATATTTATGTTTACAATCAAAGTCACAAGATTTTGCCTGTCCATATAGAGTTGCATATTGGAATGTCAATGCTCTGTGTTAGATCTTCCCTCCCTTTCCCTGCCCATCCTGCAGCAAGTTATTGAAATCATGAAGTTTTGCAAAGATGTACTTAATACATACATATTATCCTCCTTGCAATATCTGGATTTTCACAAAGTTCAGCAAAAGAACTTGGGAGGTAGCAATGATCAAGAAAATGAAGGAGTGGCTTGGGATAGAAATGCACAAATGATTGTGCATTGCAGAAGTCAAGAGAACGAGCTAGATTATGTGCATCACAAAGATGACCTGTTCTTCCAGCCCATTGGCCCTTCAAAGTAGTCCATCCAGCGCACAGTAAGTTTTGCTTTCTGTTTTCAATAATTACTTGTCTTCTGGTCATTCAGAAGATTCGTAATATTGCATGCCTTGCTATCAACATATTATTGTTCATTCTGCTCTCAAGGGTGATCAAAAAACTATTTAATGAGCTTTGCACAATTTGTCACATTCACGTAATGGAGTCCGCAACGAACACAGACTTAACTTATGTACGGTACAAATGAGACAGCTCTAGTATCTCAAGTTAACATACCCATCCTTGGCAAGAAGGTGCCTAAAATAGTCATTAGCAGCCAGTTTGATAGCCTTCTCGGGTGTTACAAGGGTCAGATTCACTGCTGCACCTAAAAATAAATACATACTTAAGCTTAATTGAAATTAGGAGATTTTCTTTGTTTTAAAATATATTTTGATTATAGGTATCCCACATCGTTTATTGTGGCAGGGACTCAGATTCCAGTTTTCAAAGTTATTGGAAATAGCCCAGAAACTACTACTGGAGTTATACAGTCATTTACAAAACTCTAATCTTAAAAGCAATAGCAGATTGTGGCAGAAGGAGAACAAATGGAAATCCTGTTGTGTGAGCAGACTGCATCTCATTTTGCGCATCTTTGTTTCAAATGTCTGAGCACAGCTCTATGAATGTTTACTTAAAAGTAAGCTCCAGAAACAATGCAGCCAACTCACTAGTAAATACATTGAGATCTCCAGTTCTGACCTTTCAAGATGAGTCCCTAATCATAATGGATGAGACCCCAATGAATAAGTCCCCAATTATCATGAAGCAGTATAACTGTGTTAGTTACAGCCATTACAAAAACAAGGAAAAGACTTACCTCTGTACATTCCAAAATAGCCTTCTGAACGCAGGGTTTTCATTAGACAATCCAACCTGATCAAGACACAACACTATAGTCAGAGATTACCTGTCGCTAAGATACTCTTGTCATATTTGATATTAGAGCTTAGCAGCAGTGACCAATGTAATATATACTACAAAAAATATATCATATCAAGCCTTAATAATATGTATTTTACGAAGAAAAGTAAAATAATACCTCATTATAGCTACTTAAATACAACATATAGTTGCTTATTTATAACCTTTATTGTTCTCTAGTATCCAAAATGAGGCTACAGTAATTTTTTCATTTTCTATTTACCTTATTTCATTCACCGGTACATTATTCTTTATTTTATACATGCAGATAAAGACCCATACTTGATGGAATCATTCCATTAATAACTGTGGATTTCTACTTTCCCAACACCTACATCTATCCGTAGGTACTTGCAAATGGTGAAAGAGCTGCTCAAATATTAAGTCAATCTAGATGCAATACATTTCCAGTGATCACTTACATGCTTTTGTAGACTTGCTGTCCACTTCTCTGATTCTGTAGCCTGGTTTTAACCAGGTCAATTGGAAATACACAACTAACGCCAATGATCCCTGCAGCTCCTCCATTAATAAGTTTAGCGGGCAAACTGAACAAGAGAAAACAGAATTCCATTGTATGCAATTGAATCAAGAATTTCCAGAACTAGGGGCTGGAGAAGAGTTATGCTGTATATTTATTTCATTTATATCAAATTCAGCTCTGTGATGCACCAAATTCTGACTTCCTTGAGATTGGCCACAGACTATGTGTTGCTTTCAGCATTGCTACAATAAAGCTTTTAGAACACTTCATATGCAACAATGGTACACATCTGTGACATACATGAAAAAACACAGGATTGTAGCCAAGGCTGCTGTTCCACTCACACAATGGAACTTCCTTCTCTTCTCCTTTCCCCTGCAGTCCCTTCACCCTCAAAATCTGTTCCAGAGTCTTGGGGACCTTTTACAATGTATTTTTTGGACTGTACAGGGAGAAGTCCAGTTGTACAAACAGAAGTCCACTCATGCAGTGTTGGATACAGTCCATAACATGCAGTGTTTCTAAGTATGTGTTTAATGTATGTACATCCCTCAAAGAGCTTCTTATGTGCTCGGTATAAGCACATCATACCGAGACTCTTGCATGTTAGGGCTGCATCATTTGTACAGCCTTGCATTACAACAATCTCTCTTTTCTTGTCTCCCTTACTCTATTCCATGTCAAATCAGACTGGTTCCTTTGGGTCTCTCATTCCACCTAGTCTAGAGAGACAAGAGAGACTATTTATGGAATGAAGGGAGCTGCCCTGCTACATTTCAGACCACATGAAGTTATTCTTCAGGAGTATATATACTTCTAGCTATTATGAGGTATGTAAGAATAACCATCATAACTGCTCTTAAATACATCTTTGTTGCAATTTAATCTCAAATATTTTTAAAAACAGGTCTTTGAAATTTGTTATAAAACTATTGATCAAATAAATAAAGAAAGAAAGTTATTTGTATCCCGCCCTCCCCTGCTGGAGCTGGGCTCAGAGCAGCTAAAATCATATAAAACACAATATACATAAACAAACAATCGATTAAAATGCATCCCAAAATTAATTCAAATAAAATTAAAATTAGACTGGCCAAATGGCCATCCTCAAATTAAATAAAATAAAAAACCAAACTTCATTTTGCAGCATTTGTTGTCATGTTCATTCTGTAAATCAATTGCACTGTTTCTCCAATGCCTGCTTCGAGGCTCACTATATTTCTAAAAACTTGGGAAGGACACATACCTAATCTGTTTCTCAGCCATCTTCTTTGGGATTACAAAGGAAAAAGTGCTCCAAGATCTTTTTGGTCAGTAAGTAATACAAGCTGCCGATGGTGAGAAGTTGGTTCCTCAAGGAGACAATTCTGTCTAATATCTGCAGAGTGAATTGAAGCTTTAAAATCCATCAGTGGTCCTATAAATAATCCAAAGTTATCTCATTGGCTGTTTCACCATACAGGCATTTCAAACAGCTCACAGCATCTCAAATTCAGTATGACAAATCAGAATACCCTCTAACCACTACTGTTACACCAAGTGTCATCATCCGTTATTAATACCTAGGTGATTAATTTATACCGTAAGAGATGCAACTGAAATATATTATATTGATGTAGGAATGACTGAGGAACTGTGACATTATAGGGAAGATGGTATCTTTAGTGACATAGGGTTGAGGGTGAGAAGTCATGCACAAAACAATTTAAAATCATAATGTACTATTAGCACAAATGAAAAAATAGTAACTTAGGCTGCAATCCAAAAACACTTCCCAGGGAGGAAGTGCTACTAAACTCAATGGGAGTAAAGCAAATTTTGTATAAACATACACAGGATTGCATTGCATGACTTCAAGGAATGGGCATATCTGTGAAGAGGAAGAAAATACTAATAATATTTCCTAGGGCAATTATGGAAAGTACCCCTGGAAGGCCATGCTGAAATGTGTCAGAGCAATGCCATTATCACATGGGCAGCTAAGTTAGTAATTGGGATTCCCAGTGCCCACATGGGCAGCCAGGTTAGTAGTTGGGGTTCCCCATTCCCATGATGAGACAACACACCAGTGCTTCCACGGAAGACCATGCTAAAATGTGTCAGAGCAATGCCACTATCACATGGGCAGCTAAGTTAGTAATTGGGATTCCCAGTGCCCACCGGGGGCGTCATGCAATAAAGAGCAAATGACCAAGGAGCAATGACCAGCCTGGAGGTAGAGTTCCCATTACTAACATCAGAGAAGAGTACATTGCACAAAAAGTGAGATATTATTAGCCTACAATCTGATCATCTGATACGCATAGTCTGTAAAGCCCACAGGGAAATTTCAGTTGCGGCATTAAAGTGTCTCCAGTTTAAAAAAGGCTCTTTAATTTTGTACAACAGCAAAGAACTAGAGCGACAGTTTTGATTTATCCTCTCCCGTGACTGCTCAAGGCAGTTGTAATTATATAATTGCTCTTGCCTAAGAAAAACAATAAAAAGTGATCTCTGTTTTGCTCACCCCATATTTCTTTTGTCAATTCTTCTTGTACCAAATTCCCACAATGGTGCAATTTAGCAAAGCAATACTAAAAACACATGCATCACAAATAAATAAATAAAACTCATAGCAAAATATTATTTAAAATGCAATTATTTGGATATGTGAGATCCTGAAACCTGCTGATTCACATTCCACTGCTCCTGAAACTCTTTCTCAACTTCCAAGGGAGGTAAGATATGAAATTCACTCTCTCTGTCTGTGCAGTGTGCTTTTAGCTCAGGGGTGGGAACCTTCAGGCTTGCAGGACCTTTTTTAAAAAATAAAATAAAATCCTGAAGTCCACCAACTGGAGCCAGTAGCAAAATAGTGGTTGGAGGGTGAAAGCAGAAACAACATACCAGTACCACATGAGCAGGGTGGGGAATCTTAGGCACAGGGGCTGAATGCAACCCCTCAGGCTTCTTTACCTAACCCCTAAAATTCTCCCTTGGTCACACCCCCTCAGTGGCCCTGCATCTCCCCTGGAGCGCTGTTGCCTGGCTGGAATATGTCCTTGAACTCCAATAAAGACTCTTGCTTCTCTGGATGGAGGGAGGGTTTGAGACCCATCGGCTATCTTCACCTGGTTTACCTGGCCAGTTGAAGCTGTTCCTGGGGTGTGGCCGTTGTTGCATTCTGACAGCTTCTAGGCAGTGGCGTAGCGTGGGTTGTCAGCACCCAGGGCAAGGCAAGTAATTTGCGCCCCCTAACCTGTGGATTTGCGCCCCCTAACCCATGGATTTGCGCCCCCTAACCCGTGGATTTGCGCCGCCTAACCCTAACCCCCAGAAGTTGCGCCCGGTGCGGCCGGCCCCCCCTGCACCCCCCACGCTACGCCACTGCTTCTAGGAGCCACAGGTGAGAGCTGAGTGCAGGGTGGAGATCAAAGGTGGACAAACTACCCCAGAAGCAGTAGGACCTGTCCCCCACCAGAAGTACTATCCCTCCCCTAACACATACACCCCAGAGCAGGTACAATACACAATACTTGGAGAAGCTACTGACTGTAGAAGCAGGAAAGTGGTAAGAGATGCTGTTGTGCTCTGAAGCCACTTTTCATCAGAACAGAAGTGAATACTAATGAGAAATGGATATGGGGCTCAACTTCTAGAATGCAAGGCAAGCCCAGGGTGTTCTGAGCTGGTTCCAAGGCTCAGTTCTGGGCCATTACCAATTTGGGTGGGGAGAGACACACTAACACTTATATGCATGAAATTTCACTCCTTCCAGCAGCAGGAGGCAGAAGTAGGAAGTACTGTAGTTAGAACAACAGTAGTTGGTTCTGAATTGGTTAGAGCTTTCTAGTCAAGTCTATTTTTTCTGAAGCATTTTGCCAGACTTTCTGCTGGGAGTACAACAGAGGACGCCATGTACAGGGTTGCAAGTGATGAGCCCAGCAATGATAGCTTATTTCAGCCCTGTCCACGGCTGCTTCCTTCAAATTCACCCAACGATGGTCTACATACAAGTACAGTGGTACCTCGGGTTAAGTACTTAATTCGTTCCGGAGGTCCGTTCTTAACCTGAAAACTGTTCTTAACCTGAAGCACCACTTTAGCTAATGGGGCCTCCTGCTGCTACTGTGCCGCCAGAGCACGATTTCTGTTGTCATCCTGAAGCAAAGTTCTTAACTATTTCAGTACTATTTCTGGGTTAGCGGAGTCTGTAACCTGAAGCGTATGTAACCCGAGGCACCACTGTACTGGCTCTCTCAACCTGCATCCTACAAAACGCTCCTGGTAATTCTAGTCCATATACTCTGCATGCCGTTCTAAGATTACAGCCTTTTTCTGGCAGGTCTCCTGGGCCTTTTAACAGCTCCATGTCCTGGCAACAGTTATACACATAAAGCACTCTCCATCATTAAACCGTCATGACAGGCTGCATTTGTCACATTTCTGTATCCTTTTCTTTTTGACAAAAGTTGATACTTTCTACATCCTCCAGGCTTTTCCATGCTTTTTAAATCTGGATTTAAAGGGGAGGCATTTAAATTGCAGTCATATACTCACTTACTTTGGAGTAAGTCCCACAGTAGGGTCTTAATTGTGCTCAACTGTTCTGCTTTTATTGTTTTACTAATCCACCTGGTTTTATGCAAGCCATTCTGGGAACATCAAATAACTAAAGGCTCAACTACAGGCATGCAGGGGAAAGCAATGGCAGGATGTTTGTGTTGTCAAGTTTAATATTATTTGCTAAAACAAAAAACAAAAAGTGGTACCAGCCCCACTACCCTTTTGTGGTTGATTCTTCTTACTTTCCCAAGCAGAGAAGGTGAGGTTGGGTGGGGAGAGGTCTGCACAGAACGTACATGGGTTGGGGCAGGGCTAGTGGTTATGTTGCTTCTCCCCACTTTTCTCATCCCCTGGCGGTGGGTAGGTAAGAGTGCCATTTCACAAACACCATGCCTCTGATGGACTATACCCCACAAAAACTTAAGCTATAATAAATGAGGTGGTTTTAAGGAGCTACCCCTTCCTTATTTTTGCTGCCAACGGACTTAGAACAGCTCACCCTCTTGGAAATTATGTGGGTGGCTATCACCCTCTCGCTGACAAACAGATAACAGGCTTCAAGAAAGGGCGCCATAATCCCCCCCCCCTTTCACAGCTGCACAGCAGACATAAAAATTGTGTTTAGTGCAGCTTTATCAATGCAGCATGAGGAACATCTGTTTTTCCACCTGTCAGCCAGCAGTTCAGCGAGACACAGGAGCTCTAGAAAAGGGCATTTTAACACAAATACACGTACCCATATCCAGTGCCGGATTTATGTATAAGCTAAACAAGCTATAGCTTAGGGCCGCACTTTCTTGGCCAACCCCCCAAAAAAAAATTAAAGAAAAAACAAAACTTGGATGTACATTTCCAAAATATAAGATAAAAAACAACTAAAATAGATGAGTCTTTGTAAACTGGGTATCTAAAGGAACTTTTGTTATTTCCAAATGCCAATGTGTTTGCATTGTTTGTTATGAATAAAAATCATTTTAAGTTAGAGCTTAATAATTATTTCACTATTAATATACGTACTTAATTGTTTTTCAGTTCAACAATTACTTCGATAAAATATATATTTTGTTATGAGCAATTGGTCCATAAATTACCGTACTGTTTAGCATATATTCAACACAAAAAACTGTGACAATTTGTTGTTGACAAAGGACAGCTGGCCATATAAAGGGCCCCATTACCTTCAGTAGCTTAGGGCCTCATCAAACCTAAACCCGGCCCTGCCCATATCCCTGCCCCTCAGTACCATTTATCTCAAGGAGCCACCCTTGGCCATGAATATTCTTAGCCCTTATATGCCATGCCAAGGAGGGGTCGGTATTTGAAATCAAATGGCAACGGAGCGGTGACCAGGCAACACGAGCTGTCCCTCCCCTCGGGTCAACTGACGGCCAACGGCTCTCGGTTTCAAATTCTACGCATTTACTCACCCAGCCGCCGCGAGAAGAGCCGCCGCTCCATTGACAGACAGGTAGGAAAGAACGGCCGCCGCCGCCGCTGCTCAGCCGGCTGTGCGTCTCCCGCCTCTACAGAAGGCGCGCTGCGATTGGCCAGAGCTGCCGCAACCCACCCAATGGTAGGAAGAGGCTGGGCTCGCTCGCTTCCCCCCGTCCCGCTCAGTCGCCGTCAGTAAAGGCGCGCTGCTCAAAATACTCTATGGGTCACATTGGCAGCCCGTTCACCGTTAATCTCCTTCCTTTCAGCGCTCCACTCCTTCCTTCTGCACTCGCAGCTCCGCTCTTCCAGGTCCTCAGCCTGGAGCATATTTTAAAGGGGCAGCTTGTGTGTGTTTTGATTGGTGAGCAATCAATCAAAAGCTTCATTCTGCAGGTGGCTGGCAACAAGGCTAGCTGCCATGATCTCGGAACCAACAGAGCCGTTTGAACGGGCTGCTACAAGTCCACATGAATTCCTGCTTTCTTGTGCACTCCTTTGTCCAATGTTGCTGCAACGTACCTGCCAATATTTTGGGAATAGTTTCTGCTGAAGGTATTGGATGGGTTACCGTAAAAATGTAAGATGAGAAGGCACCCCACTTGAGCCAGTGCAACGATGCAGGCAAGAATTTATATATCTGGTATAAAGGTAAAGGGACCCCTGACCATTAGGTCCAGTCGTGGCTGACTCTGGGGTTGCAGCGCTCATCTTGCTTTATTGGCCAAGGGAGCCAGTGTACAGCTTCCGGGTCATGTGGCCAGCATGACTAAGCCGCTTCTGGCGAACCAGAGCAGCGCATGGAAACGCCGTTTACCTTCCTGCCGGAGCGGTACCTATTTATCTACTTGCACTTGACGTGCTTTCGAACTGCTAGGTTGGCAGGAGATATCGGGTATAGGGTAGTATATAAATTCAATTCAATTCAATAAATAAATAAGAGTTTCATGGATGGCGCTTAAAGCAAGATTTATGTGTGTGTCATTTGTGGGTCGGTGTAGCCCTGCTTTTTTTTCACCTTGTCAGCCTACATCTAGGATAAAAGAAAAGGGCTACTTTTCAGATAAATAGTTATGTTACATCTCTGTTTAGAATGTGTGGGGGGAAAATTTGGCCTTCCTGATTTTGCTGAACCACACCTCCCGTCACCCTCAGCCTTTGGCCATGCTTGCTGAGACTGATGAGAGGTGTGGTTTTGCAACATCTGGAGAGTCGAAGGTTCCCCAAACCTGCTTTAAAATCACTGATGCCTGCCTGCTGTATCTTGGCAGCAGAGAAAGCTATAGGGCTGTTATGTACTGTACTGTACTGAGTTGAATAGGATCCATATTGCAGCAGTCTGATTGGTCCTAGAACAATAGGATTCAGAATGCAGCAGTCTGATTGGTCCTAGAACAATGCAGCAGTATGATTGGTTGGCAGGAACCACCCAATCATGCTCCAGATATACGTGAATCCACAACCTGATTGGCTTACAGTAGAATTCCAGAATTAGCCAATCATGTGCAGCCCATTGTGTAAATAATGTATATAAAGCAGATACTTTGAGGGTACTTTCATTCATTCCTCCTCACCACTATGAGTTGAATAAGGAGCATGAAATCACGTTGCGACTCTGAGTATATTTCAAGGGCTCTCCAGGAGAAGTAATGTGAAACTTCTCAGGAACTTGGTTTGTGGGGCAGGCAGTTGCTCATCTCAGCACAAGCCCAGATACCTCAGTGCAAGACCAGCTTCAGTTCAGCGTTATTTGATACTCTGTACTGCCTGAGGGAGAAATGAGAAAGGGATGGCTTACAGATAATGTTCCATTTTTCCCTGGCTTTCTCCCCTTTCCTCAGCCTCTGTTGGGGCTCTTGTACCTTTAGCAGCAGTGCAAAAAGGAACATCGTTTTCAATTATTGTGTATGCCTCTATTCCAGGAAAATCTGCAGATGGTCTATCAATAAAATTGTGTCGAAAGTGTTCTCCCCCCTCACCCCCTTGAAAACTTGCTGTGGTTGTGTGCAAGTTTATTCCTACTGCTCAATTACTCTTACTGGCTGCAGTTTGGTACACTGGTGCATAAGCCTTGAATGCTGCTAAGGTCAATGGGAGAAAAAGCATGCATGATAAAATCCATAGTTTGCACCAGATGTGGGGAAAGTTTTTCAGACCAAAGGCCACATTTCCTTTTGGGCAACCTTTCGGGGGCCACATGCCAGTGGTGGGCAGGGCCCCAGGTAAAAGTGGGTGGTGCAACAAAGATAAATGCTACCTTTGTACAGTAGTTCAGTTTTAAACACACATATCTGCTCCATCTTCCATCCAGACAAGCAAGAGGCATTATCAGTGTTCAGCAATACATTCCAACCATTCCGGGACAGGTAAGGTTAGTGAAAGGTGTGGCTGGGGGGAGAGAGGGTGTTGCTGAGAAGCAGGTTACAAGGGGAAGAGTTCAGAGGGCCAAATGGAGATTCCTCACCCTTTGTTTATGCCTTCTTCTTTTGCAGCTTGCTGGAGCTGATGGGAGTTGTTTAGCGAGGTTCCTCACACCTGATTTAAACACTGTAAGAGCTTGGAAATACCCTGTTTCCCTGAAAATAAGACATTGTCTTATATTAATTTTTGCTCCCAAAGATGCGCTAGGTCTTATTTTCAGGGGATATCTTATTTTTCCATGAAGAAGAATACGGTACACATTTATTGTCTAATTGTGAGTCAGCCAGACTCCGTCAGGGTAGAGCAAGCAGCAGGTGGCAGCTTGTCATGGCAGTGGCGCAGTCTCTCTGATTTATAGAGACCTTGCACTGCCTGAACAGCTCTGGCTGTGCTGCGGCCAATCAGTGAGCTGTGCAGCGGCGCCCGCTGCTACGGTCCAGAGGAGTCAGATGCCTTATGGTAGCTTCGGGGGCCTTATGTTCGGGGGGAGGCCTTATTATCGGAGAGGTCTTATTTTCAGGAGATGCCTTATATTACAGCGAGAGGCAAAACTGGAAGTAAGTCTTATTTTGGGGGGATGTCTTACTTTCTGGGAAACAGGGATCTCTTCTTGATATCTGTGCTCTTGAGGCTCATACTAGCTGATTTGATACAGTTTTGAACTACATCTCTCACAGCCAAGCCTCTTAATTCACAGGTAAGGAACACACATACATACTTTTAATTCAGGTGGGATCCTCCACCTACCTCTTCTGTCTAGTCGTTCCAATCCAGCCCATCCTCTCCTTCTCCACCAGTGGAGGCTGGTATGGCTGTCCAATGAAAATGGAGCACTGTAGGCTGCAATCCTATACCCACTTACATGAGAGTAGGTTCCACTGCACTCAATGGGACTAACTTACGAGTAAGCATATATAAGACTGCAATATTAAACAGGCAAAAAACCACCAGCAGCCATTTTGACACCTATATAAATATGTACCACAGCTCTCTCAAACTGTTTTCCTTGCATTTTCCTTGCTCTGCAAGTGCCCTTTCCATGGTATATTTGTAATATCATATACCACAACATACCAGTCATCTGAAAAAGGACTTTGTAAGAAACAAGAGGCAGCTAGCTTGGCTTCCTGAAGAACTCGTTCCATGATATGTGTTTTTTGGGGAAAACCTTCCCTAATTGATACTAAGAAAATGGGTAGTCAGTGAAGCAAAACTACACAGTCATTTAAGTCTGCAGCACAAAGATAAAAGCAGTAACCCTCCACCACAGCCAATACTGCATTACAAGAAATAGCCACAGGTTGTCTATGTATTTTGGATTTGCAGGAGAGCAACCAAATATTGAAATGGCAAATGAGAGTAAAAGCACAATCCTATGCATATCTACTTGGATATGCTATTAAGTTCACTGGGGCTTTATGCAGAACTACAGCTTGAATGAGGTGTAATGCACAGGATCAAAACATGCCATGCCCATCATTCACATGGCTCAACATGCTACTAGTATATATCCTAGCACCAGTGCTTTTTTTCTGGGGGGGAAAAACATTTTGCGAATCTAAGTTTGGCCTCATTGAGGGGCAGTATTTCAATATGAGTAGGAAAATGAGAGTACCCCTAAACATTTTTTTAAAGGAAAAAAAGCACTGCCTAGCACACATTCATTGCATTGTTAGTGCAAATGTTCTTTGGAGCCAAAGACTTTCCCCCTCCACATCCCAAACCAGTCTGTTTCACTCACAACATACCATCCGAGATATATCTGAGAAAGGAAGCTAATACAGTGGTACCTTGGGTTAAGTACTTAATTCATTCCAGAGGTCCGTTCTTAACCTGAAACTGTTCTTAACCTGAAGCACCACTTTAGCTAATGGGGCCTCCCACTGCTCCCGCGCCGCCGGAGCCCGATTTCTGTTCTCATCCTGAAGCAAAGTTCTTAACCTGAAGCACTATTTCTGGCTTAGTGGAGTGTGTAACCTGAAGCGTATGTAACCCGAGGTACCACTGTACATGTAATGTGCATTAAAATGTTGGTCAGGAAAAAGAGACAACCACTACTTTCATTTCAGATTATTATTTTTATTAGATTTCTGCATCAACTTCAGTAGAGAAAGGCTGATAAAAAATGCATTCAGAAAGCAGGCCAAACTAGAACACGTTTCATTAACAGAACAAGGGCTAATAACATTCACAGCTAGAGGGAATGGCTAGATGGTGAACATATTTGCTTTCCCATGATAGGAACTTGATGCACTGATGCTGTCAGATATCAACCACGCTGCAAAGGAGGACTATGTTTATTTATATTTCTACTAACATTTGAAGAGTTAATGAAGTCTCTTATACAAACTTTAACACATAGGCTTTAAAAGGTGGAAATAAAAACAGTTTTGCACATCCATTTCACTAGAAACTGGGCACGTGTTTCCAGTGGGGGTATCAGCACAGGAGGCACGGCTATTTTGCAGCTCTGTGTCTTCAGGCCTTGCTTTGATCCCTGCAAGTTCCCAGGAGTGGCCAGGTGCTACTCTTCAATAGACACTTTGACACACCACTTACCAAAGGTCCGAACTCAGTGTAAACAGTCATTCCCATGGCTAGTGAGAATGCCCATATTTACATTAGGCAGGAGGACAGAGCATCTATTAGATGCATAATGTACCCATGGCTCCACAAGGGACAAAGGTTAGAAAAGCTTCCCCTCCAAGTAGGGGCTTATTCAATGTATTTTAAAGGGCTCTCAAATTGTTCTTTCACCCTCCCTTGCTTAAAGCAGCACGGCGTCGCTTGGTGAGTCTGCAGAGTCCTAGTGCTGAGGTAGACCACATGTGCTGTGTTTGGTAGCTTGAGGAGTGTTGCTTGCTCAGCATCAGTGATATCCTGAAGATGTTTGGGAGAATCTGACCACACTAGCTCCAAGGTGTCCTCTATCTGCTGTTCCTGCTGGATCCCTACATCTCTCACATTAATCCCTCCTAGGAAAGACACTGCACTCCTTATCAGAGCTTGGAAATAGAAAGAGAATATTATCATGCTTCAGGCACAGAAGTAGCAGCACACTGAAAGGGGGAAATTCCCCACAGGAACCCAAGGTGGCACCTGCCTGCCACAGCAATGACCACCAATAGGCACAGCTCTCGTTCACTGTAAACATTATTGTAGGTCTACTAAATGTGAGGGAGAAGCTGTCTCATGATTCTTTGTGCTACTCTCATCAAGGCCTGGTATGGTCATCTGAGTGTGCCAAGCTGCCAACTTGGTTGAAACAATGCCTGCAGCCTGGGCAATCGTTTGGAACCCGTGTTTCCAAAAACAGACTGACAGCGTGCTCCCTGATTGCATACCATTAGTAAACACCTTAGAAAAGTACAAAGGTTAAGAAAGTGATAGAACTAAATAATAATCCACCAGTATTTGCCGATATATCCTTCAGTAAGGTAAAGGTAAATAATTTCTGACATGGTGAGGTGGGAAGGCTACAGCTGTGAACTTTTTAAAGGCACCAATAGACTTAATAAATGCCGCTTTCTGGGACACAAAAAAAATCCAGAAAAATAGGCACCAGGTGCCACTACATTTCTTCTGATCTAAAATTCCAAACTAATCATTTTATTATTTTTGGAAAGCAGCTGAGGATTGGTAGAACAATTTCATGCATAGAAAGACATGCAGGGAAGTGAAAATTCACCAGAAAGCAGTAGAGTTCAAGTCTGACTTTGATTAAAAAGAAAGAAAAAGACAGGTCTACTTGCAGAACTGGCTCTCAGCCCTGTTTCCAAGAAGGCACTTAGAGGTAAAAAAAAAAAAAAAAGCAACCAAGTAACAAGAGATGGTATTTGGGAAGCAAGACTGATTTCTCCAAGCTTGGCAACTCTGATGAAGTCGGTGATGAAAGAGACAAAAGCCAGAATGTCATTGCTGCTCTGAGGCCGAACAAGCAGTGCCCATTAATTCAAAATAATGGTGTGTGTGTGCATGTGTATATCCCTGCTGCTCTACTTTCACAGCACTGCCCAATCTGTCTGTGTGGATACCACATCCCCACCCTTGGCTTGCAGCCCACGGCTCAGTTATCAGCACTATTCAGCAGACAAGGGTGAGGTCTGCACAGGACAGAGCCATTCCACAGAAATGACAAAAGTGGAGAAGTTGCCAGCTTGGAGTCTTCTGAACTGGTGCCATCCCACGGCTTTGCTCTGGTATTCATAGTTTCCATTTAGCAGAGGGAGTAGGTATAGTTCTCTCTGCCAATAAGGAATGCGACAGTCAGAATGAAGCAGAGTAGAACTCTTCCTTCAAGCTGCATTTAGGTTAATGGCTCACTTGTCTCATAAGTAGAAGGCAGGTATGCAAATGAAAATAGGGCTCAGCTAAATGGGGCTTCCTGGGTTGATCCTGAAGCATAAAACTGGGAGGGCAAGGCATTTCAAAGAGTGGATGGTAGCTGACAAGGATCAGCACAACTGTGAAAACACTGTAGAAAGTTGTATTACAGGGTCTGGGACAGCACTCCTAGTTCCTGAAATGGGATCCAAATGCACAAGTTGTCCCTGAGTTGTCAGGGACAAAAGAAAGTGACTGTTGCACATTTGGCTTCATTTGAGAATTTGTGGGCATTTTAATGGAGAAGATGACCTGACTCCTAAGGGAAATACTAATTATTCAAATAAAAGAGCAAAGTAGAAATGCTTAGAAATAAATAAAAGGACACATATACCACTCGCAGCTACAGTGGGCTTTACTCTCCCTGCCAAAATCTTATGTTTCACATGGAAAACTGGCAGAAATTCCTGAAGTCTTCATTTTAAAATATTTTCATCTGGATGACAATTTTGGAGCAATGATGCACACCCTCTCCACACACAGACTATGGTATATCCAGCTATTTCTGACCCCCCCAACCTGAAAATCTCAGATAAAAATGATGTGCGATGCAGACAATTCTGCTTCTCTGACAAAACAGGGACCTTGTTGAGCCTCTCAGGGTCTTGGAAGTGTCTTTCATAAGCTGGGAGCTGGGCTTGGCGCTAGGAGCATGTGCGACCTGCAGCAAATGACCTCTTGTGTGAGTGGGGCGAATTGTGCACATGATGCATGGATTCCTGAGACTGTGCCTAGCCCCCAACATGTGAAAGGCATTACCGTGTGTCCAGATATCTGAACTGGGCCAAGCAGTAGAGACTGATAAAGTGGTTTAACTGAAATCTAGGGAAAATGGGGTGCACATGAACATATGTTTGGGGAAATGGGAAGAAAAGGTTACACACAACTTGGTGCTTCTCTCTCTCTAACACATATGCACACATACACACTTGGGTGCACACTACACTTTCCCTAAGTTCTCAAACCTTTGAAGAAATTTTGATGGAACAAAGGCTTATGAGGTACATAGCATTTTAGAAAACACGTGCTCTTTCACTAACCTGTTCTTTTTGAAGGCCTACTCTCACATGAAACAAAACAAAAGAACTGAATATTAAAGAGGACAAAATAAGAGTTCTGACTCCTAAAATGGCAGCTTGCCAGAAATGGGCTCCATATACCGTATATAAATATTCCAAGGATGCAGCTCAAGGCCCCAGTGATTGTGATGAATCAAGACTGCACCATAAAATATTTCCCACCGACTGGCTGGTTTAATTCCATCAGATTATTTTTCTCCATGAAACATTTTTAGTAGAAATAAATAGAAAGAATGTAAAACACAGAGGCAAACAGTAAACTAACTCCTGAGGTATTTCAATCATACAGTGTTCTTTTTCACCCACAATGCATCTTGGACAATAATAGCATGACTTGGTCACATGTAGGAGGAGGACTTAACTGAAATGTTCTGCTGGAAGCCAGCCTCAGATTCTCAGAAAGAATTGGTGGAAATAAAGGGTGTTGTATTGCTACTTCTCTCATTCCAAAATCTTGACCCCCCCCACTCGGTTTGCCAGAACTCCAGGGACGGGATTTCCCGAAAGGTCAGTGCATATTAGCCAGAGAAGCTAGCTTTTTCACTGGCATCACCTTTATAAAGTGGATCCTATTCAAACATAGTCCCAGGAGACTGAGCAGCCTCTGTTCAAGCAATAAGTCTGAGTGAACTACCTTCATTCCTAAAACAGGGATAAGGCAAAGACAGACCATCTGACATTTACTTTAAAAACTAATCTCTAAAAGCTAGTTTGGCAGGTACATCTTACTGTGCTACAGATGACATGGAAGGATGCTCACAGCATGCTGTACTTTAACCACCCAGAGTTTCTCATTTTTGTCTCTAGTCCTTTCCAAACAATCAATTTTTTAGCAAAATAATTGTCCAGGCTTGGATTCACTGGAATGCTAAGTAATATCCTGTCAACACAAGGATTTTCACATGAGCAATGGGACTTCCCCCCTTCCTCTTCCCTCCTACCCTTAAGCCTGTTCTGGGGGTTCCCCAACTGCCCAACTGGAGCAGATTTGGGGAGGACATGGGACACACATGGGGCGGGAAGGGGGAAATCCCATTGTGCAAGCGAGAATCCTTTTGCCACAGTTATTACCGGTTTGTTGCACAGAGTTCAAACAACTTCCCTGTAGCTTCTCAGCATAACTGCTTCATGGAACCAACTGATTGTTGTCTGGAATCTCATTAATGCCAAGTGACTCAATGCCCAGCTGCTCCACTCCATGTCTGCAAAATATTGGGAACATTTTCTTTAAATGTAATTAAAAAAATTGTTCAGTGTCCTCATCAGCTGTGCAACTACAATACTGCAGTGCTCTTTCAGTGCTTGTCTACTGCTGTTTTTTTAACCGTTTCTGTGCTAAGCCAGTGCAGAAATGTTCATGCAGCAAACGAAAAGTTGTGAACAGCAGCATGATTATACCCTGCAGCAAATCTATGGTCCTTATTCATGAAGGCTGCAGTCATATGGAACAGAGAGACACAACTGTAATGTCTGAATAAATGTGTTTAGGACTGTGTGGCATTGGTGTGATAGAATATGGAAATATTAGTGCACAGTTGTGAAAGGCACAGTTTTTATAGCCAAAAGTTGGAAGGTGTGATATAAACATTAAAGAAACTTGTGTGATTATGATGCTAGGTACCCAATGTAGTTGGGAGCACAGCTTTTCAATTGTGCAGAAAGGACCTTTCCTTTTGCGGATATTAAAAATAATTAAATCAAAAGGCACAAAGTGGTGTTTATTAGAGAAAACAGCAACAATCAGGAAGCCCAGTGTATATAGAACAAGGTTAAAGGCTCCCCATCAAGGACAACCTGAGTTTTGGAAAAGGAAAAAAGAGAGAGGTCCTTTTCAAAAACATTGCTGCACAGGTCTCGCAAAAAGTTCCCTCGTTCCCAGTTAATTCCATTTTACACTTATTAATTGATTTGACTGGATGCTGCCACCTTTTAAGAAAAATCTCTACTTTCTTTTGTGCAGGTCAGAGTGTTCCCCATGGAGCCTTCAGGGATTAAAGACAATTCTGCATGTGACAAAGAAAGCTACCGAAACTCTCCAAGGTGAGATGTCCAGGAACAGAGCCAATCGTGTATCATTTACTTCCAATCCAATTGGTTAAATGTAGTCACCTTTGGACACTGTTGGATAAAAACGAGATGGCTTATCAGCAATGAGGAGGCCACTTGGAAAGGGCTTTAGCCTGGGTATGCACCCAAGTGTATATATACTGCAGGAATGTGCATGCAAAAATACAGACACCCACAAAACATACATACAATCATATGGAGTACCATATATACAGATATCTGTGCAGCTGGACCACATGCATCTGTGTGCCTACAAACAAACACACATGTACTTGAACATGGAGATATAGGCACTGATCACCTGCACACATGTGCAAAGTCATGTTTCAAATAAATTTTAGTTTCTAATGCTGCCACTGCATTGAAGAAGACATTGTTACGCCCATCCTATTTGTTTGCTTCAGATTTCCTTGTCTTAATTTAAATGCAAACAATGTAAAACTCTCACGCTCACCAAACATCTACCTCTCATTCTCTCTCTCTCTCTGTCAGTTGGTTAACGCCACTAATTAAAATGGTTACAGTTGTTAAGCTGAGCGGACAAGTGCACTTGCAGATTCATCCAGAAGTCCTCCGGTCTCTGGTCCCTAGGATGAAGATAATGCTATGAAGCAAGAGTTCTAGAGCATGTCTCTTGTGTTCCGGATTGCGCAGCAGAGGACCATGCTGAAGACCATGCCAAAGATCTGGAACACAAGGAATGTATTTTAAAGGATGCCCAGGAAACGCGGAGAGATTTTTAACAGAACTGTTAGAACCCAAAACTAAAAATTTGTCAAGAATGTATAACTTGCTGTTGAAATGGAATACTCAGGATGAAACGGTGAAATCTGTTATGATTAAATGGGCACAAGATGTTAGACACAATATTATGTTTGCTGACTGGGAACAGTTATGGACCACAGGTATGAAGTTTACGGCATGTAATGCTTTAAGAGAAAATATTATGAAAATGATATACAGGTGGTACATGACCCCAGTCAAGCTTGCAAAAATCTATCATTTGCCCGATAATAAATGTTGGAAATGTAAAGAAACTGAAGGCACATTCTTTCACCTTTGGTGGACGTGCCCAAGGATTAAGGCTTTCTGGGAGATGATTTATAATGAAAAAAAAAAGGTATTTAAATATACCTTTCTGAAGAAACCAGAGGCCTTTCTTCTGGGCATCGTCGGCCAATTGGTGCCAAAGAAGGATAGAACTTTTTTTATGTATGCCACAACAGCAGCAAGAATACTCATTGCAAAGTATTGGAAGACACAAGATCTACCCACTCTGGAAGAATGGCAGATGAAGGTGATTGACTACATGGAATTGGCGGAAATGACTGGCAGAATCCGAGACCAGGGAGAAGAGTCGGTGAAAGAAGACTGGAAGAAATTTAAAGACTATTTACAGAAATATTGTAAAATTAAGGAATTTTAGAAGGATGTTGGATAGAAACTAAGTGGTTTCCAGCTGTAATGCTTTAAGAGATACGAAAAAGGTTTTATAAATGGGTAAAAGCTTAATGGTAAGGACTTGCTGAACTAACAAACTGAACTGGAATACAAAAAAGGGAGGTATGAGGAGGTCCGGGGAAATAAGTGAAAGGAGGATATGTTATGGAAAACTAACGATGTGTTTTTAATTGTTTTTATTTTGTATGTTTCCTTTTATTTTTCTCTTTTTTGCTGTATCTTAAAAACTTTATCCTTTTTTCTGTATTTTGTATTTTCTTCTATTTTTATTTTCTGTTTTTGTATTTTTTGAAACTTTAATAAATATCATTAAAAAAAAAAAGGAAATGCGGGGAGATTTTTGTCACTATGTCTGGCAGCTCAGAGAACTTTAGTGATTGCTCTCAGGCAGATGTGGAGAGACGAGTCATCAGAGAGGAGCATAATCCTTAATGTGAAGCAGGGCATGGCTGATATCGCTTGGAGCAATCCTCATAAATCCAAATTTCTGTTCATTTGATGTGTGTTTCTGTCCATTTGATGATTTAGAGCCAAACTAAAATACAATGCTAGTTGCATGAAAGCATTTGAGATGCACATTTAAAGAATGCAAATAGCTGCTGGGCGGTGGGGGTTAAACCATGCTAGGTAGATGGGGTCTTAATATTGTCATTTATACCACATTCCTGATGAAACTATCCCATTCCTTGAGCTGCTATTAGTTCTGTGAGGGAAACCTCTGTTGGCTTCCTTCTGAGGCATGGCAGCAGCTTTGGGGAAGAGGACTATTCATATAAATTGTGGTGTAGGGGAAGGGGTTAAACCACACTTTTCCATCTGCCATGTCTCAGTCCTACTCAGGCTCTCCCTGCATTGCCTTTTTACATTTGAAAAAAATCATGCACATTGCTTCCTCTTATGCAACTAAGGCCACATTTATTCCGGCCCTGAGGATCGGCTACAACTGTCAGTCTTGTGTATAATTATTATCACTTATTTCATTTATGAATTGCTTTCTATGAGGCATCCTGTAACAATTTTCAAATATGCACACACACAGAGAGAGAAAGAGTTCAAAACAACAGTACAGACATAAAATCAATTCAAACTGATATAATGCTGACACCTAGAGGCTACATGGTACAACTTGCTAAGGAGCCAGCATCAGAGCAGGGAAAACAATGTTCTCAGCAGAATGCATTGAGTCAGGCCCAACTAGACATGAACAGGGCATCCATTTTGTTGTTCATATGTCTGCCCCACTCATGTGCAAAATGGGGTGTGTACAAGTGGCTTGGGGATCTAATTTTAATAGGAGTTACTTCCAATATGAGAGCTGACCCGGGGAGAAAGGTGTTTGAAGCAGAAGAGTATGAAGGGATTGGTGCAGACAGGTGAATAGTCAGGGCTGCCTCTGTCATGTTTTCCGTGGACTGCCATTTGCTCTGATTTAACTCCAAAGAGCATGTTTTCTGGAAGAAAGAAGCAGTGCAAAGGCAAAAGTGCTTGGACCCATGCCAAGAAAGAGCAGGCCAAGTGGAAGACCACTTGGACCCATACTTTCAAGGCACAGGACAAGCAGAAGTGAGGACGAGCCCTAAGTTCCACACGTGGGACATCTACATTCACACTCTGAGCTCCTCAGCAACCTGATTTCCACTGGCTTGGAAGGACCTGGGGGATTCGCAAACACGCAGCTAGCAACAACAGAAGCAGCAGTATCAGTATTGTCATCAGGTAATTACTCACTGTGATCCCAGCAATTCCAATCCCAACAATGCCAACTAAACGAAGATTTGTGTCAATGAGAGTCTCGATTTCAGTCAGACAACTCTGTTAGAGACATGAAGGTGTTGACAATGCTTTAAACATCAAAGAAGTCTTGAAGAGCCCTTCTGGTTTCTACTAAGGACCAGTTGACACATTCTTGGCAGCAACCATGGGGAAAATCTACCTTAGTAAACCCCTTTCCTCTTCACAACTTCTGCCCCTGACTGTCCTGTTTGGTGTAGGAATTGCCTTCCCATGCTTGCTTCCTCTGAGCTACCCTTGAGAAGAGTGGCTTGAGGAGCTTCCTGACAGCAGCAGCAGTTCTCACCCATACCTCAACAGCTTTGTCTCTCTGCTCCATCTTGCCTTCCTTGCCTTTGCTGTGGTTGGGATTCTTGTTTTTGAGGCAACCCAGCAGACCACTACAGAAGCACTGGCTTGAACCACCATAATCTCCTAAATGTTTGATATTTGTGTTTATTGTAAGCCTAATTGGACCTCACATCACCCCTCTAGCATGCCCGAGCCCTGGGCCCTGATGACATTTATTAAAACTATACTCTTCATTTAAGATCATACACATATTCAACCAAGGCCTACTCAGAGTAGACCCACTGAAAGTAATGAGCCTAAGTTAGCAATGTCCATCAACTTCAATAGGTCAACTTTGAGTAGGAATAGCATTGAATAGCACCCATAAAGTTTTGCTGTGATTTTGATGTTGCTCTTCTTATAATTAGCTTGGTGAAACCTGTAAACAAGGATCAATTTGCTGCTGCTTCCTTCTGACAGGTACAAGCATGCAAGAAGCAATCTTGGGCATACCAGGTACATTCGTTCTCTCCTTTCCTTATTGCAGCTTCTCCTAGTTGCTTCCTGTTTGGTTTTCTCACAAAGTTGTGTGGCATTTGTGTGCCAGGAATTGAAGCAGAGAGAGGAACGGTGCAGAGGAAGGGAGTCGGTGTGCCACAAATTGCATAATCTGAATCTACACCACAACGGCAAATGCTACGAATAAGGTATGCTGCTTAATTTCACCCAATGCAGAATTAAGACCTCCAAGAGGATTCATGGCTTACCTAGGTGGAACCTGCTATGAAAGTTTGGGCACCTTTATTTAATTCAGCCAGGTTCCATCAGATTCTGCTAGGCCTCTTGTTTGTCAAGAGACTTTTAAGGACTGCACTGCATGGGTTTACCCTTTCCTGCAATGCCATTGTCCTAGGGAAAGTCATCTCTCTCACAAAGCCGCCATTTGCCCTGGGAAGAAGCGCAGATAAAAACAGATAACTGTATTTCATGTGTTGCCTAATTTGGCCTTGTTTCTCGGTGTGACATGGAGCAGGAATACATGTGAATCATAAGGGAAGCAAGCAGGCTGCCAATGAATTTTCTCTCGCTTTGTTAATTATTGCTTTGCATTGGTATTGTTCAGATCTATAAAGATGCCCAGAGTTAGCAGGGTTGACGGCTGCTGGAAAGTCAGTCCTGCTGGCATACTCCTCAGTAGCATCTCAAATGACTAATGGAAAGAAAAAAGACCAGTGCCAAATGGCCCTTGTCCAGAGCATTTCATCTGGCTTCCCACCAGCTTCTCTGACTTACATGTCTTATCACATCCCAGGGCTATTTTTTGCAACATGTCCATCAGAGCCACTTACTCTGGGCTGTTCAATGTCTTTTGGACAGGTGGGCTTCACTGCAGCATCATTTCCTCCTCTCCCACAGCACTGAAGCTGGAAAGACAGAGATAACATGTTAAAAAACAACAACCAAACACCAGACAGATTTTTAAAATAAAGAAATCCCCCTCATAAATAATAAATTTATTTATTATATTTATGAGTCAGTCCGTAACAGTGTTCTCTCATCAACTTGTAAATTTACATTAAACTCTTGTTCCAGGCTGAAGTTTCATACACTCTAAAATATACTTGCACCAATAATATTGTCCAGAGTCTACCCTTCTGCTACTGTTCCCCCCCCCCGTTCATTGTGCATCTCTTTGATGGAGTACTACCCCCTGAACCCCCTGAACTCTTGGTTTAGTGCAACCAACAGTGGAGAAACCTTCATCTGAGCACAGCTGTAGGCTGGACATGATGATAGTTTAAAGAGATTTGAAACTGGCCTGATGTGTCCATATCTCCCTGTGATGTTTCCTCACTGGCTTCTGTAGCACTGAAAATGCAGGCAATATTAGTTCCTAACAACATCCTTAGTTGGTACAGCGGTAACAGAGGTTAGGCCAAAGGTAGTGTCTCCAACAGGCTCCTTAACTAGGAAATTAATTGGACTTCTAAGCAGACATGTTTAGCATATTCTAGTTATTATTATTTTTTAACAGTATTGCCGGGGGGGGGTGCCGGGGGGGGGGGAGAGAAGTGCTGAAAATCTGTTGAACCTGACAATTTGAATGTATTTCATTAAGCTCAATTTTCAGCAAAGTCAATTAAGCCAAATGAATTCAAGCACAACCATGCAAACTAAAGGATTTATTGAAGTCAGGGTTCACATACTATTCCAATCTGTATGCAAATAGAAATATCTGCTTGATTAGGCCATTTTTATCTAGCTTTCAGCATTGGCTTATGGCAGATCCTTACCTAACTCACAGGGTTATTGTGAGGATTTTTTAAAAAAGGAAATCACGCACCCCACCCTGAACTAGTTGGAAAAAAGGGCAGGATAACAGCGTAATAAATAAATGTAAATAAATAGACCGAAGGTCTTTATTGTTAAAGGTGTTTAAGCCAGAATGGGAAATTCAGGTACTTTAAGTAAGGAGCACCACCAGGTCAGAGCAGTGAAGATGAAGCAAGCCTTAACCTCCATTCCAGTATGCCTGACTTAAAGCCTGCTTTTGAAACTTCATAAAGGCAGCCTTGATAAGCAAAAGATCTGAATTCAGAAGTTACTCACTGCTTCATGATACTGGATAAGGGTTTTGTTGCTTGTCCCCACGTTATTCACAAAGTCTTCGTAAGCTTCCTCATAGATGTGCTGGACCTCTTCAACAGCCTGCAGTAAACCAGACAGACAACCTCAATGAGATCATGATGGTGACAATTGGAGGGACTATTCTGCAGTTTCTTGGCTTCCCTCCAGGCTCTTGGTCCCTCTACTACTTGGCAGGAAGGAGAGATGAGTGAAAAAAAGACAAGCTGAAGGGAAGAAATCTGACTTTACTGCATAGCTTTAAAGAATGAAAACCCAGAGGCACAGCATGACCTGGGGGCTGGACTTAGCTAAGAAGGTACCAAAGGAGAAAGGCTAAGCAGGAATTTGACCACCTTTTAGGTTGGCAGATTTCCTAGAATCATAGAACTGTAAAGTTGGAAGGGACCACAAGGGTCATCTTGTCCAACCCCCTGCAAGGCAGGAATCTTTTGTCCAATGTGAGGCTCAAACCCACAACTCTGAGATTAAGAGTCTCATGCTCTACCAACTGAGCTATCTCATATGGAACACCACCACATTCACAACCAAACGTGTTAAGTGAAGCCAATGGGTGAAGGCCAAGAAAAATCTGCCAGGGCACTGTAGTTTTGTACTTGGGGTAATGAACTACTTAGTATGCATTATGCAAGTAAGAAATGTTTCCACCAGCAGCAAACTTGAATTTGCCACTGAGTGGCTCCCTGAAAAGTCTGCATGTGTTTGTTTAATTCACATTTTAACGTTTTTAGGTGTAAACCTTCAAATGCGCTGGAATCAATGGGACTTCTACACCCATGACAGCTCCTTATATCATAACATGTTCATCTGGTTCTAACCTCCTCTGTTTATCATCAAAGACACATTTACCTTTTGTTTGTTTTAGACATTTATAAACTACTTGTTAGCATGAGACTCTGGCGATGGGGTGGTACACAACAAACATTGAACTCACCGCTTTCTTGCCAAGAAAAGCAAAAACTCCTGCAGTGACTTCAGCAGCAAAAATCACCAGCAAACAGGTAAAGAACTGCAAAAGGATGGAGACAGGATTACAGGCTTAGGTTGTACAACCTTCTAATGATCTGCAGTAAATATATTACACAGGCCACAGGGTAAAGGGGAAGGGCTGTGACATCTGCTTTGCATGCAGAAGGCCCCAGGTTCAGTTCCCAACATCTCCAGAGAGGGCTGGGAAGGACTCCTGCTTAAGAGCCATTGTTAGTGTAGAAAATACTGTGCATTATGGACCAATGGTCTGACTCAGTATAAGATAGCATCCCATGTATGTCCAGAACAGGGAAATCCTGTTTAATGTTGGTTTATTATTGTCAGGGGACTGCCATTGGAACAGGGAAGGGAGGCAGAGGGGCAGTTGGGATACAGGGAACCTCCAAAAATCTTGAGAAGCAGTTCCTCTTCCTGCAGTGGGGAAAGCCACACCTCCAGTGGGGAAGAGGGGAAGGGACCAGAGGATGCTGCTGGGAGCCCCAGCGCCACACCTCGTCAGTCTGAGGGTGGGAAAAGCCACACCTCCCGGGTAAAGGAGGGGAAAGGGCTAGAGGATGCTGCTGGGAGCCTCAGCACTGCTCCTGGCCAAGCCGGCCAGGAGGGAAGCACGCCTCTTCCATCGCCCACCTTGTGCAAAGGTGTAAAACACAAAGAAGGAAGGAAAAGGCTGGGGGTGACTAAGCTCTTATGTTGGGGGAGGACCCGGAAATGACCACCCCTCAGATTCTGCTAGTGATTGAGGCAGACATGAACTTGAGGTTCTGCACTGTAAATAGTTTTGCACCAAAATAAAACCTGTAAAAGACAGGTTGGAGTCCTGACAGGTTACTCACAAGCAACCACCACTGCCATCTGACAATTATGGAGGATCTTAAATCATAGTTTGATCTTGGTTTAAGATTCTAGCTAGTAAACTGACATTAGTATAGATCCTCCCTTTTCAGATGTAACAGGGAACTCGGGTTTTAAGAAATCTAGGATGGAAGTGTCAAAGCTGGAGTGTGAAGGGAAGGGGAGAAGAGAGGACCTCATGCTTACTAGGTGTTTTGGTTCTGCCACAAGGTGAAAGGGGTAACAAAATATTGTGTCTGAAAAGCCCTAATTTCACACCTAAGTTGTGCATAAGTTCATTACTTACTGCTCCAAGCAGGCACTGAGATTCTCGCGCAGCTCCACAGCACCCAAAAAACCCCACTGTCATCATCAGCACGCCTGCTCCTATTAGCACATAGAGTCCTACGGGGAAGACAGAATCATCAGAGAAAGAATACAAGGAACATCTCCCCCATGTCATTTCCTACCTGTGTCCTAGGATGGTTCTTGTCTGCCTCCCCTCCCTCCCCAAATGGGACTGTTCCATGCAATCAATTTTTGGCACCCAGTAGGCTAATGATGTCCTGGGTTACTAGAGCTGCATCAAGCATCTTCATTATATGGTTTCTGTTGTTTGTTTGCTGAAGACACACTTCTTTATCCTAGCATTTGATAATTGTAAGACCTCTATTAGTTTGATTTAAATTGTTTAATTGGATTTCAATACTGCATGATTATATGATTATCACCTGTTCTGGGGCTCTGTGATGAAAGGCAGGTTCTCTTAAAATACAATAGATAGGCCCACTCCTTGGCCTAAGGATGAGCTCAGAAGTTTCACTTCTGCTTTAGACTAACTGCAGTCTGAAACCCTGACACATTGTGATTAGTCTGAACTTTAATCATTGAAACAAGTTAACTCCAAACCTTAGCTTATGAAGCTGGATTGTGTTTTTTTTGTTTTGTTGTTTGTTGTTGTTTTTTATTTAAAAAATAGTTAAAATTAGCCACAGTTTAGGAATTGGATGCAACATTAAACCGTGGTTAATAAAAAGTGGAACTGGAAACTTTTAATCACCTCTTTGGAGCTATGCTGGAGAAGAGAGAAGCAGCAGTTGCACATGAGCCCAATGCTCTGACATGTGATAATAAACAAATATTTTTTGTTGTGTTTGAACTGGGTGTATAGGTCCATCCTGTCTAGCATTTTGTTCCCACAGTGGCAGCCAAATGCTTATGGGAAACATACAATCAGGACAGTTAATTATTTTATTATGAATATTTATAACTCGCCCTTTGTCAATACAGATATCTGGGTGGGGTACAAGATAAAGGTGTTCAGAACAGAAAGACAAACAGAACATGAAGGCAACAGCTCTTAACAATAAAGTTCTTCCTAGCATCTGTTGCGTTTTCTTCCTCTATCATTTCCTGCATCACAATCATAACATATCTGTGTGCACTTGAGCCTCATTCTATATGGTGGCTGCTTTATAACAGTAATGCAAATAAACCCACTGTATAAACATTAGCTTATTTGCATTATTCTTCTTATTAAAGAATTGAGGAGCTTTGCTGTGGAATTCCAGAATCTTGCCTTGAATGTGGACTCTGAAAGGGCATCTTACAGGGAAGAAGGGCATCTACAGGGAAGTTTGGGTTTGCTAGTTTAAGGATTCCATACAAGGTATCAATGAAGCTTCTCCAGGTGTCACAGATAGGGAGAGTTGCTATGGTCCTTTTGCAAAGAAGGCCTTGAAACAGTCCAATTTCCTTAAAAGTCAGCATTCTTCAACCTCTCGAAGCAGCCCCAGCAGTACACTTCATTGGCTAGGACTGCTGAGAGTTGCAATCTAAGTTCTGGGAAGTCTATGGAGGTTTGAGAAATACCTCTATTTAGGGTAGAACTTTTCCTGTAGATGAGCAACTGGAACTCTACGCCCATAGTCAAGAGAAGCATCAGCTGTTATCTCCAACAAATGAGGTAGGACAGGGAGGAACTTGGAAGATGACAGTGTGTTCTGCCACTCACCACCATGCTGTTCAGACCGCCTAGGAACAGGTGCTATTGTTTGCCAGCATTGTTCACTTTCAATTCCAGAAGTGTAATAATGCTCTTCTCTGCCACCCTCCCTGCAAAATATGGCTCAGTATGAAGCCATTGGGTGGATTCATGCTATTTCCCTGGATCAGGTCAGGTAAAGGTTGTAGCTCCACAACTGATATTCACCCTCTGAGAAGTGTATGGCTGCACAGACAAGACCTTCCGAGTGCTGAGATGCAAAGCCAAAGATGTTCCACCAGAGGGCAGCAGGAGTATCCATTAGGCTTCACTTGATGTTGCCCATTAAGGCACTATTTTCTAAGCTTTTGATACAAAAATGTTTTATGTTTCTTTAGTTAAAAACCAGAAAAGGTTGTTTTAGAAATAAAGCACACCATGTTTTCTGTTTCTCCAGAAGCATGTACAGTATATACCTGGGACCTGATGTATACTATGTTCCCTGTTTTCTGAAATTTCAGCTGCTTTTTGAAATTTTAGACAAAAGTTTCCCCAAGCAAAGAAGTTGCTTGAACCTGAACCTTCAAGATATACTCTCTAGCACCAAGAAAGATACCTTTCTGAGAACACTGCGGTTTCCAAACCGTTCCAGGAACGTGATTTCGGCAGGATCATCACATTCACATGATTTGGGCTAGTCACCTCTTTTCTCCCTCTCCACAGAAGTTAGATGCCTTTTCTCTCCTAATACCACTTCTATGTCAGTATTAGACGTAGTGCCACCCTGTGCAAATGTGCAACATATTTTCAGAAGTGCATCTGTGGTGGGGCAGTCATTGGCATCACTGCAGGTTGCCTGGATGGGAATGGGGCAGGGTGGCAGTGAGGTCATGATTGTGCAGACACACCAGTGTGAGCAGTGGATTGCCCCACTGGTGCACCCACACAGGCCTGGTCCCCAGGCTCATTGTCCTATTGCCCTGCCCTATCCCCATCCAGGGAGAAGGATGTGCTCCCTTTTTCGGTAGTCTAAATGCCAGAGCAATGATTTCATAAAATAACACCCTAAAACACACCTGCTTCTTGGGAGGAAAGCGATGACAAACCTAGACAGCATCTTAAAAAGCAGAGACATCAGCCTTGCCGACAAAGGTCTGTATAGTTAAAGCTATGGTTTTCCCAGTACAGTGGTACCTCGCAAGACGAATGCCTCTCAAGACGGAAAACTCGCAAAACGAAAGGGTTTTTGGTTTTTTGAGTTGCTTCGCAAGATGATTTTCCCTATGGGCTTGCTTCGCAAGACGGAAACGTCTTGCAAGTTTGTTTCCTTTTTCTTGAAACCGCTAATACAGTTGCGACTTGACTTCGAGGAGCAACTCATAGCACGCGGTGTGGTAGCCTTTTTTGAGGTTTTTGAAGACTTTGGTGATTTTTGAAGCTTTTCCAAAACTTTTCCGACACCGTGCTTCGCAAGACGAAAAAAACCGCAAGACGAAAAAACTCGCGGAACGAATTAATTTCGTCTTGCGAGGCACCACTGTAGTGATGTATGGAAGTGAGAGATGGACCATAAAGAAGGCTGATCGCTGAAGAATTGATGGACTGCAAGAAAATCAAACCTATCCATTCTTAAGGAAATCAGCCCAGAGTGCTCACTGGAAGGACAGATCGTGAAGCTGAGGCTCCAATACTTTGGCCACCTCATGAGAAGAGAAGACTCCCTGGAAAAGACACTGATGTTGGGAAAGGAGAAGGGGACGAGCTATTAACATATTAACTTTGAGACCAAACTGCAGGAGGCAGTGGAAGACAGGAGTGCCTGGTGTGCTCTGGTCCCTGGGGTCACGAAGAGTCGGACACGACTAAACAACAACAACAAAGCCATTGTGACCACCACAAACTCAATAAACCCACTTATTACATGCATTATACTTGTATTGGGCCCTGTTTCTGTGACTGTAAGTTTAACTGTAATTTGTTCAATACTAAATTGTAGCAACCCACCTTGGAACCTGCTGGTGAAGTGTGTGAAATAAATGAAATAATAATAATAATAATAATAATAATAATAATAATAATGAAAGAGGGAGGCTAATTCATATGGTTGACTCATGAGTACTTCAGGCATGGGGTTCAGTGTGGCCCTCCAAGCCTCTCTGGGCCTCAGGACTTTCCTCAAGTCACCCCTTTGCTCCCCAAGCTGCAAACCCCAATGCTTCACCCTCTGAATCTTTTTGTCTGGTTGGAATGTATCCTTGAACTCTGATATGCTTCTTGCTTAGCTGAATGGAGGGGGCAGAGGGGTTGTGAGGTTGTGCAGAAACTAGCCCCTGCTGAGGGATGCCATGCCTGACTTATACCAACCCATGAGTTAGCTATCTCTGGGTGGGTGAATAATGCATGTACCAAAGAGTGCACCTGTCCCTCCCTTCCCAAGTTTGATACTTGCTTCCCAGGCTGTTTGATCATCTTGCCTGCTCTCTCTTCTCCCCACAATGTCCCTTCTTGTAGTGACCAAAACGAATCCATTGGTGGCCACCATCCCATAAGGTACCACTCTCTGCCTGCTCAGTACAGAATAGGCAGGGGGAGAAAACCATGCCAAGGTCAATGCTGATTGTACAAAAGTAAAACTTACATTGATGCTCTGACCACTTTCACTTCTAGCCCCTGCCCAACACGGGCATGTGGCCCTCAGATGCCTGCCCAGAAGGAAACATGGCCCCCATGCTAAAAAAATTCCCCAGTCCTGGCCTAGCCCTTGGGACATTGTCTAGAGGGAAAATGCTGGAGTTGGCCATCCATGGCCTAACATGCTATGAATTATAAAACCAGCCGTGAACCAAGATGACCTTATCTTGCTTGAGTAATGTTGAGTGGATACGTATGTCAATGAGGGCTTTTAAATCTCTCTCATTCATATTTTCCAGCTGGTCAGCATGGGGTGGGGATGTACCAGGCTCTGCTAGATCTTTGCAAGGCAAAGGCCAAGCCCTCTTAAAGAGAAATGTGAGAAGCTTTTTCATTTTTCACCCTTGTCCAGGAAAGCCCTTCAAAGGGCAGGCAACACATTCTCTTCCGCAAGGGAGTCTATTCAGTGAGTAAGGTTAGAGGTGCTTGCCCTTAACATGCCTTAAAAGGGAAGCTTTGCTTAAAGATGACAGTTCAGCCGAGTGAGTCACACAAAGTGAAGCACTAAAAGCCACTGAAGCGAGGGCAAATTGCCCAGCAATTAGGGCGCTGTGGAGTGGCCAGGGTCTGGCATCCTGCCTCAAGGCGTCATAGCTTATTGAGATAAAGAAAGCAGCCGGCTTTGTAGGAAAGCTCCAGGCTCAGACATTTGTGGGCACAGAAGTGAATGAAGAAGCAAGAGGCAACCTTTGGGAGGTAGCAAGGCCTACAACTTTATGAACTATTGAACAGGATCTGCAGGGAGCAACAACTTTGCTAGCTAATTTACAGTGTGGGGATTTCCATTAAGGGACAACCTGTTCCAAGTAAGCTATATCCTGGCTCTGAACCAGAAGCTGTCAGGGCACTGCCTCTGCATCACCATCCCTACACCACTCATAGTGCATTGACGGATCCTTTGCCGGACTCATACATGCTCTTGAAGTAGCCAGCTCTAGGGGGGTGAGCTAGGCGTGTCCCCAAGAGAGTTCCTGCCCTCTACAGCTTGATACCCATGGCAGAGTGCTCTGAGGGAACCCCACCCCTTCATTTTCAGGGGTGACTACTTTCTCTTGGAACCAAACGAACCCATTTGTGGCCACCCACCATCCCATAAGGTACGACTCCTTGGACAGTACAGGATAGGCAAGATAAACAAAACAAAACAAAACAAAAACACTCCAAGGTCAATGCTGATTGGAGGGTGGAATTCCGACATGGTCCTGAATGACCAGCTCATCCTGGTCATGTGCCAAGGGATAGGGTGTCTGTGCATGCTTTTTGACGGCCTCCTCCATTTGGATATGAACACCTGTAGCCATCTGGCTGACCTGCTGAGAGCCTGAGGGCCCTGCTCTGCCGCTCTCCACCTGGCCTAAGGTGGGGCCTGACAGGCTCTTAAGGACTGCTGCTGCTGCAGTCCAGGAGGACTGGGGTATTTGGGGGGAAATTTTGTTGAGAGTTTTTGCTGCTGTTACTGATACTGATTTTTTTGTATCTTTATTTTTATGTAGAAATTGTTCAGTTTGGTTATGTAGTTTTTTATGTGTTTTATTTCTTTTTATGACTACCTTGCTATGTTTGTTATTATGTAAATTGTTTCCTATTGTAAGCTGCCTTGAGCACTGTTTAAACTGTGGAAAGGTGGCATACAAATAAAATGATGATGATGATGGCTGGGCATTGGCACTTTGTCCCACCTGCTTGTCAACATGCCCTCACCCCTTCACGATGCGCAGGCTGGGGCAGGCGCATCCTTGGTAAATCCTCCAGGGTCAAAGGAAATTGCTTCAAGGGCACCAGTTTTCCACCTCTGGTTTAGACCATGCAAAAGACACTTCAAGGAGTTAGCCAGGGATCCGCCTGCTTAGTTATGCCTCCTATGCGGCAGCTGCTCTTTCGCCTCCATTTTGCTCTGAGCAGTAAGAGAGCTCCCTCTGAGCATGGGGGTGGTGGAGGTGACAGCAGCAGCCTCACAACATGGCTTAGCACCTAGTAACGAGGGGAGGGGGGGGAAGAGGGCTTTTTGTGTGTGCGATGACCATGAATGAACAGAGTCTTTGTCTCAAGTGGTGAATGCAGAATTCCATCTCTCTGCGCTGCTTATGGGCAGAGAGGACTTTGCAGCTGCAACTTGGGTGGGGGTGTTGTGTGTGCTGAGGACACAAACTGGCCCTCTTCCAGGCAGACAAGCTGTACATTGCTTGTTCCTTCTCCTCTTCGGGGTCCTGTCTCTAAGGTGACATGCAAACCTTCAGCCAGTGTTCTGCAACATAATTAACCTCAGAGGAAGTTTACTTGTTTATGCAGCCGGCGTGAAACGCGCTTGAAACCCCACAGCACCAATAACACCCTGCCTAATGATGTAACTCCTTTCCAGAACAGTCCGTGACTGCTACCATTGTAAAAGAGCCCAAGTTGGGAACAGACAATTCTTTGCTAGACAGGGAGCTTATGGTGGTTTATGTTCAGGCTGATTTTGAAAATATCTACTGTATCATCATTATGTAAGTTTGGAGGGAAACATCCACAGAAACTTTTAATGAAGCCTAGTTTCCATCTACACAACACAAATTAGACTTGGGAGTAAGTAAAAACAAAACACTTGTAAGTTTCATTAGTTTAAATGTGCTCATGGTCATTTTGTTAATTGTGTGCTACTTTTGAGTTGTATCCAATGTAGCTCCAAGTACAGTGGTACCTCGGTTTACGAACTTCATCTGTTCCGGAAGTCTGTTCTTAAACTGAAACCGTTCTTAAACTGAGGCGCGCTTTCCCTAATGAGGCCTCCCACCGCCGGTGCCCTTCCACCGTTCGGATTCCGTTCTTAGACTGAGGTAAAGTTCGCAAACTGGGACACTACTTCAAGTTCGCAAACTGGGACACTACTTCTGGTTTTCTGAAATTCGTAAACCGAATTGTTCGTAAACAGGACTGTTCTTAAACCGAGGTACTACTGTATTTCATTCTGTCAGCTCAAGCATTCCACTCATGCAACTGAGCTCTACCTCTCCCCCCTGTGCACCCCTTAAATCTGTTCTGACTTTCCCCCCAACCCCATTAGGCACCTGGAAGCATGAGAAATAGAGTTCCCACCTCCTCGCTGATGGGGCTTTGCAGAGTAATGGGGTCACAGCCACAGCCCTGCCACTCATGGTGGTCACAGCGGAATGTGGGATTGGGCAGTCCAGAACCAACTGCTGTATCAGCTCCTGGTTGGCACAGTGATCAGGCCCAATGCCACTGCCATAGTGAGACAAGCTTAGGATCCCAGGCAGGCTGAACACCATGCCCTCCCCACCCACAAGAGGGTGGGCAGCTTGGACTCCACGGAGCTGGCAGGAGGTTAGATTTGTAGGGAGAGCTGGGTGGAGAGAGACCTCTGTGCAATGCAACACACACACTGGTAGAAGGAGGGTTTGGATTGCTCTACCCCACTGTCATTATATCACTCAATAAAAATGACAATACAGTACAGTGAAAATAGACACGAACAATCAAGACAGCCATAAAGATTCAGCATAACCATATTGATTGTTCTGTGCCTGTTTTAATTGTGATTTTATATATTGGTGTTTTTTCATGGCAGTGCCGTGAAGCTAAGGTTTGCAGGGAGCCGGTAATGTAGAATAGAGAACTGTGACCAGTATCTTGGAATATTTGTCTCAGCAACAAACTTCCTCTTTTTACTGAGTAATTTTTCAGGGTTAATTATCAAGAATATTGGTCATGTTCAGAACCATAAATAAGGTTCCCAGTGACAAGTCTACTTAGCCAGATATTAAGAAGAAATTAAGTCTCCTCCCATTTGAATTACAACTCAGGAAGTAAATGGTTCAAGATAATTACAAACAGTAATTAGACAATTGTCCACCCTTCCTTTCTCTTCTCATAACTCCTCATCAGTGAAATTCAATTTTCCACTCTCTTATTTTTACTGCAATAGCATTTGGAAGCTTTTACGGAATCAGAACACAATCCACAATCGTAATAAAATATTGTGCAAATGCTTACTCTGTTACTGCTGTATATTTATCCTAACAAATGATTTAGGATTTGGAATGCAATGCTTCCAAAAAACAGACCGCAGTATCTGTAGTAGGCACCATGCTTCACTGTATGTTAAACTAGAGAAAACAGAGGATTAAAATGGATTTGGGGGGTTTCTTTATTGTTCTCTGAAGAACTTTTGTGCCCTTACTGAGGACTGGTTTAATTTAAATTACTCAATGTAGTGCAGAAAGACATGGTGAAAATGGCCTGATTTGCATAGCAAGACACTCAGAGCAGGTGATTTCACCCTGCCGCCACAAATCTTTTATGATGCATGAAGTAACTTAGTGGAAAAAACTGGATGATCCCTGTGGTGAGCTGTTTCATATGAAAATGTCACCAGGTGATAAACACAACATGGAATGGTCTCCACACAACAGCAGAAGGTTGAAAAGAAGCCCTTCTCTCCATTATGGGAAAGTAGAAGAACAGACACTGGCAGCTATAATGGTGCTTAATCATTGTGTGCATGAGACATAATGTGCAGAGGATCCACTTTTCCAGGCTGGAACTGAATCTAGGAAGACAGAAGTTATGTTGGTGGAGAAACCAGATTGCAAACAAGTTTGGGGGCAGGCCTTACCTAAGTACTAGAGCATGTGATGGGCATGCCAAGGGTCCCTAACATCTCCAGGTAGAATTAGGAAGACTCTCGACTGAACCCTGGATTTCTGTATGCAATTGGTGCAAACAGTACTAAGCTACATGGACAAATGGCCGGCCTCAGCATAAGCAACTTCCTATGATGATGATGATGATGAAGAAGAGTTTGGATTTGATATCCCGCTTTATCACTACCCGAAGGAGTCTCAAAGCGGGTAACATTCTCCTTTCCCTTCCTCCCCCACAACAAACACTCTGTGAGGTGAGTGGGGCTGAGAGACTTCAGAGAAGTGTGACTGGCCCAAGGTCACCCAACAGCTGCATGTGGAGCAGCGGAGACAGAGTTTATTTTGCACCATCAAATCAGAAGCGAGTTCTCTGCATGGCTTATAATCAGAGGGGTTCCTGGCTCAGAATTACACAAAGTAATGACCCTGGTCAGGGGTGCTGCTAAAGTCCTGGACCAGGGAAGAGTGGTCTGATATGTTTAAAGTCCCTGCCTTTGGGCAAAACCTCAAGAAATGCAATGAAATTATATATACCAGTTAATTAACCCTCTATGTAATTTGATGGCTTGTTCTACTATAATGGCAATGGCGCCCACCTGAGAGGTGTCGGAACTGAGTTTCGGCTGAAAAAAAGCCCCAAATTTAGATTTTTAAAGCCACATGGCTGATCTGTTGTCTTTTTCCACTGTTGCTTTCTTTCACAGCTGAACCATTTAGCGACTTCTAACAGAATGAAACCAGATGGAAAGATGACTCAGGCAGAAATGCAAAAAACTTCAAGCAGGTCATGTATAAAGATTATGGCATCTGCCACTTGACACAAATCCTTTAATCTAAATAATCTTGGTGACTTTTCTCTGTAGGGACAAAAGAGGCTGTTTGCATACAAATATTTGATTGCAAGTATCTATTTCCCTCACCATTTTGGATTTTTAAAGAAATCCTGGCTGGTCACCAGCCACTTTATCCCCAGTATTTTCAGACGCAATCCCTTTATTTCCAAATGTGTGATTACAACCTTTGCATCCTTGTGAAAAAATGAACAGAGGTAGAAACTGGAGCCAAGGGCCGACTCTCGTGAAAATGATGACATAATGATAAGGGCATTCATATCTATCAGATAATTAGAACCTCAGAGCATAGGAAGCCAAACAAAGATTTATAATTTGGCATAATATTTGGACTGTTTGATTATTTTATAATTTGGAATGTTTTTAATGTGGCTTTTATTGGATTGTTAAACTGGAAAACTTAATAAATATTATTTAAAAAGAAAAGAAAAAGAAAATGGATAAAAGAACAAGCCCTGGTATCCCTGAGACATAGGGACATAGTGATACAAATTAGTAGCTCAGAGTTAAGGGCTGCTTGATGGTCACTGACCGTAGCAAAACATTAAGAGCGTACACCATACCATCATTTTTTAATATTAAACACGTCAGGATGCTGGGACTGATTTCTTTCATCCATGATGGAACTGTGGAAAACAGGGATGGCTCGCCTGTTTTGGCCAAAGGCCACATTCAACCTTGGCCAATGCTGGGGTGTGTTTGGTGGTGGTGGTCCCACCAGCCCACATTGGATGTGACCAAAAATGGGTGTGCCCCCCCAATCGTACACTCTCCCTTACACACATTCACACTTAGGGCACACAGAAACAGCCAGGCCCTCGCCTCAGCTGATCCACACTGTTCAGTTGAGGAAGGAGGGTTATTATCCCCTCCCCTTTCAGCTAATAATGAACACGATGGCTGGGGAAGGGGCCATTTGTATTCCCAGTGAAGCATTGGACTCCACTCAATTCTGTGTTTATTCCCTCCATCCCTCTTTCTGCTATTGCTGCCAAAACTTATGGTGTCAGATTCAGAAGCATTTGCCTGCAGGCCGGTTCAGGCTCATGAGCTTGGAGTTAGCGACTGTGGGTGTAAAAGCTCAGCAATACTGAGTGTCTATCTTTTAAACGACTACTTGGTTTTTTGTTTTTTGTTTGTTTGTTTTGCCATGTAGTAAATTTGGTGCCTTGAATCCTGTTAAATGTAATGGAGAGAAAATGCTGTTAGCGGCCACAAAATCTGTCTGGACTAAATACAGGAAAATGGACTCTTGTGCATCTATTTCTGAGTCATTAAAGGGGGAAAATCATTGACAATGCTGGAATAGAAAGTAACAAAAATCATACGGGGGGAGATTTAGCACAGGCAGGCAAATGAAATGTGTTTATTAATATGTATTAATATGTATTAATATATATTATAAAGATCTAGCACTGAAACAACTTGGTTTTGTTATCTAACACATGTTCTCTTTTTCTTGAAAAATAAATTTATTCCATGAAACTTTTCCAGGGCACAATCCTATAGTCCCTGGGGGAGTGTGGCAGGGGCCTAGGATTTTATGGATTCCCTCCCTGTGGGTGAAGAGGGAGGTCTGCTATCAGAAGCCACCTCCTAGCCACTGCAGAAAGGACTACCACCATTGCCTATCCCTAGTTAGGGCTCTGAAACAGGAAAGGGTTAAAAGAGGGTGCTGGGAGGGGCATATCAGAAGAGGTATGGACTCAAATTCCTCCTGTTCTTCTGAAAGACCCCAGGATTGGGGACAAGCATGCCAGCCCTGGAGCTAGGTAACTTACCAACTACAGTGGTACCTCTAGTTACAAACTTAATTCATTCTGGAGGTCTGTTCTTAACCTGAAACTGTTCTTAACTAGAGGCGTGCTTTTGCTAATGGGGCCTCTTGCTGCCGCTGTGCCACAGGCACACAATTTCCGTTCTCATCTTGGAGCTAAGTTCTCAACCCGAGGTAACTCTTCCAGGTTAGCAGAGTTTGTAACCTGAGGCGTTTGTAACTCGAGGTACCACTCTACTTCTTTTCCCTTCTGTTCTCCCTCCCCCAACCCTTCATGAGAATCATATCACTCCGGATTATAGTGGTTATACCCAGTGCTTTTTTCTAAAAAAAATGTTTAGGGGTACTCTAAGTTTCCTACTCATATTGAAATACTGCCCCTCAATGAGGCCAAACTTAGATTCACAAAATATTTAGGGGTATGCGTCCCCCCAGAAAAAAACACTGGTTATACCACCAAAGATTCTCCCTCTCCCACCACAATTGTATTGTTCTTCCCAAGTCATTGCAGATGGGGCAAACCTATTTTCCACCCGGTTTGTGCGTATTTATGTGTTTTACAACCACTCATTACTTTGTATCATTTTGGCATAACATGCACACATTTCTTCATGGGTTTTATGTGCCTAGGAAAGTGACAAACTCTTGCCAAAGTGTTTTTAATATCTAAAACAACAACAACTCCCCAACCCTCCAGCACACAAGCACACGTGCCTTTTGGCTTTTACGTACATGTTTTTGTTCTTTAGCGGTGGTAATAATTAGTGTTCTGTTTTGCTCAAATTAAAATTAATTTGATACCGATATAAAAACTGCGGCATAATAAGAACGCCAATTACTAACCCTGTAATAGAAGAAATCATCAACAAAGACACAGGGAACAGTTGGAACTGGAAACCCCTTTTTGTATGGAATAGCCATCGTACATCTAAAAACAGCATTAGCTTAGGCTTTGGTGAGTAGTAGTAGTAATAATAATAATAATAATAATAATAATAATTTTATTATTTATACCCCGCCCTTCTGGTTGGGTTTCCCCAGCCACTCTGGGCAGCTCCCAACAGAACACTAAAAAGAGAATAAAACTTCAAGGACTATGGGGGACTTCATAATCACTGCGTAAGACAAATCGGAGCTTTGTACTGGCTATAGTGTGGACAACCTCATCAAGACCCAGGTAATTATGAAACTGAACCCATGTCCTGACCAAAGCCCCCCACTACCCATTTCAGGCTATTCCCATATTCTCAGCTGCTACTTCTGTTTATGTGAAATACTTGTCTACTGGAGCTGTGCAATTCCCTACAGAAATCTAAGGCAGCTGGCTCTTAATGCTAAAACAACAGAGTGGCTCGTCCCTTTAGTGCTGCTTGCCTGTAAATTCCACGGGGGAATTCCTGAAAGCAGGTGCAAAACAAGTAATGGAAGCTGAAGCTGAGGCACAGAGGCAGATTTGAATTTAGTCCATTATCACCTCCTGCACTGCAGATCACATTACACAGGTGCAAAGTTACTGACACAGGAAACTAGGCATAAATCTCATACGTTCTGCAGCAATGACCCTTTGCTCAAAAATTCGCCTGAATATTGATTGTGGTTCATTAAATGTGCTATACAGAATCATTTTGACACTTTGTGGGGTTTTCAGTCCCCAAAACAACCTTAGAATTGAGAGTTACAGTGGTGCCCCGCAAGACGAATGCCTCGCAAGACGAAAAACTCGCTAGACGAAAGAGTTTTCCGTTTTTTGAGTCGTTCCGCAAGACGAATTTCCCTATGGGCTTGCTTCGCAAGACGAAACGTCTTGCGAGTTCTTGCGAGTTTGTTTCCTTTTTCTTAAAGCCGCTAAGCCGTTAATAGCCGCTAAGCCGCTAATAGCCGTGCTTCGCAAGATGAAAAAACCGCAAGAGGAAGAGACTCGCGGAACGGATTAATTTCGTCTTGCGAGGCACCACTGTATTCACATCTTACAGACAGGGGGGAAACTGAGGCTGAGGAGCAGTCTCACAACTCGTGATCATTAAGAATCTTAGTGTATGTGTTCATATGATAGCTTTCCAAAACAGAATGGTCTTATAGGATAGGGAAGGATTTTTCTCTCAAGCTACATGTTCCAGGATTACATTTTTCTGATCTGTCATTTTTAAAAAAGTATTTGGAACTTTTTAGCTTAGAGCAAAGACAAGTAAGAAGTGACATGATAGAAGTTTATAAAATTATGCAGGATGCAAAGAAAGTCAATAAAGAGAAGTTTTTCTCCCTCTCTCATAACATCAGGCATGTGGACACCCAGTGAGGCTGAATGTTGGAAGATTCAGGACAGATAAGAGGAAATATTTCTTCACACAGTGAATAGTTAGACAATTGAACTCACTGCCACAGGAAGAAGTGATGGACACCAACTTGGATGGCTTTCAAATGAGATAAGACAAATTCATGGAAGGAAGGGTTATCGATGGCTGTTAACCATGTTGGCAATATTCTACCTTCACCAACCTCCTTTTTATTAAAACAGTATTTAGCATGGCAGTGATTTCTTACTCCCAGCCTATTTCTATCCTAGAACTGATGTGGCGCATCATGCAGTACGTTCCCCCCTCTCCCGACCCACATTTTCTAATTGTGGTGAATTGTGCACATTATATAATAATCAGTTCTGGCTTTCTTTCTGGCTTGGGCATCAGTTTTTATTCAGCCCTTACTGTTTGCAAGGACAGGATTTGAGCAGGTGCTTTCAACAAGCAGTGCTTAAATTGACAGCGAGGCAAAGCTGCAGCAGGACTGGACACCAGGGAGCAAGATGCGACCTGCTCTTGCTGCAACTGTGCTGTGCTAACCCTATGGAGGAAACCTGCTTGTATCCTTCCAGGGCAGACATGACTTCATACCTTGAAAAGCAGAAGCTGTCTCATTAGGGCTTCTCTGAAACAAACAACAGGCTCGCCACTCACAGATGTTCTGGCCACAGCAAATTCAGCACCCACAAATGATAAGGAAAAAAAGGCTCAGCAGGAGTGTTCCTGCCACATTAAATGAGTAGCCTACACCAGGCTTCCTCAACCTCGGCCCTCTAGATGTTTTGAGGCTACAATTCCCATCATCCCTGACCACTGGTCCTGCTAGCTAGGGATCATGGGAGTTGTAGGCCAAAAACATCTGGAGGACCGAGGTTGAAGAAGCCTGGCCTACACAAAGAGGGAAGGAAGTGAGGCTAGAAAAATTGTGAGGATGAACCACTTATGCTTCCTATATTTCAGTTATAGCAGAAAGTATTGAATTTAGTAGAGTGGGTCTCAGATTTATGTATAGTGCCTTCTCCCTCCTCCTTGACCAGAAATGTTCCTTCTCTCTCCACGCCTCCAGCAATCCAGTTTTCATGAAAGTACTCTAGATGCCAGTGACACTGAATGTTTAGGTAGACTGGAAACACTAGATCATGGGCCCAGAACTTTCATTTTACTGACTCCTACCATTGCCAAAAGAAGGAGAACACCAAACCCATCCCTTGAACTGCCAGCCAGGGCTATTTGCCCCATCCCTCTGATACACTGATGGATTTCTTTGCCTCAGTTATAACAAAACACACCACTTGGGGGTATGTCCTACTAAACTCATTGGGGCTTACTTCTGAGCAGATATTTATTATTATTATTAGTAGTAGTAGTAGTAGTAGTAGTAGTATACCGGAGGTCTCATGTACTGCCCACAGCACATGAGAGAGAGGATTTTGCCAGATGCCTTGTATGATATACTGGAGAGAGAGAGAGAAATGTTAAGCGAGAAGAAGTAGAAAGAGAATTAGAGGTGGAATCTGGCATCCAATGGAAATCTGCACATTAACTAGTGCATTAATGTGTATGTAGATCATGATTTCTATATGTGTGCCTTCCTCTAAACAGGACCTCCAAAAATCTATCTCAATGTTTCCTGGCTACATAAGTGAGCAGTGCTTGATGGGATGTATTTGCTACCCCCTCCCTTCAATTAGTGCTTTTTTGCCTACCACAAGTCCTGGAAACTTGAGTTCCATTGTAGGCACAGAAAATTCTTTTATTTTTGAAATACAAGATTTCAATCGACCAGTTTTGCACAAAAGAGCGGTCAAAAGTAATTTTTAAACATGTGTGTGCCACTCCAAGCCAGGAAACCTGAGGTCAATTTACTGTGTGTATGTACCTTTTATATTTTTTATTACAAGTTTTTCAATATTTGCACAAATGAGCGGTCAAACATAATAATGAAAGTATGTGTGTGTTGCTCTAAGCCAGGCAAGGATTTGGAGTCACTCACATGAAAGGCTGCTGCTTCCTTTCCTCCCATTTTCCTTCCCCACCTCATGCACCTGCAAGGGCAAATTTTATTTTAATTTTTAATGCAGCTGTTTTATAAAAGAGCAGTTCTGCATAAAAGAGTCTTTAAAATCAATCAGTCAATAAATAAATACCATAAACATGCAAAATGGAAGTAGGGGGCATGATGATAAATGGCAACCAGTGAAATGTTACAACATATGTGAAAAAATCTGGCCACACAAATGTGTCCAATATGCAATTTAATATTGGGTTTTTTCCCCTCTTCAGATTATTCAGAGACTGGGAAAATCCTAATTTAGCAGGGGGGAAGTGCAGGCTGCCACTTGGATAAGGAGATGCCGCAAATCACATTGAAACAAAAGCATCTTCAAATCCAGCCCTTGTTTGATTAATGCTAGGAGCTGATTTGACACTGTTTATCCCATTACCCAACTTTGTATTACCTAATGCCCCTTCTCTGCTGATTTCCCGTCTATAGAAGCTATTTCTTGCACAAGTTGTCCTTTGCCTTTAAGCACTTTTTCATGCCCTGCTTCTTGTGTGTTAAAGGTAACCGTCAGGGCTACTCTATTTCCCGAACAGATTGGAAATCAGTTATACGCACCAATGAGGTAACCAGCAGACACCTGAACTCACATACCAGTGCTTGACCCTGAAACACATGCAACAATAATAAGACAGGAGGTGCTTCTGGGTATGCGCAGAGTATCTTCCCTTTCCTTCTTCACCACTAAATAAATCACAGCTACTTCTCTCTAACCTACAGAAAATCTACAGAAATGGGCATGACTTCCAGGCACCTCTCTCATTTCGGCAATTAAGCACACCCTACGGATGGTGACAGCAGCCACAAAATTAAAAGACCCCTGCTTCTTGGGAGAAAAGCAATGACAAACCTAGACAGCATCTTAAAAAGCAGAGACATCACCTTGCCAACAAAGGTCTGTATAGTTAAAGCAATGGTTTTCCCAGTAGTGATGTATGGAAGTGAGAGCTGGACCATAAAGAAGGCTGATCGCCAAAGAATTGATGCTTTTGAATTATGGTGCTGGAGGAGACTCTTGAGAGTCCCATGGAGTGCAAGAAGATCAAACGTATCCATTCTTAAGGAAATCAGCCCTGAGTGCTCACGGGAAGAACAGATCCTGAAGCTGAGGCTCCAATACTTTGGCCACCTCATGAGAAGAGAAGACTCCCTGGAAAAGACCCTGATGTTGGGAAAGATGGAGGGCACAAGGAGAAGGGGACAACAGAGGACTAGATGGTTGGATGGTGTTCTCGAAGCTACCAGCATGAGTTTGACCAAACTGCGGGAGGCAGTGGAAGACAGGAGTGCCTGGCGTGCTCTGGTCCATGGGGTCACGAAGAGTCAGACACGACTAAACAACTAAACAACAACAACAACACGGCACATCTATTTATAATAGGATAAGGGACAGAGGATGACCAGGGGCATTCAGAACAGGCTTCTGCTGAATGCTAGTGGGCAGAGCATTTCTAAGCATGGAGTTGCAACAAGATAACCCAGATAACCTATTCAAGCACTTATATGAGCAGAATAAGAACCCCCTTGTTCTTCTCAAATAGCTTCCACTGTAAACCTAGAGTTGTCACCTTTTAACCTTGCAATTTATGGACAGTCCAGCCATTCATTGTACCATAACACCAGCATAGCTATGACATCAGGAGGCATTGTTTAATTATGGGGGTTTATCAGCAGGTTTGATATTATTAAATCTGGACTTCATCAGAATTGGAAGTTTCTCTCCGAATATGTTAAATAAAGTTCCTATGGCAGCGAATGGGTGGCTATTGTTATGTTTGTACACATTTTGGCTGTGCACAGAAACGTGAAAGATCTACTGCTGCTTCTTGATTTTCTGGCATTTTGACTTTATTGTTTTATTTCTCTAGGCTCCCTACCAGTCTGTACCTGCATGTGTGTGTGCAGGCCTGCCAAATGATACAGCTGACCAGTGGGCCACAAACAAACAAACAAACAAACAAACAAACAAACAAACAAACAAACCTTATACCATGATCACAGTGCAATCCTATGCACATCCATGCAGAAGTCAATCCTATTTAGAAGAACAGAATCATAGAACTGTTCAGTTGGAAGGGACCATGAGGCTCAACTAGTTCAACCCACTGCAATGCAGGAATCTTTTTGCCCAACGTGGGTTTCGAACTCATGACAATGAGATTTAGAGTCTTGCTCTCTACTGACGGAGCTATCCTGCAGGCTCAGTGGGACTTATTTGCAGATAAGCGTATATAGGATTGCTGCATAACTCTGTAAGTCTTCAAAAGTATCATGAGTCTCTGTTGCTACTGAAACATGAACAGCCTGCAAGAATTGTGAATGGGTAGCAACTCTATGTATGCCCCTGTTTAGATCAGCCATGAAAGTTATGAAAGATGGCAAAGGCGCTGGCACTTCTGCAGACAGGCATGCGAACACCAGAGCCACGGCTATATATAACCAGTTCAGTCTTTGGCTACTTGCCCTCCTTACCACTGGCTGTTTGTTTATATTTGCTGACATCTTGTCTCATACCCAGATGGCAGGTGGATAGATTCTGCAGGGATCAAATAGTTTGGTTTCTATGGTGCTGCTTAGATGCATTTCCTGCCAGCCTGACTCCTGCGCTGTATATTTAGCACAAAAGCAATGTGGAATTTCAGCCCACCTGGCTGGGGCCTGCACCTTGCGCCATGGCACACACTGGAGCTGTTAGCACAGCTGCCTGTCTGTTGCTGAGGGGACGGAGTCGGTGGATGGAAAAGATGAGCAGTGACCTGGCTTTGAGAGGGAGGCCAGGGGAGGGATCCTTCCAAGAGGGCAGGGGAGGCCTGCTTGTGGGTAGAGTCGGGATTCTGCACGACAGGCGCAAGCCAGCTCAGTGGAAAGTACAGGACTGTAATTACCAATGATTATAAAGTCAAAAATACTGCAGATCCAGGAAAATCCCTCCATAAACAAGCTGTAGACAGGAAGGAGAGATATCCAGCCAGGAGTTCCAAATGGCCATGTGAATACTGGATAGGCCAATCTGAGCGGCAGCAGCAACTAACTTCACATTTTAAACCCCACGTGCCTGATTCTTGCAGCATCCCCCTTCCCTGGGATAACCCAACCTTTCAGTCTCTTTTCCATACTGGCTGTAAAATGTGTGTTTCCCGCAAAAGTTTTGCAATGCACATTTATAGCACATCTCAACATTCAGTATTCAGTCAGCGTGTGAGAGCCAGTTTCTGAGCAAATCAGGCTGTATTGTTCCTGATAAAATAGGCCCTGTTAGCAAATTCAGTACACATCAATTCCTGTGTGCAATGAGAAAATAGTTGTACAGTTGAAATTAATGTTGCTCCAGACTCTGCTACAAGCCCTGGTTCTCTAGGTAAAACTGGAGGAGACTTGACCAACCACGTACTGTAATTTACAAACTTCTGCTTAGGTTTTAAGCATATTGATTCCAGGCAACGTCATGGTTCAACATGGAAACACAGGACTCATTTTCTTGCTGGAGAATGTCTGCCCTTTTGGATTAAAGCAGGGGTGGAAAACTTATGGTCCCGCCAGACACTGCTGGACTACAACTCCCATCATCCCTGACTATTGGCCATCCTGGCTGGGGCTGATGGGAGGTGGAATCCGCGATGGCTGCAGGTTCCCCATCCCTGGATCAAAGGGGAAGAACTGAAAGTCACGTTGCGGAGAGCAAAGTTGTGCAAAGGTGCTTCCAACTTCAGCTCCTTTTTATCCAAAAAGGTGGCCACAACCAGAATCTACACCTCACATGAGGTTGAGTCCCAGATTAGAGCTTAGTTTCTCGGGTTTGTTTCAGGGAAGCCAGCACCACTGCAAAGAGAATCTCCCACAAAAGCATTCTGCTGTATTCTTAATGGAAAGAGAAGGTACTTGCACTTTGGAAGCAAGTGTCTCTTCTGTTGCCCAGCACCCACCCACAGATGATGGATGCCCAAAGAAGGCAATGGAGCACTGCCGTTGGACCGATCTCATTGGAGGCGCCTAGCTGTCCAAAGCCAAAGAAGATCTGTACGGTTGCCAACGTAAACAAGCGAGGAAGAGGGATATTTAATGTAACTGAACAGATTTACATCTCCCTGTCACATTGATTATCTGAATCCCTCTCTTCCGCCAGGCTCCTGAGCAGCTGCCCCCGCGAAGAGAACAAATACAAAACCACAAAACCCTCTCATGCTGGAAAACTGCAGCTGCCAGCTTTAATGGACCTGAGAACACCACACAGAGCTCTTCCAGAGGAGCATGCCTTCGTGAAAGGTACTGCTGAATCCTAAACCAGGGGAATGGCTCCGATTGCCGCAATGCAAAGGGTTAGAACACGAGAAGAAACTATTACCAGGAAAGTGTGCTACCCCCATCTGATTCTTCACTCCGCTTGCACTTTTATCCAGTGAACCACTTTTACAGCCTTTGTCTTTCCTACATAATGTGCCCAAGACTACTGGAACATCCTTGACAGTACAGCATTGTCAACAACAGTTCAAAGTTACAGAGTGTGGTGATCACACACAGGGCCCCCGGACGTTTGATGGTCTATTGACCCTGTGCCACCACTGCGATTGCTTTTTCCGCTGCTACCACCCCGCTTCTCACGGGGACACACGGAGTCCAGTCAGTTGTTAACATAAACAAATAATCAAGTTTATTTTAAAATGCAGGAACAAGCTTATGGTTTCAGTTAATTTTTCTCTTGTCAGTTTCTTATTCTTAGTTCCTAACAACTCCAAACTGATTGTTCCAACTATCTATCTGACTCCACTTAACAATTCCTCTCACTCTCTCACAATACAACTCTACCCAGCCACACCTAAACCTCCCTCTTCTTTCTTCAACTCCCCAAACCTCAACCAACTTTCAAAACCTCCCACTCTAACTTTTACTCCCCCCTTGCATTCTCACTGGCCAATCACATCACACCCATTTTAACCCTTTCCTTATGACCCATCCTAGGAGGCAAATGCCACACAGAGGTAACACCAGTGTAGATGGCCTTCCCATGGGTTTCATCCACCCATGGGTTACGGAGCTGTCCTTGGTGTCCCACTGTTAACATGACAACTCTAGAAACAGTGATCAGGATCAATAACCAGCACAAAAGTTTTAATCGAAATTGTAAACTAATCTAATCTACTTTAAGGCCTTGCGCCAGCCACACTTATCTGGGCATCTAGGAACATCATCATCGAATGCTGTAGTTGTCCTGTGGAATTGTAAGGGTAATTTTACATAATTGTTTTTGACAGAGAAAAGTTCCCAAGGTTGCTCACATGTGCAATGATGCTTTTTTGCCAAATGTCCACCAGTTGGTGTGCTATTGAACAGCATCCTACAAACCAATTTTTATTATTTTCCACAGCACAATTAAATAGGGATCTAACAACATAGGTTCATAGGAAGCTGTCTCATACTGAGTCAAAGCAATGAGTCTACACTGACTGGAAGGAAGTCTCCAGCATTTCAAAGAATGTTTCCCAGTCCTGCCTAGAGAGTATGGGAGTCAAACCTGGAAAGTGCTGGAATGAGACCCCTGGAAATGAGAAGGGGTCAATTTCCTCCATGTGCATAAATCATCCCATGGATGAGCTCATTGGAGGCGCAAGTTCAGCAAACCCAGTTGCTATGGTGACGGCCTAGTGCCCTCACTATATCTGTGGTTAATGCATGTTAGCTCCGTGCTGTCAGTCTGGTTAATCTGACCGATAGTCATTGTTACTTGTCCAGCATTACATATTGAATAGCTGAACTTACAGTGGTACCTTGGTTTACACCATAATCCATTCCGGAGGTCTGTTTGTAAACCAAAACAGGCTGTAACCCAAGGCGCAGTTTCGCGAATGGGGCCTCTAAAAAAATTTGTTCGTAATCCAAAAAAAATGGGTTGTAATCCTAGAAAAGGTTGCAAACCGCGACACATACTTCTGGGTTTGACATGCTTGTAATCCAAAACATATGCAAACCAAGGTACCACTGTATTTAGAGTGATGGAGATACTTTGTACTTCTGTATAAATCTGTAGCTGCAAAAGCTTACAAGCTGTATATATCTACTTCAAGAACTGTTTTGCTAAGTCTTCTCTTCTGCAACCTTTCCCTGCTTCTGTGTGGTGATTGTTCCTGGGAGCAACTTCTACTGTGTGGGCATCTGACCAGGAAGCAGATACTCTACCACATAAGACACACTATTACTGTCTCTGTGCCTGACTAAATATATCAGACCCATTTGAAAAGTACCATTTCCTATCTGAGAGGCATGACTGCTTGTTTACCTACTGAGTCCTTTACAAAGGCAGTTGGGCACTCTATAAATCAAAACGTCATTCTTTGTTTTTTAATATATCTTTATTTTCTTGTTGCAAAATTGCACACATATAAATAATATAACATGACTAACAAAAAATGGGTCGAGAGGAGGGGCAGAGGAGCCAACTCGAAAGGGCGGAGGTCCCTTTTGTTCCTCCAATACTTGAGGGGGCCTCCCCCCCATGTTAATGGGCATTGCCATTCAAATGGTGTGCATACCAGTGGGGGCTTACCTGCCCCCCCATATTTTATTCAAGTTGGCCCCCCTGCTGGAGGGGAAAATGTATTTCTTTTTTCTAACTTCTCTGACTCTTCTATACCCTTCATGAATGGGTATTCTACCAAAAGTAACAGAAATTCTGAAAAGATTATATCTCTTTCTGTACTCTGGTTTCTCTTTAGATTGTATAATTTTTTTTCTTTCCCTCTTCCTACTGAGAAATCTTATCAAAATTGAACTGGCAACACTCCCTTGGGGAATGCCCTACCCCTTTCAATTTGTCAGGCGCCCGCCCTTACTGCTTTTGGGAGACAGCTGAAAACCTCTCTAAAGTTTAATGGAATATGATTTTATTGCTGATTTTCACTGCCACTGCTGCAATAAAAATCTCTTTTATTATTTAGGGGGGCTTTTATCCGGTTTTAAATTTTTATCACTTTATTGTTTTAATATGCCCTCAGCTACCTCCAGAGTCTCTGACTGAGGGACATGAAAAAAAAGTAGTTTAATAAGGAATAGTAACTGAGAAACATGGGCATTCGACTTGATAACATTGTGACCTAAAGGCCTCCAATTGGATAAAACTTAAAATAGTAAGTTTGTTACTTCCCCAATCCTGGGTATCTTTTCCTACTTATTTTTCTTTTGATATCCATTTATTTAAGCAACAGCATATATTTCGATAACATACAACAATGAAGTATCAAAGAAAAGATACTGAATGGAAATGAAGATGAAACATACACATATACAAAATATGAATTTGTGTTGTGTTGTTCACAATCCCTGGAAAGATATTAATGATATTATTGGTGTTGGGGGCTAGTAACATTAAAAAAAATGTTTTATTTATAAATATCAGGATATTGTTCTCAAGGTCTTATGTCATTGTCAGTTAAAGTTAAAAAGTTTTTAAGAATTCCAAATAGCATTTTTCACAGGAGGCATTTGAAAATTGTTATAATCACACATATATATATATATATATATAGACATATAATTGAAAATGAATCTTGTTTTGCTTGTCCTCTAATACACCATAATTTTTGAGCAAAAATTTCAGCAGGAGCTGAACCAGATCTGACCATACCATAAATACTAATTCACTGTACCACACTGAATGCTACTGCCAAGCTCCTGTGAAACTGGAGGGAATTTTATTCAAACTGCAATATGCTTCTCTGTATTGTCAAGCTGCAAAGCTAGGAAATGATCCACTTGTTTACATTAACAGATCCATGGGACATAGGACAAATATAAGAACCTCTAGGATTATCTGAAGGTTAGTTCAAATGAACATGGTCTGCCTCAAATTCCCATAGCAAATGTTACTTGAAACACAGCTCCCCGCCCCCCCGCTTACACATCGAGGTCAGATTTGGGATGTACTAACACAGGGGTCAGCAAACTTTTTCAGCAGGAGGCTGGTCTACTGTCCCTCAGACCTTGTGGGGGGCCGGACTATATTTTTTTTTGGGGGGGGATGAACGTATTCCTATGCCCCACAAATAACACAGAGATGCATTATGAATAAAAGGACACATTCTACTCAAGTAAAAACACGCTGATTCCCGGACCGTCCGCGGGCCGGATTTAGAAGGCGATTGGGCCAGATTACCCAGTTTGCCTACCCATGTACTAACAGACACATAAGGGTGTGGGACCAAAATATCAACAGAAATGCAGGCTAACAGCATAACCCTAAAGATGTCTGCTCAAAAGCAAGTAACAAGGAGTTCAGTGGGGCCTACTCCTAGGTAGGTGGGTATGTGATCGAAGCCTTAAACTCGTTTTATATAGGGGGAAGTGGGGCAGATTGATACAGAAAAATTTAATCTCATATTTCATGTAACAAAAAATGAGTCTAATAAAAAAAAAATAAAAAAATTGGCTTGATGCATGGCATAACTAATCAATATTATAATAGCAATCAAAAGAACCAATAAAGTTTGAAGATAGTGAGAATGTAATGACTTCAGTAAAAAAAAAGAAAAGAAAAGAAAAGGGTTTTGTATCATTCTGCCCCACCTACGGGGCACTTTGATACATTGGAAGGGGCACTTTGATACAAAGCGTAAATTGTATGAGAATGGTAATTATTTGCAAAAAATTAATGAAAATCCAATTTTTATTGTGAGAGATAATAATCAGCCTTACAATTTGTTACTTACAATCTAAATTACGTATCAAAACTAACAGTGTTTCACACATATCATAGACTTTATGGCAGGTTTTCTTAACAAAACATCAAAACTTATATTAATCTTTCCTCAAACACCTATCCATTAAAAAAAAACTTTGCAAAAACTTAAAAAGTATAAGAACTCGCATTAGTTAGTAAAAAAACAGTGATTTAAACAAAATGCTTATAAAAATAAGATAATTACTTAACATTTAGCTTCTATTGCACATTATATCCACTTAAGTCAATAGAAAAAGTATAAAGAGATGATGTTCGAGTTGTGCTCTTTGGGAAATTTGGTTTTGGCAACAGCAAAACAACATCCTTGAAATCAACACTTGCCTTATCTTCTACAACGGGGAAGACAAACATACAAGATCCTGGTTTTTTCCTGACACTTGATATTCAGTCATATTATATTTAGAAATGACTTTGGCCACGTAGCAAACAACAGTTTTTTTTCCGTTTCAAATTTAATGAGTTTAGAGATTTCATGCAAACTTGTATATTGGGGCACTATTGTACACTAGCGGGGCACTTTTATATGTATCAATGTGCCCCGTGTCTTAGTGTATCAAAGTGCCCCAACAGACATTTTCAAAAATACTAACAACTATTAATAAAACCAAAGAACTTATTTAAAAATCACGTGTGATCCTGATTACTGAGTGGAATAACTTACCTTTGGCATTTTAAAATCTTAACTACGTAAATGACGTAAAACAGTGTTGGAACACTTTCACATTTCACGTAATTTTTTTAGCTAGCCGTGCTAAAAACACACCTACCCTCGTCAAACGCCAACGGCTAACGGGTGGCACAGTCGCAACTGTTGTACTCACACATGTATAGACACGTTTTAGTGATGTCACGACACAAATAACATTTCTCGATATTGAAATATTGTTGGTATATCAATGTGCCCCGTGCATCAATGTGCCCCGCCTCCCCCCTACCTGGTGAAAAGGAGCCCTACATTAATTTGTGCATTTCTCAGATTGTCATTTTTATTTCCCATACTTACTCCCAAAACAAGAGCACAGGGTGGCTAACAACATAAAACAATGCATCAAAACACCAAATAAATACTCATCAATAACAATAGCAGCAGATAATACTGTCACAACACCAGTCATTCAAGTTTTCAAATTGTGTTGTTGAACTAGAGTGGGGACAACCTGATTTCACAGGTAAGGTGCCAACACCAAGAATGCCCTGTCATGTGCAACAAACCTCACCGCCACCACCAGTGGAACCACAAGCAGGGCCTCTCCTGTTGACTGCATTAACAGTCCAGCTTGGAAGGCATTTTGATTCTTGGATGAATTAACAGTTCCATGAAGAAAGATTTTCTAATGAATCCAGTTCTTATTTCCCCCTTTGACTAAAACCTTGCTGAACAATTGTAGCCCCAAGGGGATACAAAATGGGTGCCAATCACTCTACATTCTGGCTTGTGTGCTTCTTCAGGTCTGATGGTTCTTTGTGCTTGAAACACCGGGCTCTGGGCCAGCTCCTCACTCTGTGAGATACACTTAAAGCTCTCTGGAGAGATGTCAGCCCTCGGGAGGAATAACAGAGGCTCTGTGATACTTCAGCCTTGTCACAAGTTCAGCTTTGCCAGTATTTCTCTTGCCCTGACAGTTAACACAGCCAGCCAGGCAAGCAAGCTTGTGCTTTCCTTCCTTCCTACACATGTGGGACTGGATAAGGATGAAACAAGCGTGAACAATAAAATTTTGTCACAAGATCCACATCAAATGGAAAAAACCCTAAAATAACTGGATTCAAATGCCTTTTTGGCACAGCCCACGTATTGTGACTGTGCTTTCTGGATGTTACTCATGTGGATCACTTCACATTCAAATCCACAATGTAAGACACGGGGTCTCTGCATGGATTCCCCTTGCCTTGGCAACCCATTGGGTGGATATGCTAATTAGCAAACTGAATGGCAGTTTACTAGCTTGTCTTTCCCCTCCTGCTCTGTTCAAAAAGCTGCCCATCTTTTATTGGCTTCAACACAGCAGGGACATTCTTTTCCTTAAAGTTATTTGTGGGTTTTTTTTAATAGAAAAATTAATCAACTGTTTAAAAGTTTAAAAAACTCCAACAGGTCCTCCCTATCTCAGACTCGGCTCAGTCAAACAGAGCTCAACTTAGGAATCGCCCCACACTTCTGCTTATTCTAGAAAACAGAGGCCCAAGTGGTTTTCTGCTTGTCCCCCACTTTCTAGGCATGGGTCCGAGAGGTTTTGCCTTTGTGCTGCCTTTTCTACCTAGAAAACCAGCTCTTTGGGACTAAACTGGAACAAACAGCAATCTGCAGAAAACCCAATTGCCCATTGTTCTGATTCAGTGCTAAAGCACGGGTTTTCCTGGGGGGAAGTGGAGAGTTGAACAGAGGTGGGGATAAGCCCATAGTCAGCATCTGCTACAAATGGGGTGAGGAGAAAGATAACAGTTCATTCCTCCCGAGTCTGACCTTTGGCTAATCCTAAAATGCGGTAAGAAACTGAGGACCTAATTTTACACAGCCTAATTTCATGTGGGGAAAATGGGAGGGGAAATCTGACAAAGTAAGGAGCAATGGAAAATGAAGAAGTGAAAAAACACCCTGTCAGCAATGGAGAGATCTCTCTCAGTTCCTCAGCAGGCCACTAGGCAGGCAGGCAGATGGGCATGGGAGAGAAAAGGAGATGGCAGGAAGTGAGTGGCGAAGGTGGGTGGCTGCCCACTTTTAGCTTTGGCTCCGCCTACCACTGGCTTCAGGTCCACCCAGTGCTGATGTGTGGCCCCTGACAAATTGCTGAAAGGGAGAGTGGCCCTTGCAGAGAAAAGTTCTGCACCCTGTCCTAAGAGAAAGCTATAGGCATATAAAAAAACACATTGAGTGCCCCTATATTTTCTATTTTGTGGGGTAAAAGCAGCTGAGGGGGCACAGTGGGAGGTTCAATCGAAAAATTGTGTGAAGGGAAAGGGTTAAGAAGCCCTTCTCCTCATGCACTGGTGTTCCACTTCAGGCTACAGCCTCTATTCCTCAGGTGGTGGTGGGGAGGGGGGCAGCAGTGAGAAGAGTTGAAATCAAGAAAATATTTAATAAAAATACATTAAAAAAAAAGAAATACCATGGGTCCCTTTACAATTAACATCACAGAGCTTGGAGCAAACATTTGCAAAATGTCTAAGTTGCAGTACTTGGGGGACATGGGTGGCGCTGTGGGTTAAACCACAGAAACTAGGACTTGCCGATCAGAAGGTCGGCGGTTCGAATCCCCGCCACGGGGTGAGCTCCCGTTGCTCGGTCCCTGCTCCTGCCAACCTAGCAGTTCGAAAGCACGTCAAAGTGCAAGTAGATAAATAGGTACTGCTCCGGCAGGAAGGTAAACGGCATTTCCGTGCGCTGCTCTGGTTCACCAGAAGCAGCTTAGTCATGCTGGCCACATGACCCGGAAGCTGTACACCGGCTCGCTCGGCCAGTAAAGCGAGATGAGCGCCGCAACCCTAGAGTCAGTCACAACTGGACCTAATGATCAGGGGCCCCTTTACCTTTAAGTTGCAGTACTTACAGTAATATAATTTAGATTTTTTTTTCTGCCAGCAAGGGATTGCTAGCATAGAAAACCCCTGTGATCATAAACGTTGTTTCTACTATGCTGTGTGTTTGACATTGCACAGATGTGTGTTTCTTAACCCTAAAGAGCCAACATTCCCAGCCTTTCCCTCTTCTGTCCCTACTGCTGCTCAGCAAGAGCAGGATGTAAATGTGGGCACTAAGAGGAGAGAGAGAGAGAGAGAGAGAGAGAGAGAGAGAGAGAACGAATGAACTGTCAGACGGTGCCACTAGTGTGTCGTAGAAGAATATGCTATTCAGGTACCCAGTTTCTTGGGCTGAAGGTTGCAGAAAACTTATCTTTACACAGTCAGTATTTACACAGAACTTACCCATGTAAATGTATTCTGGAGAGGCCTTGTCAGTCGCTAAATCTCTTAATACGTTTCCAAACCGCAGCCATAGCCCAAACGCGACGACAGCTGAGCCTGCCAACTGGAAAAGCAAAACAAAATTCAAAAGGTTAATAGCTAAAGGAAGGATTGCTGAGCACAGAAAATCTGCAAACAACTGCTTATTTCTCCTTGGAAACTCCCAGAGCAGATGATTCCAAATTCACATGCTACATTACAGTATAAAGATTGCTACTGGCATTTACACACATTTGTCTCTGTCCAAAACTATTAACATCCCTGTACTAACAAGGAGGAATACAGACATTTTGATGTATAACCTCAGAAATGCTCTCTGGTTTGTTTGCTTTTTTCCATTTAGAATCTAAACTTTTCTCATTAACTGAACTCAGGGGAAACTAGTTGTGTGTGTTTATGGCAGAAGCTGGCTGTGCACAATACCGATTGGTTAAAAACTGGTGACATCACTAGCCCACTCCCTCCTTATTCCTAAAGCAGCATTCAAACATGTAAAAATGATTCTATGATTTGTTTTTGTTTTTTTAAAAAAACATGGGGAAAGTACATTTAATTCAATAAATGTATCCACATTGCTTTAAAAAATAAATAAATTGAACAACCCAGCTGAAGCATGGCACAGGAAGGGCAAGGCAGACAAATAAATCAGTGTTGTTGGCCAGTAGGCCTGTTAAATTTGCCACCTTAGAAGCAGGAATCCAGGCATGAGATGTCAAAGAAAGAATTGTGGTAAGTTCTGATTTGCATGCATATATGTTTGTACACATCCCTAGGCTACACATAGAAAATAAGCTGACAGTTCCTTTACATGCACTCATATTTTGACATCCATTTAGTGAGGAGTTGCATTTTCTCTAGCTATGGAACATGAGATGATTGTCTCTCTGCATGATGCTTGTAAGCTGTTTCCAAAATGTTTAAATCAGCCCATTGCTTTATAAATATCCCATTCATGTTGCTTTCAAGAAAAGCTCTTTTTCCTTGGACAAAGAACCAAAAGCTAAGTCACCTCATCTTGAACTAAGTGATGTTACCAAACACTTAACTGCTCTAGTTCATCACCAGAATGGCAAACCCACAAACACATTACCTAAAAGACAGGTACTAACCCTAGAATATAATTTATTTCAGGCCAGAGTAATTCCGGATGATTTCTCTAACTATGGGGGCAATGGCTTCCCTTCAATCCAGAGTTTTGGTGTCAGCTGGCCAGTCAGTTGTCAATCGCTCCTTTAAGAGGGAGAAAATGTCTACCGAAACATACAGTGTGGAGGGAAGGCAATCTCTTTGCTAGGGAAGTTCAAGTCCTCAAACAATCACAAAGTCGAGGGGGGGGGGGAGAGAGAGAGAGAGAGAGAGAGAAAGAAAGAAAGAAAGAAAGAGTATGCCTCCTCCATCGAAGCTGAAGAGAGAGGAGGCCAGGGTGCAGGCTGAGGAAGCAACCCTGTTTTCCTCCATGGAAGAGAGAAAGAGACAATAGCCAGCACTTTTGCAAGGCCACACAACACAGAGCTTTGTGTTGCTGTGCGATTTGCAGCTGCAGCTGAGGGACACCCGCCTCACAACTCTGTACTCATTTGCACTGTAGTATAGTTGAACCTCATTCGTGTGAGGGAAGAGTGTCATCCTCTGGCGGCCTCTTTTTTCAGCAGAAGCATAGTTCTGTAGTAGTTACAGGAACCCTCTTTGGTGGAGGCTATTCTGAGACATAGCAAAGGCTTCTCAAAGATACACAAAATGGAGGTGCCCTCCTTCTCTACAAAAATGAATACCCAACAGGACAACTGTTGTGACTGAGCCACATATTTCTGAATCAGATGTAGTCTTGCTGGACTGTCTGGGCAGAGCTCTGCTTTTGAGGACTTATCCTTTCTGCTGCCTCAAGGCAAGACTTCTATTATGCCCCTATGATGCTACAGATTACTGAACTCCCCAAAACAGTCTGAATAAAATCCCAATTCACTTGCGTATATAGGAACAGTGGGTGGTATTCAACTAAGTTTTCCTTAGAGTAGACCCACTGAAATTAATCACCCTAAGTCATGTTCGTTAATTTTGATGGGCGGGATTAACCTAAACAGTCCAATCAGTGGAAGCCCTGCACAAGGACTTCTGCTTGAGCAACAGGGTTACCCCCTCCCTGTGCACCCCCCATTCCCTCAAAAATGGGGTGGGTTGGGAGAACCCCTGGAACAGCACAAGAGGGACAGAGGGGGGATCGCTCCATCTGGCAAGCTGCAATGCTTGTGAAAATGGAACAACTGCAAGAGAGTGGCATTGAATACCACCCATCTGGTTTGTTCCGAATGCCACCCAGAATATCTTGGTTGCAGTCCTGAATTCTCTCAAAACACTATTATTTGTAACACTCCACTAATATTCTTTCTAACAATGTGCCAGTGTTTGTCACACTGCACTAAGGTCCTCTCAAACTCTACACTGAGACACTGCTCTACTGTATTGTAAAAGAGACAGTGACACCCCAAAGGTGCAAGTTATGCTATCTTTCAGGGAACCCTCACCATGGAAAGCTGCAGACGAGATGCTGTCAATATGTTGCTTACAAGCTCTGCCTTTGCCAAACCTCTGAAAAGGTCCTCAGACTTCACAGGCAGAATGAGTGGCTCATTCAGAGTGTGTGAGCTGCCTTTCACTTAACTACTCCACCAACAAAGGCCCGCACAGGAGCCTAGCAAGGCAAACACAAGCAGTCCCTTTAAGTGGGGCTGGCAGTCAAAACCCATCACTGAGATGCAGCTCCATCAGTCACAACGGATCCCTTCTCCCGCTTTCAGCAAGGCCCTTTCCTTCCAAGAACGCTCAGGCGGAAGGGGACTCTTTGCTCAAAGATTCAGGTCAATACAATCAAACTGAGACCATCCAAAAATAGTTAGAAAGCTGAAAAGGCATCTTCATTTCCCAGGCATTCATGCATTCCAATTGTCCCTAGTTAGTAGGTACTATTTTCTGGGACCTGTCTGTCCTTGGTAAAAACACTATTTTCATTGTGGTGATAGTTTGTCTTTTTGTGAGATGCTGGGAACACTTTTAAACTGCTTGCCCACATGTTTGCTAAAATTCTTAAGGATGCCCTGCATCCCTTCGAATCCTCTCCTTATTGAACAACCCAAACAGTTAGTAAATATTGCTGAACATGTTGCAGATATTAAACACACACACATCCCAAAACAGTCTGATCTGAGGTAAGGCTGAAAATTTGGTTAAACACAAGTGAAACCTGTAGCAAAATTTTATAGAGTGGAATGCTGCTGTCCAGGATTCCAGTCACTCGATTCCATTCTCCTTGCCCCCATTTTCCTCTCTGCTCCCACACACTCAGTGTGCTGCAGCCATTGAGCATGCACAGTCCACATTGGTCTGGTCCCCCTACCCTTAATCTCCCCTCTAAATATTTGTTCTACTTGGTAAACTTGGAGTTCCCCCAGGTCTGCCCATACCTCCCTCTTGTCTGTGGGTGGTGCCATTTTGAGCAATGGAACTTCCAGACTGAAGACCAGAAATAGAGGGAATGAGTCTGAAGCTCAAAAAAGGAAAAAGAAGAAAAAAGAAAACAGTTGTGGTCAGTTTATGAACACATCCTGTTTCAGCAGCAGCAGCAATCGCAGAGTAAATGAGTCAGAAAATGTTTGTGTTTGTGTTTGTGTGCTCCCCTTGCCCACCTTTTAGGCAGTGGTCCTCAGTGTGAGAATCATCCTTATATGCACAAATAAGCATCTGCTGTATCTGTGAAAAACTGGAAGGTACTGTATGTGAATGGGCGGACCAAATTTCAGTTACAGGAAATGCAGCCACCTAGTCTGAGGAAGATGGAGAAAGCTCTTGCTCCTTCCCAGAAACCACAAAGAAAGGTAAAACAGAGGACTGGAAAGGAGGTTAACCGAAGCTTATTGGTGTTTTGTAAAATTTGCATTTATTTGCAAATATACAGGCTGAGCATAAGTAGAGGCACAGCTGAAACATCAGACTATCAAAAACTATTGCTCCATGTCATATTACGAGAGACCAACAGCCAGTATATCAAACTGCTATTCACTTTCAAAGCACAAGTCCAGCTCTCCGTTGCCGGCAGGTGGGCAGGTAGCTATTTATTTGCATTTATTAAAAGCATGTCTACACTACCTTTCATTTATAAGAAATACCAAGGCAGTGTACTGAACACCCGCCGCAATGAACTGAAAGATCTTTTTTTTTAAGGGGGGGGGAGATGTGAGGCCACACCATGCTGTTGACACAGCAGGTACACACTCTTGCTATACTTGCATACAGTACAGCCCTTTCACACACCAGATAAACATGCAGAGAGTAGAGAGCCAGGCAAGGGCCATAATGGCTCCAAAAGAATTGGTCCCAAAGTATGGCAACAACAGAAGTGGCTCCGTGCCTCAACTGTCTATTAGAAAGACAAAAGGCAAGAGACAAAAAGTAAAAGACAAAAAGAAAGACAAAAAGCAGGCTGGGCAGATGAGAGGCAGAGCCATGCCTGATTTCTGCTGGGATCCAAAGCTGTGGCTATTGGAGAAGCAAGACCTTCTGGGGTGTTAATGCTGCGAGCCCCTCCATCTTATTGTATATATGTGTAAATAAACTGTATATCATAAAGACACCACGGTCTCCACTGTTCCTCATTCCAAGGAAACCGAACATTGGGTAAGCACCTGGAACCCCTGGAATCTCACACCGTTCAGAGATTGGGATGGCGTGCAACTGTATACACTGACTGGCTGTGGCTCCCTAGGCTTTTAGAAAGGGGATTTCCCCCTGTCCGACTGGCAAATGCTGTAAAATGAACCCAGGACCTTTCACATGTAAAGCAGATGCTGCTGCTACTATTACTATTACTATCATTAGAATTTATATACCGCCGTATACCCTGGGGTCTCAGGGCGATTCACAGAATAAAATCAAGATGTAAAACCACAAAATACCTAATAAAAACAACAACAACTGCCCCCCCAAAAAAACACATTTTAAAAGGGCATAGGATGTAAATCGGATCAACCAAAGGGCTGGTTAAAAAGGAATGTTTTTGCCTGGCACCTAAAGGTGTATAATGAAGGCGCCAGGCAAACTTTCCTGGGGAGAGCATTCCACAAATGGGGAGCCACTGCAGAGAAGGCCTGTTCTCATGTTGCCACCCCCCGGACCTCTCGAACCCCTCTTACCACTGACCCATGGCCCTTTGCTAAATGATCACATTGTACTGCTTCTTTCTCCGCTCCCTATGTATGGGATAAATATTCAGGAGAGATCTGGAACATTTACTTTTAACAGTGCAGTAATACTTCTTTTACCTTTGCCGGTAACCTTATTTGTCACACCCACTATTGCATCTTTGCCACGGGTGGATTTCCCATTCCGAGGAATATATACAAAACTATTAGCAGAAGTAAGGGGTTGCAATAAAATACGATGCAGCACTCTGCGTAGGATAAGCCTTAATACCTCCTGGCTTTTTTTGAACAATAACACTGGGCAACAATTTTTTACTTTTTGAATGTTGTCTAGATTTCTACAACTGATTTAGGGTATTTTTGCACTGCTGAATCAGGAAATGGCATCCGTTTCTCTCCATCAGGTCAGGTTTACTGTAAACTGAATGGTGGGCATTGATAAAGGTAAGTACACGTAAATTGCATGTTGCTTCACCATTTTTCAGACTTCAGGGCTTGAACTTCCGTTTCTTGGAACTCCTGGAATGCTCAGCGGCAGGGAGGTCTCTCTTCAGAGTCCAACAGTAGTCAGCCATCATGACTGCGTCCCAGCAACCCTGATACCTGGTCTCCATCTCTTTCATGTCCTGATGGAATCTCTCCCCCTGCTCGTCACTCATTGAACCCAGCTTCTCAGGAAACCGGTCCATATGTGAAAATAGGTAGTGCATCTTGACGCTCATGTTGCAGCCCAGGTTTCTGAAAGCAGTCAGCATGTTGTTGACAAGTTCTGCGTAGTTTCTGGCCTTATTGTTGCCAAGAAAGTTCTTCACTACCAGAACAAATGCCTTCCACGCTTCCAGTTCCACTTCGTTCATCGAGTTTCCGAACTCTGGATCTCTGATGAGCTGACGGATCTGAGGACCGTCAAAGATGCCAGCTTTCAACTTCTCCATGATCAATCCTGGAAAAGCCTGGCACAAGTAAGTGAAGCAGTCACCATCCTTGTCCAGAGCCTTGGTGAACTGCTTGATTAAGCCGAGCTTGATGTGCAGCGGTGGGAAGAGTATTCTGTCTCTGTCCACCAGAGGGTCGTTGATGACGTTCCTTTCTTTGCAAGGCACCAATTCCTCCCGCACAGGCCAGTCCTTCTTCGTGTAATGCTGAGCACGGTCCCTACTATCCCACATGCACAGAAAACATGGGTACTTGGTGAAGCCAGACTGTTGTCCCAACAAAAAGTTCACCATCTTCAGGTCAACACAAATAAACCACTTATGCTGATCATAACCAATTTTCTCCAGCACATACTTCACCGCTTCATAGTTCTCCTTCAGTGTACTCGAGTGAGCCAGGGATATAGAGGCAAACTGGTTGCCGTTGTGTAGCAGAACACATTTCAGTGATCGCTTGCTGCTGTCAATGAACAGTCTCCAATCTTTGGGTTCGTACTGTGGCACTCCAAGCTTGAGCAGAAGCTGCACAATATCTGCACAGTACACCAAGTCCTTCTCTTCTGAGAAAAAACGGAGGTACTCTTGATGCCTGTTGCGGAAGAAGCTGATGCGAGCACTGTCAGAGAGGAGGTTTTTTCCTTCAATCTGGATGCCAACAGTTCGGCAGAGTCCTTTGACAAGCTGAGGTCGTGAACTAGATCATTCAACTCCTTTTGGGAAAATGGATGTGGAGCATCATCTTCAAGAACCACTTCTTCTTCTTCATGTCCTTCAACACTGGAGGCATCTTCGTCACTAATGTCAGGAAGTTCTCCGAAGATAGGCACTGGAATTTCATCACAATGAGCTACAGGATGACGTGCTGATTGAAGATCAGGATTAATTTAGTTTTGATCCCCCAACTTTATGCTTTGCCGCACCAATTTATGGAAGATTTCGAGGTTTTATGACTTCAAACTGATCCCTTTTCAACATAATCACCCAGAACTATCGGACCTGAATACTTCTTGTCATTAAAATAATCATTTCCAATCAAAACAATTATTCGACATGGCATTTTACCCCCACCAACTTCTTCTAAAATGCTCCACACAAGCGTACATGTGAACAAAAACGTAAAAAACGACATGTGGCCATAGCTCAAAAACTTGACCTGATTGAGCAAAACCAATGTGATTTTTGGATTCAGCGCATCAGATTCGTCCTAAATCAACTGAAAAAACACAGAAAACAAATTTGTTGTTGACCAGTGTAATCTACCCAAGCTAACAAACAATGTGGTTCCAGGAAGCGACTTGCTTAAAGCAGACAGAAATTGCCAATGACAAAGAAATCCCTTTACATCATCACAGATCCAAATGGAAATAAAACACCACCCCCCCCCTTGGCAGTTTCACCTAAGAGCGCACTCCCAGAGAGACTGGGTTGTTGGCAGGGAGCCAGGCTCTGCTGCCAAGAGCAATTTCAAGGACCCTGCTGGGCGGTTCTGCAGCTCTGCAAAGCAGAGACCTCTGTGTGCAGCAGGCATGAGAGGGGGGCAGCTGGGAGCAGTCGAGCCCTAAAGACTAAGTTGTTTAGAAGGAAGCGGTGCCTTACGATGGTGGAAAAGATGAGTTCTCTTTGTGCTTCCAATAGATGATAGAGAGGGAGAAGTTGATCACATGCCCTTCAGCTACAATGGAGGAATGCAGGGGCACTTTAGGCAGAGAAACAAACTGCCCCTCTATCCTAATAGAATCTTTCTCGGTGTAAACTCATCCTAGCCAAAACTAACAACTAGTAGTTAGGATGGATGGCGGCTAACAGATTGAGGTTGAATCCTGACAAGACAGAAGTACAGTTTTTGGGGGACAGGGCAGCTGTTTATCAGCTCCATCTGGTACTCAGGCTGAGACCCTACCTGCCCGCAGACTGTCTCGCCAGAGTGGTGCATGCTCTAGTTATCTCTTGCTTGGACTACTGCAATGTGCTCTGTGTGGGGCTACCTTTGAAGCTGACCCGGAAACTACAACTAATCCAGCGCCGAGGGCCTTCTGGCGGTTGACTTGCTGTGAGAAGCCAAGTTACAGGGAACCAGGCACAGGGCCTTCTTGGTAGTGGCACCCACCCTGTGGAACGCCCTCCCACCAGATGTCAAAGAGAAAAATAACTACCAAACTTTTAGAAGACATCTGAAGGCAGCCCTGTTTAGGGAAGCTTTTAATGTTTAATAAGTTATTGTATTTTAGTGTTTTGTTGGAAGCCGCCCAGAGTGGCTGGGGAAACCCAGCAAGATGGACAGATATAAATAATAAATTTATTATTATTATTATTATTATTATTATTATTCTTAGAGAGAAAGAAAAATATGCCAGGGCATACACAGGGATAAGCATATTTACAAAATATTACTTTGTTTTTAACGCTCAGTTGATGATTTCACTTAAGGACTGTCTCAGGTGTGAGGAAAAGACACATTTGATCAATCAGTCAAATTAGGTCAATTCATAATTTAGATCAAGGTGAGTGGATACAGACCCCACAGCATTTTGTAATGATAATAACATCTAGCATTTATATAGAGCTTTAGAGCGCTTCACACGCACCAGGAATCTTTACAACAGCCCTGTAATTTGGCCCAGAAGTATTGCTATGCTCATAACTGCAGACGGGCAGCCGAGGCTGAGACAGACAGCTACTGAATGAGTTTATGGCTGAACTGAACTTCAGGTGGAGAGGGCATGGCAGTTATCGCCATGGTAGGAGGAAGAAATAGCAGGTATCAGATACCCTCCATTGGTTTTTGTGGCAGGCATAGGCTAGTCACACAGCAGTTACTTCAACTGCAGACTTGTTGTACAGCCTTCACACTGGAGGTTTCTCCAGTGTCTGGTACATTTGTGTTGCCAGCAGGGAGACCAGTCTATATGGGAGGCATGCAAAACCTCCAGCTGGCAGGCGCAATTTGGCTCTGCGGGAATCCTAATTTGGCCTGCAAGGCCATTTCACTCAAGCCGCGGCACCCGCTCGCCCAACACAAAGGATTATTTTTTTAAAAAAGCAGCGTCAGTGGTGAAACCTACGGCTCTGATTTGGCCAAACTACAGCAGTATCACGGAAGATCAACAAACATTTCAACTGATCAAGGTGATCATGTCAGGAAACAAACAAACAAACAAACAAAAAACCCCAGAAGCCCTCCAACAAAAACATCAACATCTTCACATGGCTAAATCATTCCTACCGCTGACTGATAAAACACCCACAAATCCTCAGATGCAATGCGCCTCAGACACTTCATTACATGTGTTCCACTGTGCCACACAATAGGTACAAATAAATAAATAAAGAAATAAATAAAGCAAGCAAGCAAGCAAGCAAGCAACCTGCTATTGACAAAACAACCCAAAGATCTGATTCAGAATAGCTTCCCTTGAAGTTAGATGCCCACATGGTTTCCTGTTTGACAAAAACTATTCAATTAAAGCAATACCTGAAGTAAACCAGTTTCCTTCACCATTTACTTTACTCATCTTTCTTTTTAAAAAAGGGGGGAAAGGAAAGATCAGATCTCACCAGGCTTCCAACCTGAAAGATCACCCTTCTGCATTCTCTCTTGCTGTTTACTGTGCAGCCAGGGAGCAAGGAGCCATCAATGTAGCAAGCTGGAGCTACTTAAAACCTCCATCTCTGTGGAGTTTGACTCCTGTTGCACCTCTCTGTCTGCTGTGTCTGCTGTTCAAATGGATGGCTGGGGCACACTAAGCGGGTGCAGGTGGAATAGAGAATGAAACTGGACAGGAACAGGAGGGACTCATTTTCATGCACTGACTCTGAGGGGCAGGCAGAGGGCAGGGCCACCCTGGGAGAGAATAAAGGGGGAGCGGAGCCCCATAAGATGCACAATTCAGACTCCTCCTGTTGATGCAGAGAGGGCTTTTAAGGTTACCACGCACAACTCCACAGAAACAACAATGTGCATGCAAGCTCTGAGACCCTGTAGAAAAGGGCAGAACGCTCCAATGACAAATGTGAAAATAGTAACTTTTAAATTGTACAAATCAAAGCTGTACAGTTCTTTGATCATAATGATAAAAGAGTAAATTTAAGCCTGTAAGCATTTAAGTGTACTGGCAGGCATAAAAATGCTGCATCACGGTACTCAGGATATTGGCATCAAGAGATTCAGTGCACAGTCTGACTAACTAACTTCCTGTAACCTGCTTCAAGTAACAAGCTACTCAGAAGCAGTTGCTTTTTTCCTGGTACGTTACTTAAAAGTGCTGCAGCTACTACAAAGAGTTGCTCTGCATAGGTATGTGTAAAACCGCCTTCGCCCGCATGTACAAGTCCAAAGGTAAAGTCGGTTTTACACAACCTTTTCAGTGACGGTAGGAACAAACCTCAGTAGTGAGGCGCATTGTAGCATTTAGGCAATCAGTTCATTTCCCCCAGGAAAGTTCTTTTGTTATCAGGTTTTCAGTTCACATATTACAAGGGATGGGAACGACAAAAGGGTTTTAGAGGCTTAGTAGCTACTTGTGGATCTTATTCTGTCATGGGCAGGAAAGGAAGCAGACCCCAGAAGGAGTGAATCCTCCGCTCACCAGCTAGTGAGCGGAGGATTCGATCCTGTGGGGTGCAGGGTGTTCCTTAGCCTGTGAAGCAGCACCTCCACAGGACTGAACACTTCGGCTCTCCTTAGGGGTGGGGGAGGAGACACACAATCTCCTTCCCCATCCAGATGTTCAGTAGGGTTTAGCCCTGCCTGCAAATTGATTTGAGGTCAGATCTGGACTGGGTGGTCCCCAGGTGTGTGTGTGTGTGTGTGTGTGTGTAAGAGAGAGAGAGAGAGAGAGAGAGAGAGAGAGAGAGAGAGAGAGAGAGAGAGAGAGAGAGAGAGAGAGAGGAGTTCTATACTATAACAATGAATAGCATTTCCTCCCAAAACCATTAACATCGCTTGTAGTGCTTTTTTTTTAACCTCTCTCCCCAGTGAGATTTCTAAACCCTCTTGTCTTCTAGCCTTCTCAGTAACACACACACACACACACACACACACACACACACACAGCTGCAGTTGAGCAATCACGTAAGAGCCCCACAGTTCCTGGTGACACAGTCTCCACACAGAAGAGACGGACCGAGTCATTGTTCAAGGGATGTGATGCTCTGCTTTATTGTGATGCAACAAATGCAGCTTGCTGGCTGCAGAGTTTGTGAAGAAGGGTGAGTCCAAGGCACGGCGAGGACATCATCTCGTCTCTTTCACCACCCACTCGTAATAAGCCTAAAAAGTGACCAGAACCACGGCTTCCAGCAGAGACAGGCTGCCTCTTCCAAGCCCTCATGCAGGCGGGCAAAGATCTTCTGGGCATGCACTCAATGCAGGAGTAAACAGTGGAAACTCAGTGCAAACAATTTACTTTATGAGACACTCGGTACATGCTGTCTAGTAGAGGAGGCTTCATTGTCCTCCCACTCACCTACATTCCATTATGCGGACACTCCCTTGCACTGAAAACTATTCTTACCCAACCCCCACTTTCCCAAGGGCAGGAGGACAAGAACACAGCAAGCTAGGAACACAGCAAGCTGCCTTATACCAAGGGCTCATCCACACACCCACTTGTCCTGTCCCTCAGGAAAACCTACTCTTTACTGCTGAATTGGAGCAAACGTCAATCGACTTTTCTGTGGATTGATGTTTGCTCTGATTCCATGATACAGAGTGGTAGGGCAAACAGAAAACTGCTCAGGCTCATGCCTAGAAAGCAGGGGACAAGTGGGAAACCTCTCAGACCTGTGCTCTCTAGGTGCAGGCCTAGTGAAGTGTGGATGAGTCCCGAGACAAGCCAATGGTCCACTTAGCTCCATATTGTCTCCATCGACTGGCAGTGATTTCTCCAGGGTTTCAGGCAGGGTTCTCTTCCAGTCCCACCTGGAGATGCTGGGGACTGAACCTGGGATAACTTGCATGTGTGATAGGAATTTTGAGGTCTTAGTTATATGTTAAATGTTCATAAGTGTACCAAGGCAGATGCTCCACCACTGAGCTATGGCCCTTCCTCAAACAGGATTTCCATTTCCCCTGGATGTGGGTGGGTATGTCTCAAGGATTTAGGGATTGTTCACACTTCCACTTCTCCTGCCTGCTATCCCCTGGGAAAATCGGCTGTTCACTGCTGAATTGGAACAAATGTCAATTGTTTTCTTCTTCGTCTTCGTCTTCTTCTTCTGTGGATTCAGCAGTAAACAGTGGGTTTTCTTGGGGAAAGCAATGCGGCAAATGGAAAACCACTCAACCCCCACTGCTTTTAGGCATGGGATGCACAGAAGTGTGAACAAAGCCGTAAGTGTCTTTGCAATATTTTTTTCACAACACTACTTTGCCCCTTAAGAGTTTGAGTGATGGTCTATTTCACCCTTGGCAGATCCCCATTACAACTGCACATCAGATTTCTATTTAATTATTGTGTTTATATCCCAGCTTTTTCTCCAAGGAGCTGGTCCCCCCCCCCCCATTTAATCCCCTCAGCAACCTTGTGAGGCGGGTTTGGCTGAGAGGCTGCTTCATGTCCAAGTGAGGATTTGTACCCTACCCAGGGATCATTTTGTGAGGAAGGGTGGGCTAAAACATATTTAAAATCTTGAACTATAATACACATCCAATGTCCATAATCAAAAAACATGGAGGCATCAGTGCTGAGGTCCATGCTGGTCCCCTGAAGGTTTTGCGCAGATAGCTTGTTGCAGAGATGGCAATGTGTGTGTGGGGGGGGTTGTGTGTTCCGGGACGCTCTCTACGCTGCCAAATTTATTGCTGGAAAACTGAAATGAGTCCATAGAGAAGGTGTCATGTGGGCTCTGAGAGTTCACCATTGCAATCCCTCACATAGCAACCTTGGAACAGAAGGAAGCAAATGTGGAGCTTAAGTTAAGACAGATCTACATATTGGTTTGAGCAGCTGACCTGCACTACAGGATTTTGCAGGCCACCCATAGGCTTTTGTATATTCAAATTCCAAACAGAAAAGCACATGCACTCAGAATACGGCAGCTGCAGAGACAGTCACTGCTTTGAATAACATCCAATGGTATTCAAAAGCAAGTTGCTTTCGTAACCAGACTCAGGGCTGCATTAAAGTTTCATTTAAGCAACAAAATAAAATGGAAAGCAGTTGAGAAGAATTTGCAATGGGTTTGATGGGCCATTACAACGGAATCTAGGCACAGCAATCTCTTGGGAGAAATTCAACTTGTCTCCTCATTCCACCATACAAATGGAGGAATCAGCTAAACTGTAGGTGCAGCTACAAAACCATTTATTTTTGTGCTGACTTCCTGACATGTGTTACTTACATTTCTGACAGGGATCATCCACAGTTTTGTTTGACCCATGATTTCTAGGCATAGGTCTGAGAGGTTTTTTCTTTTGTCCCACTACTTTCCCTGGGAAAGACCACAATTTATTGCTGAATTGGAACAAACATCCATCAAATTTTCATCAATTGCTCTGCAGCTCCTTCTGGCCTCCTCTCAAAATTGCACCCGGGGCCATGGCCCCCACGCCCCCTCCCACGCTATGTCTCTGTGTTAACCTAGCCATACATGTCACAATCATATGCACATGTGTATCAGAAAGGCCATATCCTCTCAAAGGTCACCCCACTGCCTTAGTTTCTAGGCCCTCTGATGCAATCTATAACAGGACAGCCAATGTGGGGCCTTCCAGCAGAAGCAGATGTAGGGTAGTGTGAGTGGTGCGGACACACCGGGTATGCAGCCAAGGAAGGTGCATTTCAAAGCCTTGTGTGAGGGCTCTGACAGGGTCCTAAAATCCTTCTTCCCAAAACTAGACAAGCGGCCTTGGGAAGGAGGTAGGAGGGCTCTAGGACCCTGCCAGAGCCTCATGCCTTCTTCCCAAACCCCAGATTAAGCCGGTGCCATGAGGGCTGGGGGGAGGGTGTCAAATGGCCTCACAAAAGGGCGGCATATTACCAAGGTCCGCCCCTTCCTCTAGATGTTGCTGGACTGCAGCTCCCATAATCTCTGACCACTGGCTATGCTGGCTGGGGCCGCACATTGGCTATGCTAGATCTATAATACCAGGGAGTAGATCTTTTAGTCTTTATTTAAAAACTCAAAATTATGGAACTACTGAATGAGCACACATTGCACTTTGACAGCCTTCCAAATATTAATAAAAGATTTATCGCAAGACTGCGCGTCCCACTTTCCTGAAGCCTCCAGAGAAGGAAGAAAGGGTTCATCCCATTTGCCATCTCAGAATCATTAGAACTTGGAATCAGAGAGTGCAATTAAGGAATCCTGCCATAATGATTAGTAACCTCTTCTAAGATGGTGGTTTCCCACCAGACTCTAGAAGAGCCACATTGCTCTGACCATCAAGTGCAATGCTGGTGGGAAGAGCAAGAGCAAAACAGCCTAGCTGTCTCCCACCTGGTGCCCTCCAGATCCTCTGGACTACAACAGGTTGGGGGAGGTTGCTCTACAGGACAGAAATCCAAATAGCTTTTGTGTTAGTCTATGGCACCAAAATCCTGAAGCTGAGGCTCCAGTACTTTGGCCACCTCATGAGAAGCGAAGACTCCCTGGAAAAGACCTTGATGCTGGGAAAGATTGAGGGCATACGGAGAAGGGGACGACAGAAGACAAGATGGTTGAACAGTGTTCTCGAAGCTACTAACATGAGTTTGACCAAACTGCGGGAGGCAGTGGAAGACAGGAGTGCCTGGCGTGCTCTGGTCCATGGGGTCACAAAGAGTCAGAAACGACTAAACAACAACAACAACAACAACAACGGCACCAAAAAGCCCCCCCACCTGCTTCACCAAGGCACTTTAGATTTACTTTGGCACAGGTTATTGGCATACTTCGACAGAAGACAGGAGGCGTACAGTGGTACCTCGGGTTAAGTACTTAATTCGTTCCAGAGGTCCGTTCTTAACCTGAAACTGTTCTTAACCTGAAGCACCACTTTAGCTAATGGGGCCTCCTGCTGCCACCGCGCCACCTGAGCATGATTTCTGTTCTCATCCTGAAGCAAAGTTCTTAACCCGAGGTACTATTTCTGGGTTAGCGGAGTCTGTAACCTGAAGCATATGTAACCTGAAGCGTATGTAACCCGAGGTACCACTGTATATGCATGGCATTTGGTATTTGACATTTGGCCTGCTCTGTGCTTTAGAAAACTTCTCCTGTGTGATTACTTCCTATGATGCATCTGTTAAAGGCACAGAAGTTCTGCAATAAATAATCAGAGGAGGATCAACACATCTCCAAAGGCAGTAAACAGTAAAACAAAGGCAAGCCAAAGTGCTAATTAGTGGCAAAGGCTGCAGCAGAAGAAAAGGTGTAACACATCACTGGGAGCACCTGTGGCGATGATGGCGGCTGCAGCAAGTGCAAAATTTTGCGATGCAAGGCTGGAATTAGCTAGATCAATATATTTGTTAAAGCTGTGTACAAAGTCCTGCTAGCAAAAAAGAGGGGGGAAATGAGTAGCTTGGAAAATGCCCTTTAACCTGCAACTTCTATTGATTTTTTAAGCTGCTTCCATGACCCCATTGCTGACTGCTGCATGCACCAGAAAATGTTCCTTTTATGGGATTTAGTGCCATTGTTTAAACGAGTAATGAAAGTCTCCTCGCATCACTGGAACTGCATAGCAGTGCCCGCCCTAGGTAGCAAGGAAATGGTATTAAATGCAGAGGAAACTCTTAAGAGATGAGATTTTAATCACACGAATAATAAGTTCCCAGAAGGCAAAAGCTTAGTTCGACAGCTATGGGAAATGTTTCAAACAGTGTTATTAACAGTGGTACCTCCTCCTTCTACAGCTGCACACTTGTAGAAAACATTTTCTTTAATGTTCTGGGATGAATGAATTTTAAAAATCTACACTAAGGGTGAAGACAGACATAACTTTTTTAAAATGCAATTTTCCTTTCCAGCTATTAGGGAAGAGGGAATGCTCAAGATACCTGTAGCTCAAGCTTGCTCTGCACAATGATGATTGGCTGGCAACACCAAGAAACCTTCACTTAAATCTCCAGAGCAGTTTTGCACTTCAGTAATATTAAGAAAGAGAAAAAAGTAGGGGCAAGGGACATTTCCTCATATTAGTTGACAAATGAATAAGACATCCAATCCACAGACAAGGCTGAGCCGCCATTTTGATTCCCAGGTATGCATAACTACCATTTACATTGCAAAGCCTAGAGGGCAAGGGACCCAGTGTGGGTACTTTCTATATTATTATTTATAAAATGTGTATGTTGCTCTTCATCCATAGATCTCTCAAGGTAGTTCACAGCATAAAAATACAAGATAAAAACAGAAAATACATAAAAAACAAGAACAAAACAAAATAAAACAATGCTCCCACTCACAACACATTTAACAGGATGCTAGTCAGCCCAAGGCCTGGTTGAAGAGGTGCCTAAAGGTATATAATAAATGTGCCAGGCAAACCTCCCTGGGGAGAGCATTTCACCTACGCCTTCATTCCTAAAGCTTCAGTAATATATAAAGGGATACAATACATTCTTAAGAAATTTAAGGGGCAGACCTAAGATGGTTTCTACACATAGCATATTCATTTTATTGCTTTCCTCCAACGGTCTCATAGCAGCCACAAATTCTCAGGACAGACTTCTATGTTACTTCCTCCTATATGGAAATTAATAATCATGTAAAAATGTATAAATTCTGGATGCCACTGAAGGAAAAGCAAAATTCTTCCTGAAGGAAAACCGTACTTTAATGCCCCTAGATAAATGCATATATCTATGCTAGACAGAGTTTTTTTATTTTGTAGGTAATGTGTACATGCCAATCTTCCTATTATTTCTCAATGAAGAACTCTGTTAAAATGTCAAAAGCATGTATATGGATGTCTACAAAAATGGGCGCAATGAAAGGCATCACCATGGCTTCACTTGAGGAGCAGCCCTAGTCTACACATAGAGCAGAATGAGGAAGCACCACTTCAGATTGCAGGTAGGAGATCATTGCTTTGTATAGCTCTTTCATCTAAAAACCTCCCTGTTGATAGAAAACCAACAGATCGGGGAACAGAGTTCAAGCCTACCCCTTGTTTTGCTTGCTAGCTTTCTGCTTGCAGAGAGTGTCTTGGTTTACATAGAGAAACATTCGCTTGCAGGCTGAAGTGTTACTATATTACCACCTCATTCAGCCTCATTCTCTGCCACTAGTATGACAACACTAAGGCAGGGGAACATGAAAGGATGGGGGGAAAGGGGCAGTTTGGCATCCATCCAAGAAATACACTTAATAAACAAAGGAACCACTGAGATAAAAGCAACTGATGATCTCTTGCTTTACACTACTGAGGAAAATAGGGCAACTCACACATGCTCATCAATTGATATTTTACCCTTTGGTGTGCTGATGTGGAATGTATGAATGGCTTCCATTTAAAAGTTTTGTCTTTGAGGTGGCATGGAAACTCTGTGTGGGACAGTTGAGCTGTGACCCTGCAAGTTGTCAAGTGATTTCTGTTGAGAGTGTAAGCAAGCCTGAGGGCATGGCCCAACTATGATGTTATCTATTGAACAGTCTTTGAATTGAAAGTGATTTAGAAAAAATAAATATTACTGCACTTGTGAACAAGATCTTAGCTGAAGGCTCGTTTTGATTAAATACGAGCTATCTGGGGATTTTTTTGCTTCTTGTCTGCACTACCCTGTGGCAACATCCGTGGCTGTCCCAACCCCTTGCTCCACCAAGAGCCTCCTCCAGTGCTACCTGCAATTTACCTAGTCATCTTTGCTGCACTACACTTTATGGTTAAGTGTACAGTGGTATCAAATACCTTGGTACTAAAAAAACTTGGAACCCAAACACTGCAAACCCAGAAGTAAGTGTTCTGGTTTGCGAACTTTTTCCGGAAGCCAAACATGCTCCGTTTTGAGGGTTACGCTTCCTATTTGAATATCACACCTCCGTTTTGAGTGCCACACTTCTGTTTTGAGTGTTACGCTGAGGTCTATCTGTTTTTGCTATTTATTTTGCGGTTTTGTTTTTGCGGCTCTTTTTTTGTTTTTGTGATGGTGTGGAACCCAGTTCAGCTACTGATTGTGTGACTGCAGTACTGTACATTGTTTACTGCTTTCATTTTATGGATCAATGGTCTCTGTTATATAGTAAAATTCATGTTAAATTGCTGTTTGAGGGGTTGTTTTTAAAAGTCTGGAACAGATTAATCCATTTTGCATTACTTTCTATGGGAAAGTGCACCTTGGTTTTGGAACGCTTTGGTTTTGGAATAGACTTCTGGAACGGATTACGTTTGAGAACCAAGGTACCACTGTACTGTGACTCTGTTGGCCTAACTTTTGCCAAACAGTGTTAATGCTTTACTTTAGGTAAAGGTAAAGGGACCCCTGACCGTTAAGTCCAGTAGTGGACGACTCTAGGGTTGTGGCACTCATCTCGCTTTACTGGCCGAGGGGGTTTGTCCGCAGACAGCTTCCGGGTCGTGTGGCCAGCATGACTAAGCCATTTCTGGCAAAGCCAGAACAGCGCACGGAAACGCTGTTTACCTTCCCGCCGGAGCGGTACCTATTTATCTACTTGCACTTTGACGTGCTTTCGAACTGCTAGGTTAGCAGGAGCAGGGACCAAGCAACGGGAGCTCACCCTGTCTCGGGGATTCACCCTGTTGTGGGGACCTTCTGATTGGCAGTCCTAATATGCAAGTTAATAATGCCATTTCAGCCTTGTAGGGATGCTATAGAAACACAAAGGAAGAGTGTGTGAGGGATGTTTCATCATGTTCGGTTATGAAGTGGCCAACTCTTAACTGCCATGTATCTAAAAATAAACATTTATACACTGACACCCCCCCTTAAGTCATGCTGGTAAAGAGCAGGCATGTTGTCTGTGATTGAAAACAATAGCTGTTAGAGTCCCACCATTCCATGTACATGCAGAGAGCTGTGATTCGTGTCTGAATGCATAATTTAGTTTTCATAAGCCCTGGCTGAGGTTGATCTCCATCTCCACACCAGCACTGGTGTGACATTCTGTCTACAAATATCCGAGCCAATCGTTTCATCCTGCACCACTCTATCTGCACTACCATGATGTAATAAGGTCAAGGTGAGCAATTCACCTTCTGAGTGCTGGTGTGTTGCTCTCTCCCTCTCTCTCCCTCCTCCTGCCCATAACTAGAACTTAACTGAACCTATTAGTGCTATGGATGGCTCTGTATTTTTCTCTTTCAGTCATTTACAGTGGTACCTCGGGTTACATACGCTTCAGGTTACAGACTCCGCTAACCCAGAAATATTACCTCGGGTTAAGTACTTTGCTTCAGGATGAGAACAGAAACTGTGCTCCGGCAGTGCGGCAGCAGCAGCAGCAGCAGGCCCCATTAGCTAAAGTGGTGCTTCAGGTTAAGAACAGTTTCAGGTTAAGAACAGACCTCCGGAATGAATTAAGTACTTAACCTGAGGTACGACTGTATTTCCAAGCAGATAACACAACAGAACTCAAGAGGTTCTACATACTGAACTCAAGAGCTGTTGACTGGGTGAGAAGCCTCCAACCACACGTTTCTTTTTTAATTTGACAGAAATGACACTGGAAATAGTTGCATGATGGACAGGTAGATTGAGTGCTTTTAACAGAGAGTCATTTCCATTTAATATACAGTGCTCCTTAACTTCCCTAAAGAAACCTTTGGTAGACTGGAGAGACTGCAGTGGCTTGAAAGCATCTCAGGTTGAAAGTTCAGGGCAGGCCCACCCATGAGGCAAGGTGAGGTGACCACCTCAGAAAGCAGCATTCTCAGGGGCAGCAGATCTGGCCTTCAAGGAGTGTGTTGCCTGCTGTTTTTGCTATGGTGCCAGCGGCATCTGTGGCATGCTCCTTGGAGGCCAGATCTGCTTTCTCTTCGGCAGCCTCCCAAATGCCGCCTCTACAGTGGCCTCTTGGTGAATAGGAGGCACTACTGGTCTCCGCCCTCCCAGTTCCTGATGTAGATCTTTATTTGCCCCTCATTCCTGGTGTGGATCTTCATTCCCTCCTTGTTCCTGATGTAGAGCTTCACTCACCCCATCTTCCCTGGTGAAAGGGGAGGGGTGCCATTTTGTGGTTTGCCTCAGGTCCCAAAATGTCTTGCACTGGCCCTGCAAAGGCTGACTGGAAACCTGAAACTGACTGATCAAACAAGGCCAGAGAAATGATAGGCCAACCACATCCTGAAACAGAAATGGCTGGATGGAGCAATTACTGAGTAGGAGGCAGAAAGTTACCACCAGCAAGTACTGTAGACAGGCCTCTGGAAAGTCAGATGTCAGTGCCATGTGTGCATGCCTTGCTGAGGGGAAGAAACAGGATGGGCCACTGAGAATTCTGCAGTTTACCACAGCATACATGCAAGCTCAAAAGCTGGAATGCTCAATCTAGAATGCTGGCAGACGCAGATTTAGGGCAGTGTGACTGGTTCCACTGAAATGGGCACCAAACGGGGGCGCTGCAGGATGTCACAATTATGACTTAGTGAACTGAGCAGAACGGAAAGCAAGAACTGAGGGGGCTGCCAAATTTTGGGCTCACACAGAGCACTGCTGAAATTTAAAACACCCTAGTCCACCCCTGATGCTGGCATGCTCAGCCTATCAATTTGTTTTCCAAAAATCAAGTTTCTAGGCCTGATGACTGTAAATATAATATCAAAATAATACAGACCGTCCTGGTGGAGCATCAGAAACCATGAGGAGTATGCAGGACTTCCTCTAACAAAGGGGCAGGGATTCAGTGCCCTTAACAGCAGCAGAATCAATTATGCAAATGCCCTTAATTTGCAGAACTAGCTGAGCAAACTGAGGACTACAGTTGGGATTCCATTTCTCTCTAAGTTTCTTTGGAATGAGATGTCAGAAACAGCTTTAGTAACTCATGTTCAGGATGCAATTTGCATTGCAGTCTTGAACCCCAACCACCCCATTTTCAAAGGGCAAAGAAAATATACTGGGTGAGATTCACCTGCTGAACCCCATCAGGGAAAGCCCTATGCAAGAAGTTCTGCTTGTTCAGTGGGATTTTCCTCCCCTTGTGTGCCCTGTGTTTCCCAAATTTAGCTGCGTCTTGGGAGAACCCCTGGAAGAGCATGGGGAAGGGGGAGATGGGGGATTGTACAGTCTGGCAAACTCCAACACTTGCGCAGATGGAATGTTTGTCATGGAACAATGTTGAATTCCACTCAGTGTATATATAACAGAACAGTGTATATAATATAACAGAACAGAACAGGGAAGAAAGTTTTTATAGGAGAAGAAGTTAATGTAAAAGGATCTGGGAGGGGAAAAAACTAGCAGGGTCAGAATGGGCATGGGTGAACGTCAAGTGCAAAAGGAAAAGGGAAGAAATGATAGGAGAGGCATATTTAGTTCTTCAGAAGCCACTTGTTTGGTGGAATGGACCCACAATGTTGGCTTCTCAGCAGTGGGGGCACAGATGAGTTGCTTCTGCTTTTCTTAGAACCTCTGGATAAGCAAATTCTGCCTAAAATGAGGAGGTTATGCAATGTCTAGATCCAATGGCTATACTTAGCTTGAGGAAAGCAGAATGGAGATTGCCATGGCAAAGAATTCTGCAATTCTCAAAGAAGGATGAGATCTCAACAGTAAACAATGTCACCAGCTGCTAGCTGCTTATATTAATCTCCCCTTTCATTTGTCACCATCTCCTCCCTTGCACTGCTATTTTGTGACTGGTGGGTGTCGGTCATTTTTAGCCCTCTCACATGGGCACTGGGGGTAGGATTCTCTTTTTTTAAAAGATCATTTTCACTTGTCCCATGTGCTAGTCATGCTGCATAATAATAATAATAATAATAATAATAATAATAATAATAATTTTTTTTATTTATATCCAGGTTATTTATATTCAGGTTACAGACTCCACTAACCTCGGGTTAAGAACTTTGCTTCAGGATGAGAACAGAAATCGTGCTCTGGAGGCACGGCTGCAGCAGGAGGCCCCATTAGCTAAAGTGGTGCTTCAGGTTAAGAACAGTTTCAGGTTAAGAACAGACCTCCGGAACGAATTAAGTACTTAACCCAAGGTACCACTGTATGCTGCTTTGGAACTTCACATGGATGATACTTATCTCCCTAATATGTACTGCATGGATGGGAAAGCTCTGTCTTGCAGATCTACTTAGGTCCACCACATCTCCCTATTAGCCTGCAAATTTGTTCTGGCCAAGCCATAGCCATCTGCCCAGTGGGAGGTAGATAAAATGGGCTTTGTGGTGCTTGCTATCAGCTGATTGTCACTGCTTCAGTAATGCTGTGCAAAGGGCTTCCCCAGTGCTGTGCAGAATTTTTTTGCCCATGCAGTTTGGAATCAAACTGTGCAGCAAAACATCAGGTGATTGATAGGTGGGCAACGCTGCCCCCACTATCAAACTTGACCCATGGGTGTTTGAAATATGGATCCAGGCTACCAGTCAGTTCCAGTTCCCTACTCCTGGTGTACCGCATTGCTAGGGATGGACTGAATATCCTAATTTTTGTTTCAATGATGCGCAGTCACAGGTCCATTCTACTGCATTTTATTTATTCATTAAAATATTTATGTATTACTATGCAATTAAAAAATCATGGTGGTTTACAGCAATAAAAAACAAAAATATACAATGAAAGCCACATGAAAAAGTTGAAAACAATATTGCATGGGTTTTTTGGAAAGAATGCAAAAAAAAATTTAAAAAATCCACATTTAAATTGTACACATTTTGCACTTTCTCAGAAAATAGGAACACATTTCCCAGAAAATATGACTTTTGAACATAAAATAAGTATTTTTGTGCACACTTTTTGCACACCAAAACCGCTTCACAAAATCCGGATAAGTGCAAAATCCAACTGGGAGTTGCATTCCAGTTCACAAGCACGTCTGCGAGTGTCAGTTTGGTCAGTCTGCTGTGAAAAGCAGACCTAACAAATTCCTCCTTCAAAATGAAGGAATGATGCCCTTAGAAGGACTAAAATAAACTCTGAGTCTATGTAAAGTTATAGAAGTGTATATGCACAATGGACATTCTTAAGCCATCATGGAAGTGTGCCCATAATTGAAGAGTCCCAAGCTGTTCCTTAAGAGTTATTTATTTTTTGCTTCCTTTTAGATTAGCAACCCACTGCACCGCCTGGGCACAGAGAACCACGCAGCTCTGGGAAAGTGTTGATAGCAAAACAATGTCAAGGATAAACAAATGTGCCCCATTGTGGCTGTTTATTTCCTTTGCTGTTTCTATGGTTTCAATGAAGAGCTATTTTCTTCTACTGGCGGGTTGATGTTGGTACTCAGATCTAAGAGATGTCTTAGATGAGATATAAACTAGAGTACCAGCAATTAAAGTGATGTTATTCTTTTGGAATTCAGGGCTAAACATCTCTACTAATGGAAAGACTCTTGTCAGTGTGCAGCAGAGCACAAGATTCTGGTATGCTTAATACACAAATATGAGAAGTTATGGCTAACAAGATAAAGAGCAAACTTGTATTCATTACATGGCCTACAATACCCTCAGTGATAGTTTCTTTCACCATGTGACCAGAGATGCTGAAACTGAAAACTACTTCTAAGAAAGAAGATCCCAGTTCTCCAAATAATATGTTAGGCAACAGAACAAGCAAACCTTTTAAAGATTGTTGCCATCTTCAAAAGCAAATTATTGATAAATTAGCCCAGTCAGCCAAACAGCAACTTGAATGCAGATTTTAAACAAACTTCTGGCCAACCAGACATAATTAGTCCACAGGCTCTCCTTATGATGAAAAAGACAACTCATTTCTAGCTGTATTGGTCAAAGCTAGCTGCAAGCACTGTTTGGCTTTCATCTTGCCAGGCTTCCACAACAATCCTGCCCACCAAGGGAGCATGTATGGTTGGGGTCACCAATGCAAGGGCATCTTGGGTGCAGTAGCATCTTGAAGGTATTTCCAAGTGCCCATGAAGCCTCTGAGTGTCCCCCACCCCCATTCATTGCCCCTCTTGGTGAGTGGTCACCCTTTTCTGCCTTGAAAAGAGGAGGAACTTTGTATTTCAGCTCTATGTGCTTTTCACGGCTCAGATTAAATCAACTGAATCCAAGTTTCAGCTTGGCATGGTCTTCAAGTGGTGAGAAGAGGAGCCAATCCAGGGGAAGGGAGCAAGAAGTGACAGGAGAGAGCAGTGCCCAAGGTTGTGTTGGACTACATGACCATTGGAGCCGCATCCAACTCTACAATAATATTATTCACTCGCTCAAAAATGTGTCCCTGTGCCTAAAACAGTTGGCGACCTCTCACGTATAGCCTGTCCAGTCAGTGATGGGGAAGAAGTCGGCAGGCTGCTGCTGGTGTTACACAGGGGATACATCAGAAGTATGATAGAGGAGGGCAGCAAATCTCTTAGGGTCTGCCATTTTTAATAGAGGCCTTTCCCAATGGCATGACAGATGGATGGTCATCTGTCATGGATGCGTTAGTTGAGATTCCTGTATTGCAGGGGGTTGGACTAGATGTCCCTTGGAGCCCCTTCCAACTCTATGATTCTATGTTTTAGGGCCTTTTTAGATGACAGTCTCTGGGAATTTACCTTTCCTGCTCAGATGATGGTTCTAGCTAAAGACATTATTCAGAGGTTGAATATTCGCAGCTGGTACCACTCAAGCAAGGAATCTTTAGCAGCCATTTAAGCAAAATAGGGGGTGGAAAAGAACAAGGCTTCCCTTCCCCCATGATTGTGACCTCAATGTCAAAAACTCCCACCCCGTTGCTTCTGCTTTTCTGAATTCTTCTGAAGTTGCACCCTTCCCCTCCACAGCACTGGAGTGCAATTGCCTCCCGTGATGCATCAACAATAGCAAAAGATAAGAGGGAGCAGATTCTGTACATTTGCATGAACTCTGACAGCCACCAGAAGAAAGTGCATATTGTAATATTGCTTGTCAGAATATATTAAAAATTATTGCCTTTCACTTGTGCTCTGTACACTATTCTGCACAAGAGTCGGTAAGCAGCTTGCTTGCTTATCTGGATATCCTCTGCTTTTAATATTTGCAAAAGTGATTTGCCTCAGTACATCTGGAACAAAAGGAACACGCTGCAGCGGACTGGCAAACCATTAATGCCTTTATTGTATACAGGTTCAGGAGATCACAACCAAGAAAGGCTAGATTTCCTACTAATCAACTACAGCCACACATCGTGTCATGCTCCATAATATGATAGACATTGAAATGTATTCACAGAGTACTGCACTTGGCTTGGAAATTCCAGCTTAAAACATTCTGGGCATTCTACAGATACAAAGGGAGGTCTTCCACGCAGAGCCATAGTGGCGTCCACACTCATGCCACAAATAAGAGAGGCCTGCATTAATCATCGCTCACAGGGTGGATGCTCACAAATGCTGCAAATACATTTTTGACCAAACGGACAAAGGATCCACGACACATGCGAGGGGTAACACTTTATCTCTGGGGAAATGGTTCAAGAAGCCACAAAGCTTTACACATCTCGGAGACACAAATAGAAAAGCTCACAGAATTCTAACCAATGCTCACATGTCAGTGTTATTTAAGAAAGTTGTTAGTGGTTTCATGGTTGATGTCCCACAGGGGAGGGAAGCAAGACATTAAACCCCATCACAATCACATGCTTATTGGGGCAAAAAGCATTTGTGCTTTTGTAGATTCCAGCCTTTTTGACTTGCTTTTAATGTGGCACTAGGCTTCATGAACCTGTGACCATATGGCCAGCCCGTAGGTGCAGACAATTTGCAAGTTATAGGCATTTTCCCACAAGAGGGTTGCAGAGACAGACACTTCTCCTGGCCTGATGATCTCATCTGCCCCAAAGACAAAAGATGATCGTATGCAGAAAAGACACTCTAACAAAGGTAACTCATTCACTCAATATGTTTTTTTACTGTAACTGAGATATCATGGGTTAGATGAGGATGACAGATGATCCGTAACACACTGCTTCCTTCAAAACACACTTAACTTCACAAGGCACTTTGCACTAGAACACCTCAGCTTCATTTCCTTTGGATCAGTTTGTACCTGCCTGCTCCCCACTTTGATAGCTGCATAAATTGATTGCACAAAACAGCCATTGCAGAAAGAGAGGATCCGACGGAGAAAGGAAGCCTGTCCTTCCCCACTGAAGTATCCCACGTATCTAGCAGCTGTTAGGTTAGCCTCCCCGTGATCAGAAGCAGAGGGATGCGCAGGGCAGAGCGGTTGCACACCAGCCCATGTTATTTCAATTTCGCTCTAGCAGGCTCAAGAGATCATGAAGGGTGGCATGTAGTAGGGGGTTGTGCAACGAAGGATGGTCAAGGGGGAGAGAGAAACCGGCTGGCTGGGATTGTGCTACAGTTTATCAGCACGTACGTAAGCGTGTCGGTTTGCAGCCTGAAGGAGCAAGATTCTTTGCTGACAGCAAAAGGCTTACTCTGTTTGCTCTTCCCGATGAAGTGGAGGCGCGGGAAAGCTCAGTTAGCAGGGAATGAGACTCTTCATCTCAGGGTCGTGAGTTCGAGCCCCGCGCTGGGCAAAAGAGCCCTGCATCGCAGGGGGTTGGACTAGATGACCCCCGTGGTCCCAGCTCCACGATCTATGAAACAGCCTCTCTCTGCCCCATCACCAGACTTTACTGCTCGCCTTTCCCGGGCACTCTGAATCCCATTCAATCTCTCCCCGCTTCTTTGACCACTGCTTCCCACAGCCCCGTAGTCCCCGATCGCCTTTTGCTCCCCGGCTCGTTCTCCCCGGCCGCGATCGCCCCGCACTGACCCAGAAGATGAAGTTGAAGATGAAGAGCAGGAACTTGACGCAGCGCATCCCTCCTTGCACTCTCCCCATGGCCGGCGTCTCTCTCGCAGCTGCAGCAGCGGCACCACACGCTCCTTCGCCAACAGCTCGCCGCTGCTAACAGACGCCTTCGCCCGCGGTGGCTGCCCGGCTGCGAGGGCGGGGCCGGGGCCTGCGAGGAGGAGGCAGGTGCCGGGCGGGGCCGAGGGAGCGCGCGCGCGGAGCGGAGCCGGAGACGCCTCGGGGTCCCTCGCCCGGGCTCAGCGGACAAGAAAAGAGGCGCCCGGAGAAGAAGACCAGCCCCAGGCCCCCTGTCCCGGAAGAAGCCTCGCTCTCTTGTCCAAAATGAGCACAGGATTCACGGCAGTTTCCTGTCCTCGTCGCTCAGCCCCGCTCGTGAAAACAGATCCCCAGAGTAAGTTTGGGCACCAATCCAGGCCTTCACGCCACGCATCCCATCAGCGGCCAGATCTACAGGTGCAAGAGAGCGAGGTGGCAGAACGGCCTCCCTTCCCCTTTAAAAACACCACCACATTTAAACCACATGGAAACCCACAAACGCACAACTCCCTGCAAATAGAAAACTTGCACGCTGGGTTGAAAACGAGCCCAGCTCTTCTTCCGCATTGCTTCCTTGTCAGAATATGAAAAGGCAATCTGCCGTCTGAAGCGGTGCAGTCCCTGCCACCTCTCCCGACCGTTTCATTCTGTTGCTTGTGTGCAGAATGACCCCGGTAGCTGTCCATGTTGACTATGTTGAAAAAAGGTGTTTAAATCACCTTTGACCTTCCAGCTGTTGTTGGACTCCAACTCCCATGGGCTGCAGCCAGTACACCAATGGAGAGGAATGATGAGAGCTATAGGTCAGCACCATGGGTGCAACATAGGGGAGGCCTTCTGGACTGCAAATCCCATCACCACGGATCATTGGTCATGCTGGCTGGGGTTGGTAGGAGCTGGAGTTCGGTGACATTTGTAGGGCCGCAGGGTAGCCACAGATGCTCTATGTTGCCTGGAAGCCACTCTCCAGAATTCTGAATTGCAGACTTTCCTAGCTCTTCCCTTTCCAGCTGAGCCTAAAATGACATTCTACATGCCAAGTATGTTGTCAACCAGACAACCACTGAACTGTGCTGCTTATCATGGAGTATTTGGGAGTCAGGCGAGATGTAATGATTCGGAGGCCATTAGTCTAAATCACAGAATGAGGCCTGGCACGAAACACGTTGTGTAATCTGCACTCAGCCAACAATTTATACAACAGGCATTCCTCTGCTCCAGCAGTCCTGTGTGACTTGAGGGCATGTCCACAAATCCTCAATTTCTGAGGAAGGGTTGAATGGTATCCCAGATGAGAGAATGTCTCAAAATTATAAACTATCACTCAGTTCAGCCCCAGACTCTGTTTGAACTGCCCAGGTGCTTTTCTTACTGCCAATAAAGTGCCCTGTGCCCTAAGCCACACCTCCTGGGAAAGCCCAGGGCATCCTCAATGACTGCTTGTGTTGTGGGTAGGGAACCTCCTGGATGTCAGTCTGACTTGTCAGCACCCGTGAAGGCGAGATGGTTGCCGCTGGCTGTGTTAACTCTGTTGCAATTTGTTTTTCCAGTCGTCAGGGGAGCTAAGAATCTGGGACGGAAGCCCTCTTGGAAAGCTACTTTTTAGGCTCCCTGGCAGAAAAGTTAAAAGATGCAGGCAGTTTGTAGGGCACTCAGTGGACTACAGAATCCAGTTCGCACAGCAATTAAACTCTGTTGCAATTCTCCTTAGTTTGGCATATAGCAGGGAACACGCCTTACTGGATGAAGAAGGCTGAAACAAGGCTGATTGCAGTGCTCTGGGTGCAGGTGGACCTTGGTTTCAAAATGCTGAGGGTTTAGAAGGCCAGCACTTTGAATTAAACCCAGAAGCAGTAGAGGCTGGTCCATTACAGTAAATGGGGCACTGTCCTACCAACCAAAGTGTGTTCTCAGCGAGCCCCCACATTCTTTCTTACAACCAGTCAGAGGGCTGCATTGCTTGTCATTAGCTCTCACTCTACCTATCATTGGCTTCCCTGCCTTCCACCATATCCAGTGGGCTGCCCCAAAGCCAGCACAGCCCTGTCCATTCTGAACTCACTGTTGGTCTGAAAGAGCGTCTCTGTTCTTCTCCCTTTGCCAGTTCTCAATCAGCCTTCACAAGGAGCACACTAGAGCAGTTTTGGATGCCCTGCTAGGAAGGAAACGGAGGTGAGGCAGACACTTTGGAAGGGCACACTAGCGAAATACTGAATTTGTTTCAAATGTTTATTTTCCATTTAATGCATGAAAAATAACTTGACTCCGAGGCTCCACCAGTTCCCAGCTTGTGCTGGGGCCGCTGTCAGCACTTTTGAGATGGGTCTCTATTGAGATCTGATCTCTAGAATTTTGCAGCATTTTCTTTTCCTGCTAAGGATGGGTGGATATTTGACTCACATGCCATGCACCAGCAAAGCAAGGGAACTGAGTATTGGAAGGGCAAGTATACTCTGTGCATTAAACCCAGAAAGATAAAAACAACTTCTGTTTTGGCTATACTTTAAAGACAGATAATACTTGAAATCAGAAGTAGGCTTACCATAAAGCAAAGTGAAGCCTGTAAATCAGTGGTGGGAAACATTTTTCAGGGCACATTCTGTTGAGGGGGGACTTCTGGGGGCCATATTTCAGTGGTGGGCAGGGCCAGATACTGGTTGGTGGGACACTTCCCTTTAGTCAGAGGTTTCTGCACACCATTTCTCCATCCTCTCTGCAGGCAAGCAAGAGGGATTGCTGCAAAACTGTGGAGGGTGGGGGGGGGGGATCTGGCAGGGGGAGTGTCTAGAGGGTCGGGCAGAGAGGGCTGCACTTTTTGCTCCTGGGCCTGAGGTTCTCCACCTCTGCCGCATTCTGGAGGTGATTAAAGGTGTACCAGAGTGGGAGACAAATAATTCTGAGTCACAGGGTAAAGCCTCAGCAAAATTGTTCTGGAAAGAACAGAAGCTGGCCCAAACAAGGTTGTTGACTCCCTGCCAAATAAAAGTTAAGCAGGTGGGGCATGGATGAGGAAACTCCAGCAGATACATTTCTTGTGTTAAGCAGTACTTCAAAGCACCGGAGCAGGGCCAGTAAAAAAAATGCGATGGTTTTAGTCCAAAAACACCATTACATTTAAGATGCGTATGTACCTTGGAGTAACCCTCAGTGAACACGAGTGGGAGGTTCTCTTTGTGAAATCTTCTCAGGACAAAATGATGTGGAAACTGCACTCTATTATTTAGCTCCAAATGGCAGCTTTACAGGACAAAGGCTTCAGCTACCATTTAATAAGATGCTGTTGCATCAGGGTAGCTGTTAGAAAGAACTTCCATTTTATCCTGGCACCACCTGCCAATGCTCTTTTACATGTTGAAACAGGAAACCCTCAATAGTCACTCATGCAGAAGATGGAGTGTATTGAACTGGGGAAGAAGCAGAAGATAATGGGTTATATCCAGTGGGTGCCCTCTGAATATGACTAATGGTGTCACCCAACAATATCAATGATTTATAATGAGCATTAAGACTAAATTATAGGGCATGGTCTAAGCGAATTTGATGTAGACAGCTTGCTGAAGTTGAGCAGGTCTGGCTCTAGTCAGGGCCTGGATGGGAGACTACTCAGGAACCCCATGTATTCTGCTTTCATGGTGGAAGAAAAGTGGGATGCAAAAAATAAATAGTATAAATAATCAAATGTCATCTTACCATATTTTTCACATGCTATTTTTGGGCAATAGAATTTCAAAAGCAAATTTTGCTGTGTAGAACTAAAAGAAAACATCTGACTGTGGATTGTAAGTCAGTGTTTTTAAGCAAAACTGCATTTTCTGACTCCCACATGTAGTAAAAATGACAATTTGCTGTTGGCTGATTTATAAATGCATTGTTTTACCCTTTGCTTGGGTCTGTGAAACACACTAACACGCCACTTATTTCTATTGATCTGAATGCATTTTGCATGAGTCTACTTGGATGCTGGAGGTAAGTAGCTGTTTGGTGGGGAAAAGCTTGTAGGGATGAGGGATGGACTTACAGTGTGCATTTGGGTATTAGGGTCCTGGTGGTGTCAAGGTACTGAGCTGTTCTCCCAATGTACAGTGATTCCCATCAGTCTCAGTCAGCCAGAACCAATGATCAGAGATGATGGCACTAGGAGTCCAACAACATCTGCAAGAACATGTGTCCCATTTCAAAGGCTTAGGTTTCCTATAAGCTGTTAAGAGGTAGGTGGGGTTGGGGGAAGGTGGGGATTAAGGGAGTTAGTATGGGAGAGAATTGTAGGCTCAAATTTGAGATGAAAGGGAGTGCTGTAAGAAGCCCAAAGGCATAGTAGCAAGTGGATGATGTCAACCCTAGAAAAAAAAACCATGGAGTTGTACTAACATCTTTAGTGCTAGGGCTTCTGTGTCTAACAGCTGTCTAAATAAAACCACAAATTCAGCAGGTGGATCTGTATGCAGAGAAGATGGAAGGGAAAGCTTCACCTGTTTGAATATTCACCTGGCATGCAATTGTAAAAGGCACACAAATTCTCTCAGAAAACAACCACCAAAAATGGAAAAATCTAGTTATGCATGGGGGTCTCATCTCTACGGATGGAGTTGGATTGTTGAGCACCTCTTATTCCCACAATTAGAGTTTGATGCGGGAAATTAATAAAATCCTTGGGACATAAGCTAATATGAACAGAATGTTTTCTTTGTGCCTTGAAGGAAAACTGTTGAATTCTTTTCCTCTTAAGATCAGCCTCGTACATTCCCTTTTAGAAGGGAGTGAAAAAGTATCTGCTTCATTATGCCTGTCCTGTTTGATATTATCTGATAAACTTGGAGTGTTAATGCTATGCCGCCATATTTGTTATTATCTGGTAATTGCTGTTCCACTTTGCTTTGGTAATAGTTGTGAATTGTTTCATTGACTTCATTGATATTATAACTGTCAGTGCTTTTTCTCTAAAAAAAAAAGTTTAGGGGTACTCTCATTTTCCTATTCATTTTGAAATAATGCCTCTCAATGAGGCCAAACTTAGATTCACAAAATGTTTAGGTGTATGTGCCCCGCTGCGTCCCCCCAGAAAAAAAGCACTGATTACTGTGATCAATTATTGTTATGGGCTGCTTTGAAATCTGTTATCATTGAAAAGCAGTATGTAGATATTGCTTATGTGACTGAAACATGCTTTCGACAACAGAGCCAGAAGTTGCCAAACTATCTGCATAAAACTGGCAAGGCAACCTTCACCAATAGCTGCCAGCATTGCAAGATTACAAA